TGCGTTACGTTATTATTATTACGGCTCTTCGAAAAAAAAAAAAAAAAATGCTATCAAATATGCACTAAACAATTGTAATAAATATGCACACAGTTATTCAAAGTTTAACTTATTTTTGATTGTATAATCAAAACTCTCAAATAAAGAGGGTTTAGTAATATCATATTCAAAATCCAAGGCTTGTAAAAAGTTTTTCTCTATAAAGGGAAAATAAATATCGAAATCGGACGTATGCGAGTTTTTCATGTTAGTATGTTTTTGAGCAAAAAACAATTCCCTTACAGGACAAATATGGTTTAGGTAAAAAACAGAACTATCAAAGAATACCCATGGAATTATTTTAATACATTGTATAGTTAAAAAAAATATAATAAAATACAACTGTTTACAATTATCACAATAATTACATAAACTACAAATTATAATATGACTGACAGCACTTATATAACAAGTGAAATTAGAACAGTTTTTTCCTCGACCAGCAGCCTACGTCGTCGTTCGAGTTGAGTTGTAGACGTTGAACCTTGTTATCAACGGACAGCGTCATCTAGGATAAGGGTAATCGACACAAAAACGTTGTCATATTCCGCAGAGGAGCGTCGTTTGTCGATCCCGAGTCTTGACGCTCACTAGTGTTTACATTCACATTTGTGTATAGTATATATACGAGTGACTGGTACCGAGCTCTCTCTTACTACAACCCCAACCTCACCGTATGGTGAACTTAAAGAAGAGCGGTAGAGACCCGGGCCAACGGGTGCCCATCATGTGCCCCACCAAGAAGGGCATGAAAAAGATACCCACAGTTGTGCTCGCATATACCCGACCTCGATAATAAAATTTTATGAGGTTTTTTTTCTCCCACATAATATTACCGGACTCGATTACATTAATCATAAATCCATTGTAATTTTTTTTTTAGGAAAATTATACCATATCTTTTTCTTTTTTTCATTCTTTTCTTCAGTTGTATACAGACGGTCTCGAACACTCATTAACTCGGAAAATACTAACATTTTTTCATTTAACAATTTAATAAACAAGTAGCTCTATAAAATATTACAATACCGTTATTTTTCGTAGCCCTTACTTCTAAGGGTGAAATCACTACGCACATTGGATTTTCAAATACCTATATTCAAATCCTATAAATAGTTGAAATTTTAATTTTAATAAATTTTGGTATTGACATTTGTTTATTTCCGTAAACCCGTTGACTAGATAAACCTATTTTAAGTTTAATTAAGAGGAGAATAATGAAGCCGTGTTGGCGAAAAGTATTTTTACCTAGAATCACCAATTTCGATTTATTCATAACAAATTTGTTTTCTATGTTCACCAATGATAGCTCTCTTACAGCTAATTGAGCTTTTAAATCAACACAATTTTCAAATATTTTAGTATCGCCAATTTTATGATTAATAGAAGTAATTAATTTCTTAACTCTAGCATTTATTTCTTAAAATTCTACTAGATAATGTGTTTTAAATAAAAACTTAAGGGTTATCTGTATAAAATATACTTTCCTCATCTGATAACATAAAATTATGATACAGTCCATCCTTTGACAATGTGAATTTAAAAGCTGGATTAAAAATAATAATTGGTACTTTTCGGTTATCTCGACTACCCGTATGTAACGGACTACAGACGTCACAATTCAGTTATCTTAACTATCACAAGTAACTATTTTGGTCCCCTGTTACCTACCCGATATGGTTTTTCTAACAAAAGAGTGTTGATGTTTGATTAAAATCCGATACGAGTTCACACTTGGGCAACAATATATTTGGCTGATGGACGTTTGCGTGTTCAATGTATGGCGTGCATATGGGTGTGAAACTCAGATCGGACATATAATCGAAAAAAAGCCCTCCATTTGGGTACTTAATAAGGTATTCGAGATAACTTAAAGTGAAAAGTACCCAATTATAAGTTTGAATAGTTAAAGACTATACAATTCCCTGTGTTGTTTAAAGAATTGGACGATTTCGTCAATGTATTATAACATATTGTATATGGAAATACATTTCTTATTTTATGAATAGTATCTAATTTTAGATTTTTCAGTATATTTTAAATCCGTCTTTCTTTCAAAACAACATTGGTCGGTATATTTTCGAAAAAAAAATAAATTTATTTTTGTTTTTAGTTAGTTTCTATAAACATCTGTTGTTTTAATTTGTATAAAAATCATGCAGTACTTTTTTACAACTTTTTTTGAATTTGTTTTTAAACTTACATTATTCAAAGCCATATTATTTAATACGATTTTTACTGTATTGAACACTAAAACATATTGAATCAACAATAGATTATTTGGTTGTTACATTTATTACTTTTAATAAAAATTAAATGCAGTTATCATAGATAACAGACATTTCTAACGTAACTAATAATAACAGTCATAATAATCAATATAAATTAGTACAGTGGTTTCCATCATTAGATAATTAGCATCATAGATAATAAATACGCATACAAATACATTTATTCTCTAAGACCAGTAATCAAGTTATTTTTTTTTTTTTTTTCAACAAATTTTCAATTTTAGATTCCGAGCGTAGCGAGGGAGTTTTCTTTTACTAAAATGTTAATTTTTGTTTTCTAGTCTGTGGACGCATTATTTCCTATTAAATTTGCTCTGATTTTTACATGTAGCAACTTTTCTGAAAGCTTAAGTTGTTTAGATTGTTTTCTAAACATATCATTTTTTTTTCGATGCCATTTATTAAATAAAAGCACTTAAATGAGAAAAAACGTAGGAAAACGTACAATTTCACGATTTCATTATTTTATAAAAACACGAACGACGTTTTCTATTAGAAAAAATGATTTGATTGAAAAATCACAAGATACCTTTTTTGTTGTCTTTTTGATTTACTTCCTTACAGTATCATCGCCAAAACTTTTGAACCAATTTTGAGCTTAATAGGAATTTTAATTTTTGGGAGTTTTTTTTCTGTAATTCGGTTATAAATACACATAAAGACTTGAAACTTAGAAATAATACTTATATTGGACTTACCTAGACGTGTACAATTTTCAAAAATCATCTGGCGAATTTTTTTTTTTTTAATAAGCGTTTTGAAATCAAATTCAAACGAAAATCCCAAAAAAAATTACGGCACTTCAAATTATGTATTACCTAACTATACTCGGAATTGTTTTTCGTCAAGCAATGGTTTATCGTTGCTTACAGATATAAATGAAATAACCTTATATATCCTACCTTTCCAACTTCTCACTTACAACAGTGACTGCTCCCATACCCAGTATCAGTTCTTTTTCAATATTGTACTATAAATCAAACCTTATTATAATGGTTTTTTTTTATTATCCCCTAATGGACTTAAATAATATTTTGTGAAAATATGTTGTATTTTGTTATTCCCTGATTATAGTTTATTTTTTTTTATCTTCTCCAAAATGTTTTGTCCACTGATATTTTAGGTAAGTTTATGCATTCCCGTTGACAATGAACTATAATATTAGTTGCAACAGAATAATAATTACATTAATTATTATCTAGCTATTTAATTAAATGATCATGTCCTTCTAATTGTATTATATTAGATTAATCTAGAAAATATTCTATTATTTTTACCTAAATTTGAGAATGACTCTAACTAGTTTTTTTTGTGTGAAAGGATAAAACAAACAAATATACAGTGTTTGTGTCTATATAGGTAACACTAAATATTTCGGCTGGATAAACTTGAAATTGAATTCCATTTGCAAAAAATGGTAAGGGGTGCTGAAATTCATACATAGGATAAAGTTCAATCGTTTAATCCTTTTAGTTCTTAATTATATTTTATATCTATTTTTGAAAGAATTTAAAAATTAAATTATTATGTGTGTCTTTTTCATATAATTTTATCCGGAAAAAACAGTAATCAAATTGTTCACTTTTAAGGACAACACTTTCAATTTATTTAAGAATCAATGAATTTTTAAAAAAATATTACATTGATTAGTTGCTTGAAACAAAAAAATAAGACTGCTTAATGGGCAAAAATAGCGGTTCCTATTCAAAATGTAACTTTATTGAGCATACACACATCAAAGGGGTTAAAAATATGCAATTTATCCATAAGTGTCTATTTCAGTATTCCTTATGAAATCCCAAAAAACACAATTCAAATCCAAGGTTATTTGGCCAAAATATTTAGTGCTACCTGGAAAAATAAACAATGTGTAACAAAAAATATAGACAGCAAATACATCAGAAATCAATTTTATTTAAGAAAAAAACTACAAAAATGAGTAAATTATTATTTTTTTTATAAATTATAATAGTTAAGTGTTAGACGCTATAAATACATAAACAAAGCGTGTTGTTAAAAAGTAAGATTTAATATAAATCTACTACAAAAATAATCAAAACTGATAAATACCATACAATAAAAAAGACAAAAAACAAACTATATAATTAATGTTAGGGTTTTTATTAATAATTCTTTACAAGGTGTGTCCAGAAAATAAGTGTACTGAAGCTCTCACGACCATAGGGAATATTTTTTTACTATGTTGCCTACACTACCGTAAAGCTTTACTTCTAACCTTTAAAACAAGATCAAAACAAGTTCAGTACGTTGAAAACTGTGGTCAAACGAATTTTTCTTGTTAAACATATCGATCGAGTCTGCCAAGTGCGAAATCCGCGCTATTATCCGTTACCTCGTTGTGAAGGAAAAATCTCCACATGAGATTTTTAATGAGGTATGAACCGATTATGGTGAAGGCCATATGAATCGTCCCAGTGTGTACAAGTGTTGTAGGGAATTTAAAAACGGACGTACGAATGTACATGACAATCTGAGGAGTGGGATACCGTCGATTTTGACTGACGACATTGTGAAAAAAGTCGAGAATGCGGTCCGTGATGATCGCAGATTAACTCTGGATGAACTTTTTGCAATGTTTCCGCAACTTTTAAGGTCTCTACTTCACGAAACAATCACAGAAACACTTGGATTTCATAAACTGTGCGCAAGATGGGTCCCAAAACACACGACAATGCCAGACTCCAAACGGCCAATGCCACAAAGCAATTGTTGGACTCATTTGGATGGGATGTTTTGAACCACCCCCCGTATTCCCCCGACCTGGCACCTTCAGATTACCATTTATTCACTTCACTGAAGAAGCACATGGGTGGAAAAAAATTTTCAACTAACGAGGAGGTGAAGGAGGAGGTCGACAAGTGGATAAATGAGATGGCGGCAGAGTTCTACGAGGCAGGAAGAGATTCTACTGCATTGGAAGAGATAGTGACTATGTTGAAAAATATCACACAAATATATTAATGCAACTACATAATTTTTTTTTTAATTAATTTTTTTGAAGCCTACAAAAATTGAGTACACTTACTTTCTGGACACGCCTCATATTTTATTTCTAATTACTATTATTAAGTTTTCTTATTAATAACTTATTAAATAGGTAGTTAAAGTAAATAAAAAAAAAATAGCTTATAAAGATAATTTTATTATAGATATGAAATATTATAAATTTAAAAAATATGAATCATACTATAAAAGACTAATAAAAACTGCAATTTGGTCACTCTTATAAATATGACATTTTTTTGATGACCTGAAAAAAAATGTATATATTTTTGAAAAATGCCAATAGATAATAATATTTTTATTAATTTTACATGAAAATTAAACATCATTTTAAGAAATACCAGACTATTAGTATTTTCACTTAATGAATACTGTTTATCCTTTTTTTCCTTTTATTTTATTGCATTTACAAAGGTGACACTTGTATATTTTCCATCCACATCTCTCAACTATAATTATTTTCCTTATCAATTCTACATGATCACATATCTCTCCTAATAACCCCTCTAGTAACTTTTTATTTGATATTCTTTTTCCCTGGCTTCTCTTTTAACTTATTTCACCTAGTTTCTTACTAGCCTATTATTTCTGTTTTTCTGAAAATGACACCCATACCATCACTTTTGTAAACTTAGGGGCACACATGGAACAAAATTCAACTGAACATATTCAATTACATAAGTCGTCTACATGTTGCGATGAAGATTGATTTAATGAAATTGATTTGTTTATAAACAGAGGAAAAATAGTTAGAAAACAAATTAGCAACTGCTAATAGCTCATTAGAACACTCGCCCTCATATATGTCATATTATTCGGAAAGTCCTGACTAGTTTTAAATTTCTTTATGTAATTCCAAAATGAGCGAAGATACTCAATGAATAAATTTTGAATATTAGTTAAATATTGAGAATAAAATAATTTTGACAAAAAGCACGTAAATATAAAAAATGTTTACGATCTAAATTATTACCAGAATTTTTAAGCATGAGCCTCCTTTTTCTTTTTTAGTATCTCATGAAGTTCAAGAGAGAACCCCCCCTGGTTCTCTCTTGAACTTCATACCCCCCTGTATGAAGTGTCTGCGCTTACTTTTCTTAGATATATAAGTTTGAATAATATAAAAAACTCTATTATAGAAGAAGTCTATAGACTCATTAATGTTAGACTAACTATACAATAAACTCCAATCAACATTAAAATTAATATAAAATAATACAATAAACAATTCAATGTATACACGTATAATTTAAATATAACAAATCTATCCGAGGAAAATGAAGACGAGTGTAGCCACTGTTATAGATAATTGCATATATACCTGTAAGCAATGATAAACAATTACAAAAAACGATTCTGAGCGGATTTCAATTGATAATGATGCTTTGTCAACAATATTATATATATCATATTATGGTAAAATAATTAAATAGGCATTATATATTTTCTTTAATATGATTTTGTACCGATTTTCCCGTTTTTTCTAAAAATCTTTTGGAAAAATAAAAAAATGACCTCCCTAAAGTACTTTCGCAGTCAGATTTCTTTTTAAAAAAAGTGCTATCATTGTAAATCGGAGCAAAATTGCTTGTAGAAAAGTTGTTCACAGGAAAAAAAAGGCCGTAATGATTTTTAACCAATACCTATATTTCGTGCATTTTTCCGTTTATTTCGGTCTTTCAAATTAGTTGAGAAAATTCATAGGAAAATAAAAAAAATACATTTTTAAAGTACCTCCTCACGCTGATTTCCTTTTAGAAAAGGTGCTAAAATAAACTTTTTTGTAAATCCATAAGCTTCTTCGCTCCACTTAGAATCTAATAATTATAATAAAATAAAGATTCTAATTCTAATTATTAATTATGTTTATTATTAATAAATTTTAGAAAATAAAAAGAAGTTTGCCACCAACTTGGAATAAGGTTAGTGGCATTTTTTTTTTTGTGGAACCTTTCCAATAAACCGTATTAAACAGTTTTGCAATGCTTTTGAAGTTTTCGGTGAAATTTTGACTGTTCATGTGAACTTAGAGGTGCTTTTAGATAATTGCTCATAACTTTTTAACAATCGTCCAAAAAATTATAAAAACTTTCTAATATTGTCCAACAAATGTATTGGATAAGTTTAATTGAATTCTGTTACATGTGTACCGCTTAGTTCATCAACGTTATACCATCTGAATATTTATATATTCGCATATTATCTGCTATTAAAATCTAAATTCAATTCTCCTAGCATCGATGTTATATATTGTAAAAGGTACACCACATGTTTGTAACATCAAATGCCATTTATATTTTAAAATGTTTGTTCGTTAATTATTGTCAGGAAAGTGTACGCAAGAGCGCATGTGTCGTATACACCATGGTTAATACGGGTAAGTTAGCAACATAACACTACCCGTAAAACAAGGCTACCACTGGTGTATATAATGGAATAAATAATATTATTTTTAAATATTTTATCATTGTCGTAAGATCTCAAAGTAATAATAATACTGTACTACGTCTTGATAGTTTTCAAATTGATACCAGATGGATTATCACTGGCAAAAAATACGCAGCAAGTGTAATTTGGTAATAATGCATACAGATATTTAGCCATGGTGTACAACATAGTACAATTATGTTCAATTCAGATGACAGCTATCGAATTTTAATCCCAATATACATTATTCCTAGACTGCTCTTTTATATATATATATTAAATATATTATTTCTAAATAATCCTTTAGATTCTGAGTGAAGCGAAAAAGCTTATATTTTTACAGAGATGCTTATTTTTATTTTTATCTGTTAATAACTTTTCTACCAGAAGACTTTCTAGAGATTTCTACATGTAGCACCCCTTTTTTGAAAAGAAATCGGCGTGGGGAGTCATTTTTCGATTTCCTCAGGAGTTTTCTCATCAAATTTGAAAAACTGAAAATACTGGAAAATATAAGAAACGTAAGTATTAATTAAAATATATAGAGCCTATTTTATTGTTTTACTACAAAATGACATATATATTGTGGACACATCAATTGAACTCTGCTCAGAATCATTTTTTCATTAGCAATGGTTTATCGTTTCTTACAGATATACATTAAATTTCCATCTATATCTTACCTTTTCAACTTTCCACCTACACCAGTGGCTACACCCGTCCCCCATTATCTTACCTTTTTTAACTTTGTTTTATAACACATCCACTCTAATATTTTTATTTCACATAAAACGAACACCATTATTCAGTATTAAAATTTAAAACCATAACAAATTTTTTATTTAATATGTTTTATATTTACCAAATTATTCGTCATCAAAATCATTCAATAAATTAATGACTTCAACGCTCATTTGTGGGGTGATTGAAGAATCCACAACCTTTTTTTCAGGAGAAAAATCTTTTTTCTAAAAATGAAATGAAATAAATAATATTATTGTTTATACTATTTTTAAAGCGAAATCGTACTGTTTTTAAAGTCATTTTGTTTGTAACAGCTACTGTCCGTCCAACAGATATTATATCTTTTGTTTTTTGTTTATTAAATTCTATAGATAAATGATATTGGTGTTCAATTACTCGGTCAACCTAAACAAAAATATATAAGCCTAGTTCAGTACTTTTTTTTAAAAATGTCTTCAAAAAATAAAACAAAAATAATATTATTTTACCCATTTGAATCTTGCAGTATTTTCCATTTTTTCATACTTAGTACCAAATTCATGCTTTTTTATATGCCATGACATTTTCTGTGCGGAATTACATATTAAAAAACATTTCATACATTTCCATCTACAAAAAATTTAAAATTTTATATTATTTTTATTTCAAAAATGAATTAATATGAAAATGAATAATTATTTGTTTACTTTTTACTATCAATTTCTTTATATAAGTGATCACGGAAAATCTTTATAGATTTGGTCGTGAATGAATTACACTTAGGACACACAAATTGGCCACTTTTAGATATTGATCCTAATCTATCATCCTCTTTAAAATCATTTTGAAACATTTCTGGCTTAATTTTAACTTGAGACTGTTTAGCTGATTTTGGATTCTTTGATACAAATCGAGATTCACTTGTATAATTTGATTCAATAGGAATTCCTCTACAAGAAAGTGGCATACGTGGGTCAATACTTTCTAAAGCTCGCTGTTCCTGATTGTTTATTGTATTACCCATATGATTATTGGATTGTATAGCTAGCTGTTCTGCATCAGTAATCTTAATAATAAAAAATAAATATTTAATTTTGTTAAGTTATTAGTGGATTAGGAATAATTTAACAATTAATTTGAAATCAAAACAAAAGTATAACACATACAAAATGAAAATTATTTATATTTTGTATTACATATTTATTTTGATTGTTCAAGTAAAATTATACTTACTTTATCGCATACTTTTTGGTTCTTGTCTGCTACATTAGGATGATGTTCTTTAAAATGTTCTTCAAATTGTTTAGAATTGGCATCTCCTTCAAATGAACACATGGGACATCTATACATTTTCGTTACTTTTTGAGGAAAAAAAAGATGTTATATAATTTCAGTATATTTAATAATGTAAGTACATAAATTGCAGATCCATTGAGCTACAGATAATTGTACTCAGAAATATAAGTAAGAATATAAATGAAAATTATAAAATAATATACCTTCGATTATATTTCTGTCAAAAGAATAATCTTCTATTTTTGATTGTCTGATTACAATTATATTGTATTGGTTTTCCCTAACTATTAGTGGTAGATGGGTTTTTCTCATATGTTTTCTCATTTCATCTCTATTAAAATCTATATAATCGCAATATTGGCATTTAAACAAGTTTTCAGTGTGATGCAATAAATGAAAATCAATGTTATTTATCTTAACTTCTTTAGTTGTGATCGAATTTGGTTGGCAATGTGGACATCTGTAAAATAAATATATTTTATAAAAAACTATCTAAAATACAGTACAGTAAAACCTCGATTAACCGTCACTATCAGGCCAAGGACTATGTCGATTAACCGACATATTGCAATAAACGCATTAATTTTACTATGTAAGTATTTAAAGTGGTCAAATTGTTTAACTCATGTGGTGTTTATCGCACATGTTGGATATTTCAAAATATTTAACCCTTTATAGTCTACACATGCTCACATTGCAGCGAGTTAACTGCGATGACAAACTAGGGTTGACTGTATTGAAATATTCTAGTATTGGGGTATTAAATTCGATATACCATAATACCGTTATATACCAGAAACCGTAATACCAGAATACCTTACTTTTACTTACTATTTTACTTTTCTTCTTACTATAAAAGAAATTACGTATTACGTATGAGTAATACGTAATCGTCGCCGTTATACATTATTATTAATAAATAATAATAAATATAATAAATTAATAGGTACAATATTGATGACTCGATGTATTCAGTGTACGTTATTATTTATCAAAGTCACTCTCATACCATGTATGATTCGATAAACGCATTTTCATCGGTAAACAGTACAATTACAAAAATAGAACCTATTATATAATAATTCATATTATTACATAGAATCATAACCAGTATAACTTATAAGACTGAAAATTGATTCAAAACATTTTATTCTATGTAAGGGGTAGGTTCAACACGGTATTATACCATGATATGGTTTAAATTAAAGTTAGTGGTATTTTCGGTATACTGGTGAGTCATGTACCATGTGAAAGTTTATTTAGCTATGGAGGAAATGCTTTTACAACCAAACGATACTTGATGTCTGAAGACCATGCTAAACAATAAGTATTTTTAGAGAAAAATCCCCTTCTTTTGGTAAACTGATGATGTATATGTATTTAATTTGATAACATTTAATCGATCAAATTACAATTTTCTTAATTTTTATTTCACTGTTTGTATAAAGTAATACGAAAAAAAGGAGTAGGATAGATAATACTAATATTATATTTCATATTTTAATTGTAGATATAGAATGGAGCGAAGGAGCCTATAGTTTTAAAAAAATGTTTTTTTTAAATTTTTTTTTATCTATTAACAACTTTTCTACCGGGAGAATTGCTGAGATTTCTAAATATAGTACTTTTTCTGAAAGGAAATCGGTGTGGGATGTACTTTTTTAAGGAAGCCATTTTTTGATTTCTCAAAAGTTTTCTCATCGAATTTGAAAAACTGAAAAAAAAACAGGAAAATATAAAAAATATAGGTATTAGAAATATAATATGGCCTTCTTTTTTTCTATGAACAACTTTTCTACCAGAAATTTTTCTCCAACTTTTAATGATAGCAATGTTTCTAAAAGGAAATTTCAATAAGGAGGTACTTAAGACATGTCATTTTTCGATTTTCTTAGGAGTTTTCCCAGCAAGTGTGAAAAACCGGGATAAAACATTAGAAAACCGGGAACAACGTAGGAAAATTGGGAAAATCGCTACTACATTAAAAAAATATTATCAAAAACATATATTATGCCTATTTAATTATTTTACTATAAAATGTCATATATATTGTTGAAAAATCATCACTATCAACTGAATCCGCTCAAAATCTCTTTTTTTTTTTTTGTGAGCATTGGGTAATCATTGCTTGCAGATATACATTAAATTATCTATACCTAACAGTGGCTGCACCCGTACCCATTATTCTAGGACGTCTTTTTAACTTTGTTATATCTAATATACAGGCAATTTTTATTATTGAAAAACTATTAATATACAAAAATTACAAATTTTTAGCTTAGATTATTTTTATCGTTTATAATTTATGACACTTTTTAGTTTTAATCTTTATTGTCTTTTATATATTTTTGGGAAACACATAAAATGATATGCATACTTTTTTGTGGGTTATACTCTTTTAAACAATTTGTTTTATTTGTAATGAACCTGGAGTTTAAGAATGCAAGAACTTAAAATGAAAAAATTATAGCAAAAAAGTAGCATACTACATTGAAACAGAAATATTTAATATAGCATTGTACAACTAAAAAATATTATTCCTGGTACTGGGCTACATATTTTTTGTAACTAGCTGTATCGTCCCGAATCCCGATCACAGAATAAATTCACTTTTTTTTTCACAACTATATTTTGAGTCTCATTTATACAATAAATAATAAGAGAGGGACTCCAAACTCCACCAGTTTATCTTAAATTATGTTTTCTGATTATCATAAGATAAATCACAGAAGACACAATTGGACTCATAATGGTGGCTCCTGAATAGGCGACATTTTATGCTATACACTATTCTAAGGAGCATAATTATACATGCTCTGAAGTTTCAACTATATTCTATCAATTTGTCGATTAAAAACTGTATTAGCGGTATTTATTGTTTGAATGCATTTACCGAGCGAGTAGTATATATTGTCTATATGGTATTTATTGATACATACTGACATACTGGTATACCGTTAAAAACCGGTATGTAAACACATTCCGAAATTACATTACTGGTGGGTAAATTTCACATACCGCCCCACATCTAGTTTAAAATTATGATTCACGTTATCACGGAGCAGTGAGAAGCCGTCTTACGGTATTTACTTATGCGATATTTAAACTATTTCAGTAATAACCGGTATACCATTAATAATAAATCGTCAACTCATAACATATACTTCAGGTATTACTTCGGTAAAACGGTATACTGTTTCAGCGGTATTTAAAAAAAACCCGGTATACCGATATATAAAAAAAACCAAAAAAACCGTCAATCCAATGACAAACTATTTACGTTTTGTTTTTTTTTCGATAATGATGGATAATATAGAGTGATGTTAATCAAATTTCTACTGTTATTATAAGTTACTCACAAATAAAATTGGAAGTCTTCATGAATTATTGACATGTGTGTCTTGAGTAAATCTGCATTCAAAAAAAATTGTTGGTTACAAGTCCCTTCTGAACATTGAAAAAGCTTATTTTTTGGAATGAACTGAGGAAATAACTCAGTGTTTAGGTTATTTATGGGAGAAACTTCAACAATTTTTGTATTCAACTTGTCAACTTTCGTCTGTAAAATAATTTCAACAAGTATATGTATTAGTCCATTTTAAAAACAAAGATAACTTGTAAAAAAAAATTATTGTATAAAACAAATTCTCACCTTTTCAGAAATCATAGCTTCATATGAACTGGCAGACAGATTTATCATTTTATCAAACATAAGTTCTGAATTTTCAATAGAAGGTACTGGATTAACAATCTCCTTAGTTATAATACACTGTCCATTTTTGTGTATATTTAAATGAAGAATTAAATTAGATCGCACCTTTGTGTTATATGTACACAGTGAACATCCGATAGGATTTAAGAAGATATGCGTCATTGGGATATTGTCAATGGTATCAGGTGAAAATTGTTTGGTGTTTTTATCTTCAACAATAACTTTTGGTATTGCAGAATCATTTTTGTCAATATTTTGCTAATAAATAATCAGAATAATACAATAATTAAACAATATAACATACACAATTCTTACAACAGTAAATATAAAAGAAAATATTACAGGATTATATTTAATTTAAAAAAATTAATTATAACAAATTAAAACATGATCACTTACATTAAACAAATTATTATGATCTAGTCTTTTGGTTTTTATTTGTTCATTAGAAGAATTAATTTTTCTAATTTCGTATAGTTCTTTAAAGCCACCAATGGATGAAGAATTTACTTTATGTACCTCATATTTGTCAATATTATGAATATCCTTTATGTGTGATAGTATCGAATTCTTCTCGACAGAGGTCAAGAGACATTCACCACATTTAAAACTAATATTACATTCCTTTGGTAGTATTTTTTGATACTTCTTTTTTTTATATTTCTTACGATCAACAATAAATTTATCTATTTCTATGTCTGTACATTTAGAATTTACAGGTATTAATTCCAAATTCCCGATTTCATGTTCATTTTTCATATGGAATCCAATAGACTGACAAGATGGTGCCATAAAATAGCATATATTACATGTAAAGCGATCTGGCCCATGACATTTCACGTGTTCTGTCATTTGATAGGGTGTTTTAAAGTACTTATCACAAAATACACACTTCTTGTGCTCATTTGATTTTGGAAAATTTTCTAAATGTCTTTGGTAGTCTTTACTATTTAAGAAAACTTTATCTACATAAAAAAAAATGTTAAACGAAAAACTTTAGTTTCTTTTATGTTAATATTTATAGCCAATTTAAATACAAATCAAACATACCACATTCTTTACAAACAAATAACTTATTCAACTCAATAAATGGAAAAACAGTCTGTTTGAACTTATTTGGACCATCATTAGACTCTTCAGTCAAATGTTCGACAGACATTTTTCGTTGGCGCTTATTTCTTGGCCAATCAATAGACTCTTGGGATAAATGTTCCACAGAAAGTTTTCGCTTGGCAGAAACTTCATCGTTATCATCAAGCATTTCAGGATTTTCAAGCAAAAAACTCATTTCAGGCGTTACATTTACTATTTCTAACAAACCACTGTCTATAGTTTGTGTTAATCTTATAATTTTTAGATTTTCAACTTTTGAAGAATCCTATAGTGGTAATTATAAATAATTAAATATGATTATAAAACATATTAAATTTAAATATTCATACAAGACTGTCCGATTTTAGAGAACGCTCCAAACATACAGATTCATATTCAAAATGTTCCATAGCTAAATGATTCATCATTAAATCGTTAAATTCAGAACCAAACAAGCAGAAAATACATTGGTACATGTTTATATTGTGCAATATAAAGTGCTAAAAAAATATAGATATTATTTCAAAAAATATTTTACAAGAGAAAAACATATATTATTTATATGGTCATTTTCACCAATGTAAACAAAGACGTTTATCTTATTTTTAAACTTAGTATATGACTGGTTCTGACCAACCTTGTTGGGTTGTCACATAAACTCTATTAAAAAATTAACTTTAAACCCTATATGTAAAATATAATATTTACAATCATTAAAAAGACATATTTAATAAATATGTACTTCACAATGATTACACTGAAGTACATCTAAGATTTACAACCTTAGAATAATGTTCATGAAAGAATATTAATTTGTAATTAGCTTAATTAATAGCTAATTAATAGCTTATACAACTAAATATAAAAATTTTCTATTTAATTGTATATTTACTTTTATCATTAAACTTGATTGAAGTGCAATAAATCCTTTACTATTGTCTTGATTCATACAAATATAACAACAGAATTTATCACAATATCGATGCTCTTTGTTTAAATGATGTATGAAATCACTAGGAATAAAACAAGAAAAAGTACAGCTTCCTAAAATAATTTTAAAATATAGTATAAATATTAAAACGCATAACAACAATATTATGTAATAATCAAAATAAACATAATTATTAACAATTATAAAAACCAAAAATAATAGATATTATTAGCTAATAGGCGCTTTGCTTAAACTGCCAAGCATATTAGTTCAAACTAATAAAAATTGATAACCTATACGCTCATCCATCAAAAAGTCTACTGTTCTCGTTTTTCCTTTTTTTTTCCTAATAATTATGAAAACTGTTAGGAAAATCTAAGAATGACCCATACCAACAAGATAAAATTCCATTTCAGAATAGGTACTACACTTGAGCAAGATTTCTGGTAGAATTATTATACACGGTATATAATATGATATACTATATATACATATTTATATGAAAAAATAATCATCATTGTAAAACCAATATATTCCTCACTTCACTTAAAATCTAAAATCGATTCCTCATCATTTTTTGATTAAAGCGATATTTGTGGTACAAAACATAGATTGCCAACGTTAAAAACAATGAAATCGGTAATTTCTTTCGGTCACTTTAAGTCTAAACTATGCTCAATCGAATGGTCTTACAGAAAGGTCAATATAAACAATTAAGAAAATGCTTACAAAATGTAAGAAAAGTAATAGTGATCCATATATTTCTCTAATGCAATATCGAAACACGCCTAAAAGAAATCTATATTCTCCATTTCAACTTTTAATATCTAAGTCAATTCGCATAAAATTACCTGTTACAATAAATAATTTAAAACTCAAATTAACTAAGTTAATTGTTTATCAAAGTAAAATGAAAATTAAAACAAATGAAATGGCTAAATACTATAATAAAAAAACAAAAACCTTAAAACCTTTTACTGTTGTTGAGAGTGTTTTATTTAAGTTGGTTGCTGATGATCCCTGAGTTAATGGTAACATTACTTAGATTAGTTAATATCCAGAACTTATATAGTTAAAAATGAAAAGGGTGGTAGAAACAGAAGAAATAAAAACATTTAATATCCTCCCCTTTAACTACTACTTCTAAAACTGATAGTTATGAATTTAATTCAAAGTCCAACAATAACTTAGCCACAGATACAAAATGCACTCGTTTTGGTAGAAAAATAGTTACACCCAAATTATTAGATTTATAAATTAGGCGATTTATTCAAGTTAACTAATAGTTTTATTATTATTATTTGTATTATATCAAACTAGCTATTAAGTAATTATTAATTTTTTATTAATTATTATTATTTTAAATACAACCACGTTAAATTTTATTTAAAAAAAAAGAGAAAAGAAGGAAGGTGTGAGACAACACTATTACCATTATTAGTGTTATCGTTGTTACCTATATCATATCATGTAACTTATATTATTATTAATCACTTCTTTAGTGCCGGTCCAACATAAACCTTCTCTTGTGTGAATATTAACTAAATATATATACATGTATTTTCTAATACAACTATATCTTTTTATATAATAAACAATATAGGAAAATATAACTGGAACCACAAAAGGTACAAGTGGTGCATCTTCTAAATCTCATTGGTAGTGATGATATAAAAATGTAAAGAACGTTCAATATTTCTACCCAAACTGTGAAAATCATTTTTGAATAGTTGGAAGACTACTGTACACTGAAGTATATTTAAATAATGGAGCACTACACATTTTTTACAAGAAAGAAGAGTTTTAATGAGTCATTTTATACATTTTATGCTGACCTATGGAATCTTGTAAAAAGTTGTGGCATTGGTGAAGTTGAAAACAAGTTACTCGGTACAAACAATGTAGATCTTCAATCAAAATTGCTAAGAGAAGACTATACCATAGAGAAACTAGTGAGCTATTGTCAAGCAATAGAACAAGCAAAAATTAATAAACAAATATTACTTCAAAATAATAAGAGGGAACTCAACATAGTGGTTCAAAAGGAAAATAAATTTGGTGGGCCAGTGAAACATTCAGTAGGAAAAAGGCAGAATAAAGGAGAGCAGCCTAACAGTTAATGGTTGAAAACACAAACAACCAATGGAGATATTAAACTAGTGAAATTTAGCTGTTAAAAATGTGGTAAGTTACATGGCACAAATGAGTATCCTGCTTATAATAGATTTTAATTTATGTGGTTGTAAGAATAATTTTGCAATAATATGTAAAAATAAAAAAAAAAAATAAAAATAAGCAGGTTAATTTGGCAGAAGGAGAGTGTAAAATGTATGAATATTTAAATTTAAATGAAATTAATGTAGGGGTACATAACATGTGGATCAAATGAAGATAAACAATTTAAATGTTGAGATAAAGCTGAATACAGGCACTCAGCTAAATGTGATATTACATGAATTTTAAAAAAAATTAGAAATACAACTTAAAAGTAGTGCAGTGCTCTTAAAAACTTTTGGTGGATTTAAAATTAAGTCATTAGGCAAAGTTGTCATTGAAGTAATAATCAAAAAGTGTAAGGCTAGTGTAGTATTTGAAATAGTCAACTGACAACTATAAAGGGATACCAATTTTAGGGCTCAGTGATTGCAAGAACATGAATTATACAATTTATGATTTAGGTGAGTTGAGTGCTATAGACAAAAAAGAAAAGTTCATAATAGATCATTTTGATGTGTTTAATAGAGTGGGAATGTTTCCAGATAACAATAAAGGAAAATAGTGTACCTGCAACTAATTAGCCTAAAAGGACACTAATAAAGTTAATTGGAAAACTGAAGGAATTAATTAAAAAGTTGTGTAAACAAAAAATTATAGAAAAAAGTCAAAAACCTAGTGAGTGACCACATAAGTTAGTTACTATTGAAAAACCAAATAAGTCTTGGATCTAATAATATTCTTAATGTGATTAGATCCAAGAGATTTGAATAAATATATATTTAGGGAAATGGTGTAAATACCTACAGTGGATGAAATAAGGGATAAATTGTTTGGAAAAAGTATTTTACATTGCTTGATCTGAAGGATGGATTTTACCAGTGTGAGTTGGTGGATGACTCAAAAAATTACTGTGCTTTTTGTACTTTATTTGGAACATATTATTTTAAGAGATTGCCTTTTGGTCTAACAAATGCCCCAGAAATTTTCTAACGATAAACTTATAGATATTTTGGAAATATCAAAAATGTCTGGGTATAATTTGATAACCTATTAGTAATTGAAGAAACTTTAGAGGAACATAATAAGACATTAAAAGAGGTAATTGATCAGGCGAGAAATTTAAATATCAAGTTCAATCCTTACAAATTACAGTTTGAAAGAAATAAAGTGAAATATTTAGGAATGGCATTCAATAGAAAAAGAATAGCATCTGATGCTGATAGGGTTAAAGCAATTATGGAACTAAAAGAGCCAGAGAAAATTAAACAATTACAATCATTATTAAGAATGATAAACTATCTTTGGATATTTATACCTAATATTTCAGAACTAGTTGAGCCATTGAGAGGACAACTAAAAAAGGAGGTATTATGGGAATAAATTATAAAGTGTGATAAGGCTTTTAATAAATTAAAAACCATATCATCTGAACTACCTACTTTAGGAAACTATAATGCCAAAGACAGGTTTTATATACAGTTTGACGCATCTAAAAAAGTACTGGGATGTTGTCTTTTTCAAAATGATAGACCAATGTACTATACTTCTAGGTGTTCAAGTGTCACTGAGCAGAAGTACGCATAGTTTGAAAATAAATGTTGGCAATAGTTTTCACTTATCAGAAATTTCATAAGCCCATATATGGTCAGAGTATTATTACAGTTTTCACAAATGTGTGTTGGTAATGAAAAAGCAAATTAATCAAATACCAAATAATAGGTTAAAGAAAATGAAGGTTACGTTGTTAATATATAACACAGATGTAAGATACTGTCCTTGAAAACAGATGTACATAGCAGATAAATTGTAAACCAGAAGAAAAAACTGACAACAGCGTGAAATATGCATATGATTAATGAAATAGAAATGCCATTTAAAAACAAAAGAGAAGAACAGTTTAGAGAGAAAATGTAGAATGGTGAACACTTAGGTAACGTTTTAAAGTTTTTAGTTGCTGGTTGACGTAATAAATTGGAGTATGGAGAGATTAAATAATACTCTAAAGTAAAGGTGAATTAATAAAATAAGATGATTTAGTTTAATATTGTAATAGACTGGTTTTTTCTAAAAAAAGAGAAAATATATTATTGCTAAATTTCGTGACTCATTTAAAGATTAACAAAACACCAAAAAAGAGTATGCAAATATTTTATTAGCTTGGGATGATATCAGATATATAAAATTATATTGGAAACTATCAAATATGTATAAAATTCAGTAGGAGTAAAGTTAAAGAACCACTCAACAAGCAGCACAAAATTCCAGGATTGGCATTTCAAAAAATATGTTTAGATATAGTGGAGTTAGAAAATTCTTATTATTTGGTAGTCATAGATTATTATTCAAGGTGGATAGAAATACTAAAATTCAAAAATAAAACCAGTGAAGCAGTTAAAGAGTTTCTCAAAACACTATTTGGTAGGTTTGGGATACCCAAAGAAATATTTGCAGATAATAATCCTTGTGATAGCAAGGAGTTTAGTTAGTTTGCTGAACAGTGGCATTTTAGTGTGACATTGTCAAGTTCAAATTATCCCAGAAGTAATGAGCTTGTAGAGAAAGCAATGGGTATTACAAAAGATATGACCAGAAAAGCTATGTATGAAAAAAATTAATTGAATCTATATTTACTAAACTACAGAAATATTCCTATACAAAGGTTAATATGGTCCCCTGCATAGTTGCTGTAAAGTCAAAAGTTAAGATCTATAGTAAATAGTACAAAAAAAAAAATTATTGAAACCCAAAGTAGTAGAATGTTTAGTGTAAAAGAATAGGCAAAGACAGAAAAAAAGAAATGTGTATGACAAGTCGGCAGCAGGTGAGGAAAATAAATGTCCACCTAATGAGTCTGTCTTCAGATAGAACAATGGGCTAACGTGAAAATAATAAGTAAAACTAAGTGGCCTAGGTAATACTTGATCAAAGATGATGAAGGTAAAGTTTTAAGGAGAAATACATTGTTTATAAAAAAAATTTAAAGTCTGTGATTATGATGAGATAACTTGAACTGATTTTAAGAAAAGTAAAGACAATGAAGATAGTGATAATGTTAAAAAGGAGACAATAGACGAGAATAACAAAAAGGTATAAATTAGAGGAAAGGAATCGGAGGGAACTAAAAGTGTAAATAGAAGAAATATAACTAAAAGTACAAGTGGTAGAGTTAAAAATTTAAGAATTAAAAAACCAAAACAAAACAAAATACTTTGTTCTTAGTATATGTGTGTTTGATAAAATGTATTAATACTACAGAACATTTAGTTAATTAACAGTTTTGTAAAGTGTCAAACAATCTGGCATAAGCTAAACTTATAATATAGTTTTGATCCATTTTATGAAGCAAGAGACTATTACTTTAAGATAAATCAAAAATAAGTTTTTTAAAAAAACTCACATAAAGGTGCCAAATAATCTTCTGAAAATATGGTTAAAAAAAAAAACACTCAACATAGAAAAACAAATACAATCCTTGTTCATCTTAGAGTATAAATAGAAATTAACTTACCAACATTGCACTTATATGGCATAATAAAATCATTATAGTCAACTACCATTAATACTTCTGTTGAACGATCATTAACACCTTCATCATACTCGAGTTGTATTATTTTTGGTTTATTTTTAGTATGAATTAAAGTCTAAATAAAAATTATAATAATAAAATAAAACTGATGTATTATCAGTATTACTTATAATATATAATATATAACCAAGATCATAGATGAAAATAATATTTACCTGATGAACCAGTACATGATGAGGTGTATATGCACGATAAAAACAAAATGGACAGAAATATTTACAAAAAGAATATTTTTCAGAAATATGAGTAGCCAAAGATTCTACATCATCACATTTTTTAAAGCAATATGCACACTGTTTAAGCTGTTCCATAGTGTTTATTTGAGTCTCTAAAACTTAAATCATAAATAAATATTACTAATTAATGAGTGTATAATTGTGTGCGTAATTATATAATTATACAAATACATATTCAAAGACAATAACAAATAAAACATTAATTACCTTTGTTTTTCCCTGTACTTGAAATATGTGATTGTATATGTAACTCAAACAATATTTTGTCGGAGAAAACTTTTGAACATAATTTTTTCATACACTTAAAAAGTCCAAATATCTTTGGTATAGATATCATTTTTTGAAAAGCAAAATTTGATTTCATTTCATTCGTTTTAAACTCTTTGTATTTTTTTAAATAATGTTTTTGATACGTTGTGTCTATTAAACAGTATGTATCATTTAGGGCTACTCCATTGTTAACTATCTGTCGGCCTGATTCAAAATAAATATCAGCCCATGCATTTGTAACTTCATACTGATCATACTGATTTTTTTTTTTCATTAATAGATTACCACCAAAACTACCAAATCCGTTCTTATTGATATGCATAAAACAAAATAAATAAAAACAAAATTATTAATATTTTTTGTCTAATTGAATTAAAATTATAACATACCTCACTTAACTGTCTAACATTTGTTATACAAGGTATGGGTACTGGAGAAATCAGAGAAATTGAATCATTAGAAGTTTGAATGTTATTTGTTTGTTCAGCTAAAAGATACACAAAAGATTGATCAATTATTGTCTAATTGTCCCTGAGTATTTCCATGTTTGCATAAGAAATACTATATTTTAAATAACCTTACAAAGTAATGAAAGTAAATAACTTGGTTAAAATGTGTATATATAAAAAAAATTATTGTGGAAGATATGACTTTAGAAGATTTGAACTTCCAACCCTCGACCTCACGGTCTGTAAGGATATTATAAAGAAATTTCAAGAACTACTTTACTAAAGGTAAAATTTTGGTAAATCTCATAATAATAAAAAAAAAAAGAACATAAAATATAGCGTGAATATAAAGTCGGCCTATCAGCTAGTTGAAAATTGGATATTTTAGTGACAAAGCTCTGCTGGCCTTTTTTTTTATAATCTATTAGACTTATGAAAAATTAATATTTAACATTTATCAATCATCAAATCAATACAACTTTTAATAATTAAAAATAAATTAAAATTTGATTCAATAAATAAAAACCCAAGGTATATCATTCAGTAAATAAAATATCTCACAATATTTATAATGTTATTTTAAATAGCAAAATGTTATTAATAATTATTTCATTCGCTTTTCATTGAGAAAATTAAAATTATTTCTATTTAGTCTTAAAAAATATTAATAAAATATCTGGTATATCCAATGGGCAACATAACATAATAGGGCTTTGTTGTTCAAAATTTTCAACTATAGAATCTTCTTCATCTGCATTACCAATTACACCTATTTCTAAATATTTTTTTAAAAAAAATTTTATCATTTCATCAAAAATGTAATATTTATTAATATTATTGTTATTTTAATTTTCATGGTATATTTAATCATCACAAAAGAATCCAGGAAAAAAAGCAAATTGCCCAAGCAAACAATATTTTACACATTAAAAACATAATATAAGAATAATAGTTAAACATAAATATTGTAAAATTAATTTTGTTTAATGGTAAAAATAAGAAGATATTATTATTTAATTAGATAATTATTAATCAAGAAGTTAATAATTAATAAATAAACAATTTTAATAGTATTATACTACATTAATTAAACCATAATCAATGTTAAATAGAAAATATTAAAAATTTTAAATAAAATTTAAGTACTCGAGTTTTCATCAATTATTATAGAATTATATTGATCCAATAATTTGATCATAGAGTACTTGCTAAATTTATTATATAATTACACCTATACAGTATAATCATCTGTTGCAAAATTTAAAATGGTTATGGTTAGTTAAGAAAAGAAGAAACATCACTTTTGTTTTAAATCAATTGTTACTTTTTAATTTATTTATATTTAATTTCTAAATGAAATTTATAATGTTATTTATTTACTAATGAGAACTATACAGTGTCCTACAATGTTATCCAAATGCTAATATTTCTGACAATATTATTTTTTTTTGTTTTTATTTTGTTAAGGATATTATTCTAAAAAATTTAATATTACAATATAACATAAATTGTAATTATAAATTATAAATTGAATTATTTTTTTCAATATTTTTTATTTTTATATAAAATTATGTTTATTTTAAGAATAATTAACTTTCAAAATTCAAATAAAAACCCAGTTTTAACATGTGTATCATAAACAGTTTTTTTTTTTTTAAATCATATGTATTTTTTTATAGTTGAAAAACATTGTTCAAATCAAAAATCTACAACTAAATGTAGAAACAATTAATAAATATGCAACAGAAGAAACATTAATGTTTGAAGAAAATACAGACAAAATAAATCAGTAATAAATGTAAAATAGTAATTATGAAACAAGATGCTATTAAAAATTCCTTTGCGATTAAACAGTAAGGAACTAAAACAATATCAGAAAAAAGGGAAAATGTGGAAAGAACCATGTTCGGGTTTTAGAAACAAATTTGAACAAACACTTTTGATATGTGGAAGGCTACGAGGCCCATCAAATGTTTTTCTTCGAGAGTTGAATATATTTCCTGTTGGATGTCATGTAATGTATTAGTAGTACTTCTATGTCTCCGGAAACCGTTCTGGCGGGAGCCCAAAATATTGTTATTTTCCAGGAACCATCTGAGTCTGGAATCAATAATTTTTTCCAGTATCATTGCCATGGTATTCAGGAGTGATATTGGTCTGTATGATTTAACTTCAAATTTGTTTTTTTCCGGTTTGAGTATTGAAATGATTATGGAGTGCTTCCAATTTTGTGGTATGCGTCCGGATGCCCATATTTTGTTGAATACATTAATAATTTCGTTTAAGGCGGAAATAAAGAGGTTATGTATAAATTTATACGGTATTCCGTCTGGTCCAGGGGCGACACTAGTGCATTTAGATAAAACTCTACTCATATCGGCTAACAGAATTGGAGAGTTGAGTTTTGTCTGTTCGCCTAAGCAAGGGTTTATGTTGGATATAAAATGTTGTTTCCTCATATGTATATTATTTTCAAGAAAGGCTGTGTTGTAGTTTTGATCTGAACTATTATGGCAGAAGAAGTTTCCTAAGAGATTGGATATTTCGTCGGGATCACTGCATAATTCCGTATCTTTCATGATATAGATAAGATGGTGTTTGGAGTGGCCACGAAGTGACCTTACTCTGCGCCATATCAGAGACGGGTCAGCCTTAGGCTCCAAACTGGAAGAAAAAGTTTTCCAAGGGTCAGTCTTACTTCTTTTAACTAGGTATCGAGTTTTAGCTCTGAGCTTTTTAAATTTAATGAGGTCGGAAATGCTTTTTGATATTTGGAATGTTTTGAGTGCTTTGTTCTTTTGTTTGATTGAGTCTCTTATTTCGTCATTCTACCAAGGGACTCGGTGGTTTTTTAACAGTTGTTGAGGTTTTTCCTATTGAGATTTCAGCAGCTCTGATAATGGACTCAGAGATGAAGGTGGTGTCATCCTCAATTGTGCTGATATCAAAATGGGGACTTTCTTGCATGAATGTGTCAGCTACAGTAGAAAATAGTTCCCAGTCTGGGTTTTTTAACTTCCATCTGTGTGTGGAAGAGGGTGGCATTGTTTTGGTGGATAGTAAAGTAATTAGAATAGGTAAGTGGTCACTGTCATATATCTCACGTAGAACTTACCAGGATATTTTTTGGGCAAGCGACACGCTTGATAGGAAAAGGTCAATTGTAGAAAAATGACCATTTGATGGGTTAAGTCTAGTTGGTTCGCCGTTGTTGAGTAGTATGATTGTATCATTATATAGGATTTTTCCATTGATTTTCCTCGGGTATCCGTTGAATCTAACCCCCAATAATCGCTGTAGCTATTAAAGTCCCCAAATTAATTAAATGCTTTGGGGAGTTGCTTGATGATGTTGTCTATATCGGAGGTATCAAAAGATGTTTGATTTGGGATGTATATATTGCATATTGAAATTTTTGATTCTAGTGTTATCTGAACCGCGATGACTTCTAGATGAGAATGAATTGATATCTGTTCGCTGGGGTAGTCAATGTGTATTAGAGACGCGATGCCGCCGCTAGCCCGATTACAGTTTAGACGATTGGTGTGAAAGATTTTGTAGTTTTTATTACTTGGTATGTTATTACTTTTTAGATTTGTTTCTTGAGGCTAATGCACATGGATGAATATTGTTTGATTATTAATTGTAGATCATGACGTTTTTTTGATGAAGCTATTTATATTACATTGTATTATATTTAGGTTCTTCATTATAGGATGTTTTATATTAAATGCAATGTTTGCAATACTTGTAAATTATTATTGTTGTGCTGGGGGAGGATCAATGGATAATGAAGTGTCAAGAAGAGAGTTAGCTAGTCTCGTGAGTCTGTTCTTGATACTAAGATTTTTAATTTTTGGGCGGATCGTATCGATAATCTCAATCGTTTCCATGAGTGATATGTTGAATTGCTTTAAAACACTGGAGGAGTTTTGCACGCTAAGCGTGTTTTTAATAATATATTTAAGTTGTTAGAAATAAATGTTTAAGCCCAGTAAGTTTTCGAAGGCGGATTTAGCTGGTTCCAGATCTTCATCTAGCTTAATTATTATTTGTTCAATCGAGTTTGAGCGTTTATGTTTTTTGTGTAGAGGTTGTAGAGTTTTGGAGGAATCTTTTAATTTAGTTGCAAGTGTACCAGTATTTTTTGTATCTTTTGCGATAATGTTGATGATTGTGTTGGATCATTAGGATTTTTTATGGTAGAGGTGTTATCATGGTGGCTAATGTTGGAGGTAGATGAAGCGAGTCTTTTTCCTTGGTCGACTGGTTCCTGTGTGGTGGGCGTGTTGGTAATTGTTACTTTAGGATTTTTTTCGATAGATATATCTGTGTTTGAGTGGGTGCTGTCTATTTTTCGAGTATTCTGTTCATTAAGATCCATGACATTTTTAACCGGAGTGGTTTGGGGTTATTAAATCGAATCGGTTTGGATTAATTATCTATTGCATTTTTATAGTGGTTCGAAGTATAGCTCATTTGTTTACATAAATAACAAGTCACGGTATCGTCAGATAAGAATATATGATATTACGTTTGGTCGAATTGTAATAAAATGGAGCTTGGAATTTTGTCACTGTGCTCAGGGTGTATATGCATTTGACGCCTGAAGCTTCCTATATGATCGAACTCGTCATTAGAGAATCCAGCTTTCATAAATGTAATTGGTGATAACATTTTAATGGAAGGTTGTTAATTGCTTTTGCGATTATGTCATGTGGAATTATCGGCTGGACATTGGATATTATTATGCGTTTGGCTGGGTTGATAAGACGGCGATACGGTATTTCTGTGTTGTTTATAGTAATAAAAGGTTGTTTTATGATGATTTTTTCGACGATGTTTTTACTTGAAAAGTATATGCAGAACCTATTATTCGGAATGCGTGATGCAAATTTTATATTATTTGGAGGAGTTAATTGGCTGAATGCTTTAATATATTCTATTTGTGTTACATCTTGGATCATGTTGAGGATTATTGCTTGATATTTCTTTGGTCAAGACATATTTGCGGCAGTTTCTGCGAAGGTTTTATGCATGTTTGGTTGATGGGAATTAGATGTAGTACGGGGCGAGTCAATATCAGGGTCATCCGTCATGTTGGAGAGAGGTGCATATGGACGTTAATGCCTACTATGGTTGTGGGGGGCCGTAATCAAAAAAAAAACATACCTTCTTAATTACTATGAAATTCTATTTACTGCTACCGAAAGCTAAAATGCGATAAGCGACAGACGGTAACACACGTGTGTATCAGTCGGCTGTAACACACGTACTGTATATGAAAAATTAAAACGTATAGGCACTATGGTTTTGTCCAGGCAACGGACAAAATATTAAGTTTTTCCGAACATTATAACATTATAAGAAAATTATTGTTGAGTAAAAATATTCTCATGAGTTATTTTATTTTTTTTACTTGTCAACATAATATGATAACAGACCTTCTGTAATCTCTATCCCAGGAAAAGATAGCCTAGATGTAGTTGAACTTAAAGGGAGTACAATAATTGTGAGAATTAACTCAGGATCATGTTTAATGATAGAAAACTCATAGAGAGCATCAAGTGCCAAATGAAAAAAATATGATAACAATTATTTATCTAGATTTAGTACAATTTATAAGACGCATGGAATGTGAACAATAACACAGAATAAGTAAAACTACTTTAATTTTGATTTTAAAGTAAAAGTACCTATTATGAAATTTATAGTAAACATTATTCTGAAGGAAAAGTGATGAAAAAAACCTAGACAAGGAAAACACAAATGCCTTTTAAGTGTACCTAGAGACCCACTCGTTTGGACTAATTTAATCGAAAAATACCCTTAATCTGTTGTGCAAACTTTTTTGACAGAAATCTTTTTCTGATGTATCAAGTACCATCAAATATAAAAAACCGGAAGAAAACGGGAAAATGTACGAAATATGTTACTCAAATATTACGATTTTTTTTTCTGTGCACAACTATTCTATCATCAATTTTGCTTCGATATACAATGATAGCATTTTTTCTAAAAGGAAAATTGACAGGAAAGGTACTTTAACAAGGTCATTTTTTCATATTCATAGGAATTTTCCCAATAAATGGAAAAAAACTTGGGAAAAATAGATAAATAAATATAATTTTAAACAAATATTATTAAAGATAATCCATATATAATTATTTTACAATAATATGACATATATATTGTTCACAAACCAAAACTATTAACTAAACTCCACTCAGAATAGTTTTTTTGTTAGTAATGGTTAATTGTTGCATACAGATATATACTAAATTTCTCCTCTACCTTCCCAACTTCACATCTATAACAGCAGCCCAACCACGTATGTTCGTCTTTTTTAAATTATTAATTTTATAAATATATGCAATTTACTTGCTTAATACCAATTTGTTTTATTCAATCTCTCTTACCACCAATTTATACCTTAACTCGCCAATTATTCACATTCAATTAGCTAATGATTATAGTTATGTTAATTTATTTTTTTTTTATTTATGTATGTGTATGATTGTAAATGGACTTATGTTTTGATATTTTTTATAATTTGTAAAGGTATAGTCATAATGTATTAATATGTAATAAATATAATAACACAATTTGAACCTACCAGCTCTTAAGAACAAGTCATCACGGATTCTTAATGAACCAATAAATCTGATTGGACTATGATCTCTTGGTGAATTATGGACTCTAATTGGTCCCATTTCTTTACTTTTTACTGTCTCTATGTATGGAGAATTATGTTCTTTTTCCATATCTTCATCATTTGCTGAAAAGTATAAATATTTTATTATTTTATAAATTAACATTATTTTTATTTTATTAAACAGAACAGGCTGAGGCACAGAATACTGTATTTAGAAGTACATTCTTACATATTATTAATAATACATACATACTCAACATACATATAATTTTAGGTTTCTGAATACCTTTTAAAATCAAATGATGTGAAACAATATGTTCTAAAGCACCTTTTAATAAATATTGTTCATTTCTCTTCTCCAATTTTTAGTTACACACATCACACCTTTTATCCCAAACAATATGTTGATGATTTAGATTAATGTATTTAAATAATTCATTTAAAACTACAGTAGAATACTGATTATTTTGACATTTTGATGCTAAATATTTATATAATAATATTGAATTTATGAGTTCACAACTTAAATCAGCTAAAGTGAATTTTATAGAGTTATATTTTAAAGTGTATTCTTGATGTTCAATCATAGACTCATCAGTAATGGTAGTGAATTCCCCATAACAAGCTAATAAAACAATAATATCATAATTTAATTTTCAATAAATATAAACCCTAGTTTGTATTATAAATAATTACTTACATGGAATTGTATCTTCTGGTGAAGAATGATGTTTATTTAATTTTGGCATATGTACTTCTTCTTTGGTATATAATGGTATCCCTGAAGATTCTGCATCTTTCATTGACTTTTTTTTTTGTATGACTAACGTTGACACACTAGTTTCTTAGGAGATTTGATATTTTTGATTTACATCTTTTAAAATAACTATATTATTTAAAATAGGGGGTAAATATCCAACCAACTTGCTATAATCTACTATAGAATTTGTGTAATCATCATCTCTAATAGACATATTAACTCGTAAGATAGTCCAATGGTTATTAAACTTTTTATCTTCATTAAAATGACATTTGTCATATGATTCACAAAAGAATAGTGATTCTTTTGTAATCTAGTTGTATGTAATTACAAAACAGATATAAATATCCAAAAATAATATTATTTTCAACTGGATTTGAATGTAATGAGTGGTAAATTCCTTCAGATTTATCATAATTAGAATGCTCTGAAATGTGTTTTTCTAACTCAAGTACATTTGGGTAAGTAATTTTGCATATTTTACAATTTTATCTATATTCACCAATGTGACAAGTAATATGATCATAAAAACATGTAATCTCATAAAAGATAGAGTGACAAAAAACACATGTAAAAGTGATGTTTACAAGTACAGCATCCCTAGATGGCATTAAATCTTGAACATTTAAAAATCCAAAATTTTCTCTCACAGGTTCATTTATCAATATTTCAGCATTGTCTAAGGATATTCTGGAGGGTAACATTTCTTCAACAGAATGTTCTTCTTTATAATGACGCACAATTTTTGGTCCTATATCATTATAACTACATAATTTACATTCTAACATATTATTATCAAAAGTTTGAAAATATGATTTATTCTTAAAATCTTCTGGTGTTAAAACTTTTAAAGTTCTCACTTGAATAATTTCTTCCATATAATTATCAGACACATTACTCAATTCAGATTTTTTACATAATACAAAATTCATTTTTTTTTTATTTTCTTATGATTTTTAACATTTCTATCTGTTAATGTAGACTTGATAGTTTTATGTGATATTGTTGTTTTGGTACACTTTTATTTTAGTTTTTAATTTTGATTTCATTTTTTTCTTTTGGGAGTTTTTGGTATTTTATCATCTCTAATAGACTTATTAGTCTGATCATCTAATTGTTTAAAATTTGAAGGTTTATCTTTTTTGGATGAAACTACAGTATTAGTATGACAATGATCAATTTGTTTATTTTTTCTACAATGTCGAATCTCAGGAGCACTTAATTCAGAATCACAATCTAACCTTTCACTAATATCAGTTTGAAGTATTTCTACTTCAGTCATTCTGAGTTTGGTTCTTTGACTTATATTTGGAGATAATTGAAGTGTATTATTAACTAAGGCAAAAATTGGTTTGGGGTGCAGTGATAATGGTACATTTTCATGAAGTAAATTATCATTATTTGGTTCAACAGATGAAGTTAATTAAAATCTTATTATTCCAAAATGCATTAAATCTACTAATGGTAGAGATAATCCTAATGATAGAGGCTCCATATTTCTATTTTTTATACTCTCTATAAATTGTTGAGTCAAATTTTCAAAATTACATGATATAACCATATTATTAGAAATTTCATACTTACTATCTAGTATTAGATTACCTTTATGTATTGCCGAATTAATGTTTGAAAACCTGGAAAAAAAATTACAATTAGTACATTCATTATATAGTATATATATTCAATAACAATATCAGATTAATAGTGTCAAATTTAGTATTTACTTTGTTTTGTTTTCACATTCATCCAATTGATTACGATTGTTGGTATCCAATTTCTCCTGATAAAAAGTATGATTTTGTTTTAGCACGTTAAATATTTAGGATTATATAAAATATGCTTATAAAGTATAGAGTTGAGAATAATTTAAAAATAACATTCACTATATCAATAGGAAAATTTTTTTGATACTGGTAATCTCTAATTTAAATACATTTTTATACTATGTAAAACCCAGTAGATCTACATTAAATTATTAATTATATTCACACCATGATTGAAATATACAAGGTTATTGCGGATAATTCCTCACTTCATCATTTTTTGATACACGAAAAAATAAAATGGCAACGTAAAGGGCCATGCTTTCATTGGCCAATACGAAATCAGAATTGGAGGCAATATTTGTTTATTTGAACTGTTAATAATAGAATAAACTAAAATATACTCAATGTTTGTATTACAAAATTATACAATATACAAAATTAAATGATTGTCATTATTTGATCATATTGTTTAATTATTTATAATACCCAGATTAGGTTAGGTTAAATTGAATATCATGTTATAATAAAAATAATAAGACGTCTTAGGATAATGGGGACTGGTGCAACCATTGTTATAAGTAATTTAATGTATACCTGTAAGCAAAGAAAAACCATTAGTTACGAAAAAACGATTCTGGGCGGAGTTCAGTTGATAATGATTTTGGATGCTCGGTCCGTGCGCAGTCTACGGCTGTTCGTCACAAACTGACCCTGCAGCGGAGGAAGCTTCCGCTAGAACCTTGTATATTTCAATTATGATGTATACATTTAATTTTATACTTAAATAATGAATGGCATAATAATTTACCTTTTCTTCAAGAAGTTTATCATATTTATTGCACAAATTATACATTACATTATGATTTGATCTTAAATCAGATATTGACAACCTAAAAAAAAAATTTAATTAATTTTACATAAGTACATAAATATCGTACAGAACATTATAACATGGCAAGGATTAATTAAAGAGAACAGAAGAATATCATATAAAGAAAACAATAGTAAATCATGGCTACAATTTCCCTGAATAATTTTCTGTGATAAAAAGGAAATCATCCAAATTATGAAATTTATTCTAAAAGGTGTCAGTACTAAATTTGAATTTTTAAAATGCATGGCGATTTTATAATGAAGTAACTTATTTAGTTAATACCTCACAGTAGTAGATTCATTCCAAAATAATACACAAGGTAATCATTGATCCATTGGCACATTGATCCATTTAGGTGGGTACATTCGATCTCAGAAAGTTTTAACTTTTTCGAAATTTATTTTATAAAACCTTTAAGAAACAAGCAGCTCTACAATTTTACATTTATAATAATTATAAATAATGTTAAATATTATTTTTTGTCACTCTTATTTTCAGGGATAAAACCACTAGCTACTATTAACCTTATTTAAAAATTTCATAAATAGATGGAATAATAGTTAAAATAAATTTTGATGCTGACATTTTTAATTTCTGTCAAGCCGTTGACGAGATATACCACTTTTAGGTTGGAGGAGTAGTGGTGCATTATTACCACGCCGCGCGCCGTACCACCACACTAGTGATACTCCACTACTCTCCTCCAACCAAATTTAAAAATGAATAATCTCGTCAACGGATCGACGAAAATCAAAAATTTCAACTCTAAAATTTATTTTAACTAATACTCAATCTATTTATAGAATTTTTAATATAGGGTGCCATTTGAAAATCAAAAGTAGGTAGTGGTTTTACCCCCGAAAATAAGGGTGACAAAAATTAATAGAGATATAAAATTGTAGAGCCGCTTGTTTCTTAAATATTCTAGAAAAAATTTCGAAAAAGTTAATACTTTTCGAGATAATGAGTGTACCCAGTTAAATGAATCTTCTGGTAGACGCGACAGTAACGAGTTCGGTATTTTTGGTTCGCGCGGTGACCAACGAGAGAAGAAAACGCGACGACGGTAGCGAGTGTAACCGGCTGACCGTCTAACGCAGCGGTGATAGTGGGGGTGAAAAAAAATACTTTCCGAGATGAGTATATCCATTTAAATGAATTACCTTGTATACATTATATTGTATTTAAAAATGTAATCACATTCAATTTCCTTTTATTAAGTATTATTGTGAATCTCAGGCATTTGTTTTAAAAAATATTTATGTAGCTGCACATATATTAATTTAATATTTACCTATATAAATATTTATATATTTCTACATTTAATTCTAAATTTCAAATATGGTAAATATTGTGATAGATACCAAAGGAATTCAGAACAGAACTATGTTTACCTAATAGACTTTCAATAATTCAGGTAAACAAACAAAACAATTACAAAATTTCATTTGGGAACAAATAATTAATTAAAGGTTACATGTGGTAGAACAAATTTAAGGAGTATAAAAAAGTGATTCATTCCGTAAAACAAAAGTGGTAAAGAAATTATGTATGCATTTTGGAACAAATAAATTATTTTNTTCTAAATCCTTACAAAAACTACTATTGCACATCAAAATAAATAAGCGAGAAACATAAATATATTACAATCGAATGTTAAATTGATAAACAAAATGTAAAAGTAAAAAATATAAATCTAAAATTATAAAAACAACATAGATTAGGATCAAAAATACATAAAGTTGAACGTGATTTTGTTTTAATTTAAATGTTTTTTAATGGAATTTAATAATAAATATCAATAAGTTTTACTTATTGTATTTTTCATCATTTCATTAATACAATTTTGGAAGTTAATATTATTAGATTCTTAAAAACAATTTTCATAAATAAGATGTCCTAGGATAATAGGGACGGGTGCAGCCACTGTTATAAACAATTTAATATATACCTGTAATCAACAAATGTTTTTCCCGATTTTCCCATGTTTTATCCCGATTTTTCACGTTTGCGGGGAAAAATCTCAGGAAAATCAAAAAATGAACCGTTTAAAGTACTTCCTAGTGAAATTTATTTTTAGAAACATTGTTAAAAAAGTTGCGCACAGATAAAAAAAAAATGAATATCTTTGTAAAACCATAAGTTTCTTCACTCCGCTCAAAATGTTAGGGCATGTGGTTTATATTATATATATATATATATATACATTATGGCGACTTTACTTCAGTATTTCTTCAAACTTAAAACTATAAACACCGATTTTGAAAATCAATTAATATAAATTTGTTTCATTAATATAAGTGTAACTGGACTATTTGACAAATGTCATACCTTTTTTCTATTAAATAGTTTTAACTTTTTTTTTTATTTATTTATTATGACACGTCGGCGCTATAATTTGTATATTTTATAGTTAATTATATTTTGTTACAACTAAAAAAAACAAATTTTAATTTTTTAATAAAATTTGTATTTATAATTATAAACAGCCATTTTATAAATCAATTTTTACATAAAATGTTTGTGTTTAAAACTACCATATAGGTTAAGTCATTAATTTTCAAACAATTTTTAAAGTTTATTAAAATTCAAATTTATTTCTTACTAATAAGTTACATTGATTGCCCATTTTATATTAGTTTTTTCCAACAACACAACACAAATAATATGTTATCATGAATATCCTTAATAATTTTGAATAATTAATTATAATCGTAATTATTATGATAGTATCATAAGACAATATGACACACCACACACACCTATACTACACATAACGTATGTGATTATGAATTTGTAATATTATAATATTATTATAATTATTTCTTACGTAGTTACCCGATATAGGTACCTACATAATTATAATTTTTTAATAGTTTGTCAAATAATGTTTAGGATGTTGAGCATTTAAGTCTATATTAATTTATAACTAGGTATCTAAGAAACCGTTTAGTTTTTTTAAATGAATCATATTCCAACCTATTTTAATGAACACTGTTAGTTTATACAGTAATGTTTGATAGTGACATGGAGTACGTATACAAAAAATGAAAAAAAAATTGAAGAATATTATTTGGAGTATTTAACTTCAAAATATAAGTATCGATGAATTCATTATACATTTACTATTACTAATAATATTAAATATTATAAGTATAGATACTATTTTTTTCATATATTATTCATAATAATCAAATTTTATTTTATCTTATAGGTGGTTTCATAAATTTGGTCCAATTAATTAATTGTTTTAAGTACTGTTACATACATTCCAGTTATGATGGTGATTTACAAATACATTATTGTTGAAACAGCTTGCATCAGTCATAATATTTTGTTTCATCAATCATGGCATACCACCTATTTTATACCTGTAAAGTGAACTATCAGAAAATCAAATATAAAACATTTATATATACTGGAAACATTTTATTGAATCATTAAATAAACTGTTATGGTCCAGTCATAAATTAGTTTAGTGCAAGTGAATTACTATTAAACTAAGTAAAAATATCACTAACATCAATATTAAAAAATGTAAGTTAATTAACTTAAATAATTATAAGTTGAAATTTTATTTTAGTACATCAATCATTTTAAATAGCTGTGAATGTATTGATGTAATTTTTCAAATTCAAAAATGAACATATCATATTTGAAAATATTTGTATTTTACTGAAAATTTTGTTAATTTAAGTAAAGTTAATTGACTCAATTATTATAATTTGTAATTAGATATGTTATAGTAGTTATTAGGTAAATATAATCTAAAAAGTTGAAGGCATGAATGTTAGTACTAAATTTATAATCAATAACTAGAGATACAATAATAATTAATAGTAATATATTGTCGACTTCTTGCTAAAATTAATTAATGGTGATTTGGCCAGTTTTTTTTGTAGCACTACCTAGAATAATAAATATATGAATAAATAACTTTTTTTTGATTGACAAGAGGCTTCCAAAGTAAATTACCCACTATAAATAGCTTGTTCTTAATAACTTCATATTTTAACTATAGGTTAATAGAAGAAACCAATAAACCTAAATCTCTTCATTGGTTTATTGAGTATTGGTATAAAATAAAATACAATTCGTTAAACACAATAATTCATTATGGGTCCAATAATTATATTCTATAATGTTGTTTAGTAAATAATTGATAATTTTTAAAAACTATGAAGTCATATTCTGAACAATAAATTTTTTGTGTTGTGCCTTTTTATAACGTTCATAGTGAGGTCTGTCAGATCTCATTTGTAAAAATGTGTAAAAATATATAAAGAAAGTTAGATTTTTTAAATTCAAAGTCACAATGGGTTACCATATAATTTATAAATATAGATACAAATTTAATAGTAAAAAAATTAAATACAAATAAATACAAAACTATATTATATTATTATTAAATTATTTTTGTGTCATTTTTTAGGATCATTTAGACCCCCACACAACTACTTAAGGGTTAATGAGTTTTGGCTAGAACATAACATATTCTTTGTACTTTATGAGTTATGGCTTTATTTATTTGATTGCTAAGTGAATTTAAATTTACACTTATTCTCTACATTATGTAATCTGTTAAGTAAATTCTAATATTTGTTTAGTTTTTTATTAAATATGGTCAAATAATTGCAAAAAATAAAAAAACTATTTTAACTAAACCAGTGGTGGCCAACCTTTTTTTACAGAGTGTCATAATAAAAATTAATAATTCTGTTAGGCCAAGAATTAAAACTTACTTTTAAGTTAAAAAATATATTTTATTTTATTGTAGGTACATGTTATTATACATACAGTAATATCTTTAATTATTTATTATGTACCTATCGATTGTTATAAAAAAGACAAAAATATAAAATATAAAAATATTTTTTTTAAACATGAATGTTAATTTTTGAAATTTAAAGTTCTTTTTATTTTCCAATTTTGATTTAATACTTTGATAGGTTGATTAATAAATGATCGTGGGCCATAGTTGGTCACCACTAAATTAACCCATAGATTACTAAATAATAATTTTTACACTACTTGTTAATGTAGATTATTGATTTCATGATATTTTTAGATTAAAAATATTTAAAAAATAAACAATTTTCTGCACAAAAAAAAATTATTAATATTTAATATGCTATTGCTAGGGTATAGTCTTAGCTAGAAAAAAGTGAAATTTAATGGGGTATTTAATTTATTAGCATGTATATTGTAAGAGTCTCCACAAAAAGGTAGATCATAAATAAATACAGACTGAACCAAGTGAATGTTATGATTATCAATTTAGGTGATAAAATATTCCTTAGAACACTAAAAATATAAATTAATTTTTGAGTAACATTGTTTATATGATTAATATCTATGTTCCATTTGAGTTGATAATCAATATAAACTCCTAAGAACTGACTTTTTTAAAATACATTTTTGACCACTTTTTAGATTTGAAGATACACTATTATTTAAAACAACATTATATTATATTATACATTATACAATATACTTTGTATCATCCAAAATTTAAGTGTTAATACTGAAATTTAAATAGCAGAATCTTTCAATGTTTAATTGCAAAAAGTTATATTCAAATTACTTTTTAACTAATGATAAACCTTCATTAGCTTTGCCATAAAGCTTATCTAAAGAGGTATCATTAAATAACAAGACTGTATCATCCATGCAGCAAATTATTTTACTATAATTGTTGAAATTTAATAATCCATTTATATACATCAAAAATAATATAGTACCTAATACTGTGCCTTGTGGGAAACCAAAAGGAGTTTTAACTTCATGACTTAAAAAATTGTCTATTTTAAGTATTTGGGTTTTATATGTAAATATGGTTTAAATAAATCTAATGGTATTCCTTGAATACCACAGAACTCAAGTTCTTTTTTATCATAATATTTTAGTCTATGGAATCAAAAGCCTTCTTTATATAAATAAAATATTCCAAATACATTATTAACAATATTAATATTCTCATAAATGTATTTTGTGACATTAAACAAAGCATGGTTGGTAGATAATCCCTTTCTAAAGACAAACTAATTATTACTAAAAAAAAATTGTTCATATCTAAAAACTTAATTAAACTATTTTTTATAGATTTTTCAAAGATTTTACTAATTGATAATGTCACAACACTATTGGTCTGTAATTGTTGCATAACTTTACATCACCAATTTTAAATATTAAAGATAATTAAAGATTTTTTTAAATATATTAGGAAACATTCCAAATGAAAAACTGATAAAGGGAATGCTATTACAATATATGCATTTCTGAGAACTTTATTAGTAATTCAATTTATATTATAGTTTGTATTTTTTTTAAATATTCTTAAGAAAATTAATTATTTCAATTTCTATTCGGTAACAGGGGACCAAAAAACAGCCTTGTATGAAAAAATAGATGATACCCAGTTATTTTTTTTTTTATATCCTCAGAAATATTAATACCTATAAATATCCCAGCAAAGTATTTTTCTCTAAATCTAATTGAAGTTATTAATCCTCCAGTGATCCAGGGTTTTAATTTTAAAAATGTATTACCTTTATTATTTTTATTTTTAGTTGTAGAATTTAAAATTCCCAGTTGAATATATTGATTAAATGATTTAGACTGTTATAGTTTTTATAAACTGGATCTAAGTTACTAAAATAATTAATTTAATTAGAATATCTGTCATCTAAACTATCACTAAAATTCAAACAACATAAAGTACCAAAATGGTCTGTAATACTAAATTTCAAAATACGAGGTGTGGCTATTAAACAGCGAGACTGGTTATGAAAAAGTGTTTTATTATAAAAATTATTCTACATTCAAATGCTCCCCTTCAATATACTCCCCTCCCCTCGCCACACACCTTTCCATACGTTTTTTCATTGATCAAAGCAGTGCTGGAAGTCTTCTTTGGTGAGGGCCTTTAGGAGCTCTGTCGTTTTTTGCTTTACCGCTTCCATCGACTCAAATCGGGTCCCTTTCAAAGCAGATTTTATCTTTGGAAACAAAAAAAAGTCGCACGGTGCCAAATCTGGCGAGTACGACGCGTGTTCGAGCACTGGAGTGCGCTTACCGGCCAAATACTGCTTCACAGATAGCGCGTTATGGGCAGGTGCGTTGTCCTGGTGCAAAATCCACGAGTTGTTCTTGCACAACTCGGGCCGTTTCTTTCGAACTCTTTCTTGCAGTGTTGCCAAAACTGATAAATAGTAAATCTGGTTGACAGTCTGACCCTCTGGAACCCATTCAGTCATCACGATACCGTTAATGTCAAAAAAAACGATCAACATTGCCTTAAATTTTGATTTGGACATCCTTGCTTTTTTGATTCTGGGCGATTCAGGTGTCTTCCAATGCATCGATTGTCGCTTTGTTTCAACATCGTATTGAAAAATCCATGTTTCGTCGCAAGTTATAATGTTTTTCATCAGTCCGGGATCTTCTTTTAACTTTTCAAGGAAATCTGAGCAGACCTGTTGACGCAAGAACTTTTGGTCAGGAGTCAGGTTTTTTGGCACCAACTTCGCACAGACTTTTGTCATATGTAATTCCTCATGTAAAATTTTTCTAACCGTTTCTTTATCGGCGTTTACAGCCTCGGCAATCATCCGGATGCTCATTCGACGATCTGCACGCACAATTTGGTTGATTTTGGTCACTGTTTCCGGAGTTGAAACGGTGACAGGGCGACCTGGGCGCTGGTCATCTTCAGTGCTCTCTCGGCCCTCAATGAAGCGCTTATACCACTCAAAAACATGTGCACGAGATAGAGAATTGCCTCCATAGGCCTCTTGCAACAATTTATAGCACTCGGTCGGAGTTTTTTTCAATTTAACGAGAAATTTGAGATTGATACGTTGCTCCTGTTTTTCGTCACACATGGTTTCGGCACGAGAAAAAAACACGTTCGTTTCAAACCACTACTGCACAAATACTATAATAGTGACAAAAACGTGTCTTGGTACGTGCATAGATAAGATATCTAGATACCCAACGCATTACTCGTTTTTTTCACTGCTCATCNAGGGCGCCCTCTAGGCGAGCAGTCTCGTATTTTAATAGCCACACCTCGTATGTGCACAAATACCATTTTAATTTACGTTATTACATGCGATTAATACAGAGATGAGTTGGCCTATTGATAGTTTGATAAAAATTAAAAGCTGTTAACACATTAAAATATTTAGAGATATTATCATTAGTATTACACAAATCAATATTAATATCATTGGAAATAAAAGTAGTATTTTTGTTTTTATTACTCAATAAAAATGTTTCTAAAGATTAAATAAAATTAGTTGTATTTATAAAAGAAGGAGACCTATATAAACCTAGTGCATTCAATTTTTTTTATTATTATTGGATATTAATAGATCCATAAAGTCCAAGAAAACATGTAATAAAATGAAAAAATTATTTTAAACTAAAATAATAAATCAAGTTAATATACTCGGACCAAATGGACAACTAAAATACGATTGATTTCTTATAGTCATTTATAAAATCATTGAAAGGATTATACAAAGATGTTGAAATGTATGAATGTTTTGAAAATTACAACTGTGTGGATTAAAAATATGTTTCCACATAAATGGATAGATTAATTTACACAAATAAAATGAGATTAGCAGATCTTTGTAATTACAAAAAAAAACGAAATTGTCTTAAGATAATGAATATTAAAAATTAACCTTGATAAACACGAATATCACGGATGTCATACCCGTGATATTTGTGAATTTAGAAATTCGAATTTTAATTCTCGTTATTGGTTTATACATTAATTATTACAAAAATTAGTTGTTTCAATGGGATTCTATTTCATTGAATGTATAAAAGATAAGGGCTAGTCATTTAAGTTCAAAACGGAGAAATTTTGTGTAAAACTTGTGCGTTACTATGAACGCCCAGACGATATGATGCTCACAAATCGTTCACTATAGGTTTAAGCGCTTAAATCGCTTTGATTAAGCTATGGTTTCCTAGAAGAGCGGTGCCGTTATCCACCAGCCGTAATTCAGCGGTGGATGACGTGACTAAAACATTGTCTATACAAATCAGACAGCGTTGGTTTCCTAAAGAACGTTGATTGTCAACGTAATGCCATAATACAGTATCGTTATTTGTATGACAGCTGTCATTACGTTGTCTAACAGTTTCCGAACATTTTTTCACGTGTAGCAGTAAAGTTTTACATAAATAATAATGAGTATCTTCCGAACCTATTGGTGCTTTTTGTGTCTGTTATATGATTTAGAAGTTAGATCATGTCTTATGTAATTCAATACATAATCAAACAGTAATGATATTAACCGAAATTATTGCCTGAATTTTTAATCGGTGCAATGCAGATGGAGATCAGGAGACCCACTAAAATTTGAAACGCACCCTCTGTAGCACAATTTTTAAATATTTCAGTTTTCTCTGCCGACAGTTTTCTTCTTCCAATGACTCTTCATCTTCTAAAAATACTGATAATGCGATGTCTAATCGTTTATTTTTCCACTGTTGAACGTCACACTATTATACCAAACACGGTACTGCGTACGGCCGCTTAACATCTGCACCACTTTCTAGGAAATCATAGCTTTACTGATCCAAAACGAACGATTATTTAAATGTGTGAGCGTTTGGACATGATATCAAAAATATTTCGATAACATGATAACAATAATGATGCCTATTGAAAATATTGTATGAACAATTTTTTGCATGCGAGCAAAGAAAAATAATACAATTTACGGCGTAAATACCACTTCATATTATACATGTATGTACAACTATTAAGCGTATTTGGGCCTTCTAAACAGTTTAGTGATTAAGTTTACGGTACATATTCTGGTTAGTAAATGATAACTCAATCGCCAAAAATTCGTAATTTTGGTTACCAACATATTCCATAATACTATCACAAATCATAATTCACATTATGTTTTTCAATTTTCAACTTAAATTTTTTTTCTCGCCCGGGTACTCGTGTTTTTCAGATTTCATAAGATAATTAATTAGTTATTATCCAATAATGCTGATATATTATATCAGGTTAGCTACTATGTCTCCAGTTTTACACAAAACTTCTCCGTTTTGAACTTAAATGACTAGCCCTCATCTTTTATACATTCAATGAAATAGAATCCCATTGAAACAACTAATTTTTGTAATAATTAATGTATAAACCAATAACGAGAATTAAAATTCGAATTTCTAAATTCACAAATATCACGTGTGTCATAAATTTGTGTTTATCAAGGTTAATTTTTAGTAAAATGTTTAGAAAAAATTCACCAAACAGTTCGGTAAAAACTATAATCAAAATTCGTAGTTACAACGCTAAAATACGCCAAACATAGTTCACATGTCATTAGGAAGCAATCAATTACTACGCTCCATTCACTACAACCATAATTCGTAAAAATTAAGAAAAACGGACAAGATTAATCTTGAAAAGTTTAAACAATTTGAACCTCAAAGATAAAAACATAAGAATGTCAGAATATTCAACATTGAAATAAATAACAAAGTATACTAACTTTTTTGTGTCTAGCATATTATACAGAGCCTCAAATTGTCCGACTTGTCGCTTCTGAATATTTAAATATTCCCACTCATTAATTATCTTTCGCAACTTTGGCAGACCGTTTCTTGTAGCTTCCATCAACTGCTTGTATACTTCACCTAGATTATCAAAAGACAACAGTAATTAAAATTTAAAAATAAAACCAGGAACGTAAAAGTGATTACCATCAGGATCGTCTTTTTCATCCAATTCCATAGTGATAAAATCGGCAAATTAAAATTGTCTGGTGACGAAAGTTCAACAACAACCTTGTGGGCACATGAGACGAACGTAAAATGCAGCGACGCAAACCGAACAAAACGGATACTCACTCAACGGGAAAGGGTGGGGAGAGGGGGTTGCAAATGGCGTCGTGACCTAATTACGGTTTGCCGAAAACGAGTACGAAAAACGAAAATCGCATTATTAGAGTGGTGTCAAAAACATACCATTTTGACGGCGATAAAACGACAGCGTTAATTATCTATGTATTAGAAATGGTTATTTTAACAATTCATTAGTCTACATTAGTGGATAAGCCGGGTGTGTTACACAAAAAGATTCGTGGCAGCGAACGCCCGAACGTCAGCTAACAAGAACGATAGAACGACGGAGCGCACAATCGAGAGTTCACCACTTATTCGATCCGAAACACAACTATAATCAACAATATAACACCGTGGAAGTGTTTTAAGCAATTTTTAGTATAATATAATAGCAGAAAACTAACGGAATGACAACCGGAGAGCCGGACAACTAACCACGTAATAAGTATACAGACAACAGTGTTGTTCTGAATCAGTGTGTATGTGTGTGGGGGGGGTAAGGGTGTGTACGCGCGTATGTATGATTAACATGGCAGGGTGTGCGTTTGCGAGTAACAATCAGCTGTCTGAGTTGCCCGGTCATAGCGCGACAGCTGCGGTACGATATTGGTTCAGAGTTGCCAAATGTACGGTTTTGATAGTATTTGTACAGTTATTTAAAATCTTTTACGGTGTGCGATGGGCCGGAAGCAGTTATCTTAAAAATGATACGAAAAATCAAAAAAAATTATCTCATACTAACCGAAAAAAATGTGAATTATTCCAAATAATAATTTAATATCAGTTTGTGTGTCAGCCTGTAAGTGTATTTATTTGTATTATCGACATGAATTAAATAATTTCTCAGAACTTGAAGTAATTTTTTTACCAAAAGATAAAAAATTGGATTAAAATTTAAATATTTTTAGTTCTTATCCCTGCAATTAATGTTAAAATTAAAATTTTAGAGTTCTGGTAGATAAAAATATTAAGTTAATATCGTTATTTTTGTAGGTACATATCCTAGAAATTCGTAGAAAACAAACAAAATTATTATTCATTTTTATTTAGTTAACGCTTACATTCAATCTTATCAATGTTTTCGATTTCTTCCTTATCAACTAATATAAAGAATAAGGAATAATGATGTTTTACTAATACATACAAAATGGAAAAGGACGGACATACTTCGCACTTGGGTGCAGTCACTGTTGTAGGTGAGAAGTTGGAAAGATAGGATACAGACGAGAATTTAATGTATATCTGTAAACAATGATAAACCATTGCTAACGAAAAAACGATTCTGAGCGGAGTTCAGTTGATTGTGTTGCTTTGTCAACAATACAATATATAACATATATCATATTATGGTAAAATGATTACAATAATGTGCGTTTTCATGACAACTATAATTGTTTAAAAAATATTAAAATAATAAAAACTTAATAATATTAAAAAAATAAATAAAAACGGTTGTCAATGACATACCTTATCTTTCAATCTTTTTTAACCTAAAGACCAAGGTTTTCCTCATTATCTCGAATAGTAATGAAAATTTCAAAAAATGGCTTTTTTAAAGTACCACTCAGAGAACACTTCCTTTCAGAAAAGGTGCTATATTTGATAATCAGAGTATTCTTTCTGGTAGAAAAAGTGTTCACAGAAAAAAAAATTAAATAAACATCATTGTAAAACCAATATATTTCTCGTTCCACTCAGAAATTTTAATTAAAAATTATCATCTGTTTGTACCTTTAGAGGACGTTATACCCACATCTACTGTTTCAGTCCAACTAGCGGATAATATACAAAAACAATGCTTACGTATAATAAGTAAAACTAGCTTAATTTTGATTTTAGGGTAAAAGTGCCTCTATGAAGTATTATATTATATTATTACAATATTTTGGAGAGATTGTCATCGATTTTTTTTGGATAATTTATTATTTATTTATTTATTTTCGTTAATGCCAATTAACAATTGTAATAAATTACATATACATATAAAAGTTACAAAACAAATTAAAATAAGGAATTTTCTTTGGTACTCCAAACGTACTGGTTTTTAAACCTTTACAAGAGCAGACAAATAAACAACACGACATGATTTTTCATGTAAAACATAAAACCTACTATAATGTAAAATTACCTTTGAACCTGCATAAATATCTCTTTTTAAACACTAAAAAAAAATTATTACATACTAAATTTGCATATGGTTCAATAGTTCTATTTTTAGTCGTTATGATCTTATTAATTGCATGCTTTTAAATTAGACGGAAATATAATAATTTCACATAATATTGTAATATAACATTATTTTCACGGACAGAGAGCGCACTACGTTTGTTAAGTAGCTGTTTCTGAGTGCAATTTCAATTACCATGTGATAACACTTATAACATATCTCCTTCAGTAATCTGTATAATATCTATAAACGTGGGCTTAATGTAAATTGGGCAATATTTACAAAATAAATGTCTAGAGACAGAAAATCTGAACGGCTGCAAGATAGCTGACAACTACTTTATCATACAACCAGTTTCATTATTACTACTTTTTTTACAATTTGATTTACAGTTTCACGATTTTAAACTTGACGTAAGTTGTTTTTTTTTTTTAATAGACTATTGCTTATTGTGTAGGTTGTTTAGTAGAGATGTTACAAACTATTTTTTTTTTTTCAAACCAAAATCAGGGTAGTGTTTTAATCAGTTTTTAAATCAAACAAAAAATTGTAGGTATTTAATAAAATGTATTATTGTAGGATAATTTATTTATTTATTGATTAAATATAATATATTATGTAATTAAAGGTAAATACAAATAATATTAAATTGGTTAACTTTTTACAGAATGATATGTATATTTTTATATTTATATTTATATCAAAATTAAATAATTCAACAATATCAAACCAATCTACTTTCCAAATTGAATAAAACAAATTTAAATTAAATTTTGAAAAAATGTTTGATGGAATTTCAAATTTAGAAAAACTTAATGTTTTGAAGAAATGTTTCTCTATCACCCAAACCCATTTTAGCTGCTTTAAAAAATGAACAAATTTTACCAGTAACATGATATTTTTTATTTTATTTCCATTTATATCTATTTTTGAATATGTATGATAAACATTATATTATTTTGCCTAGTTAAAAAGTTAATTTGTTTCATTTTCACAAATAGTTGAATAATGTCAAAAAAAAATTATAAGCTGACTTGCCTTTTTTCATTTGTGTCACCAAAATAAATAAATAAATAAATAATAATAAAACAAATTTAAATTATAAAATCAAAAATCAAGTATCATCCAATTTTTGAATTCTAAAATTAAAAGCATAAATTATGTCTTAGAATATCTTATAGTGAAAGTCTCATTAAAATTGGTTAACAGTCTCTGAGATTAGCCCGTCAGTGTTATTTATATCATTATATCTATAGACTATATGGTATTTCTTGGATTCACTCAGGTTATGATCCAATAATTTTTCCATTATAATTACCATATTTTTAAATTTATTGTGATTTTAGATTTTTGTACACAACTTTTCTATCGAAAATCATACAATACTAATCAAACAATTTATAGGAAATTTCTTGTAACATTTTTGATCTAGTTAGAACATTAAATGGCCATTTTTTGATTTCTCTTGTAGTTTTTTTAATAAATTAAAAAAACTGGCATTTTTATTAATTCCTTGGTTACTTAGGCAATAAAGAAATTTAACAAGGTAATCCAAATCTCAAAAAAAATTTATCTTTCATATTATATCAAAAATCTTGTCCAGCCACTTCCATATAAACATGTTCAAAATGCTGTGTATGATAAATCCAATTGTAGATCAATTACAGACATACAAACACTTTTTTGTTATTATAGATTATCTATGTAAAATTCACATAATATAAATCATCATATTTATTTACTTATACTTAATACTACAATTAAATTAAATTATTATTATTATTATTTATTTATTTATTATTTTTAATATTTGTTTTATATTTCATTACAGATTTATTTTCATTAAAAATACGAAGTCATTATGTCAACCCCGGCTAGACTCCGGTTGATGGTAGATTTCAAAAACTTGCAAGAAGATCCCCCAGTTGGTATCGGCGGAACTCCATCAGATAATAATATTATGTTGTGGAAAGCTGTTATATTTGGGCCTCCTGATACTCCTTTCGAGGATGGCATATTCAAACTGACAATTGAATTTACTGAAGAATACCCCAACAAGCCGCCAACTGTGAAATTTATATCCAAGATGTTCCATCCAAATATTTATGCTGAAAATGGAGACATTTGCCTTGATATATTGCAGAACCACTGGAGTCCTACATATGATATTGCTGCAATCTTAACATCTATTCAGTCTCTTTTGAGTGATCCTAATCCTAACTCTCCTGCTAATTCTTTGGCTGCTCAGTTGTACAAGGAAAACCGTAAAGAGTATGATAACCAAGTTAAAAAATGTGTTGAACAGAGTTTAATTGATTAAAAACAAGATATTTACTAATCTTAAAAAATATATAATTATAATAGTTCAGTCTTGATAATTAATATTAATTTTTTTAATTTTATTCCTGTGACAAAAAATTCTTTCTGATTTTATGTTTTTTACATTTTTTATTGTCTTGAGTTTATTATTATAATTTTTTTTTTTTGCTAATGAGATATATTTTTGTGCATTATGCATAATTATACATTTATATATTATTTATATAGACAAAAATGAAATTAAAAATATCTTATTACTAAGAAATATTAATTATAGTAACAACTTTATAAATATGTTTTGTTTAAGTTCCCAAAAACTTTTTTTATTTGTATTTTTTTTTAAAGTTAAATTTTCTTATAATCAGTTTATACATTAAACTTACATTTAATAGAGTTTCATAAAGTTACATTTAATTGTATAAACTATTATTTTATTATTATTATCAATATTTTTTCATGCTTATGTTATTATAAAATTTATTTAGCTGATTTATCAGTTGAAACTTAGGTTTATAAAACGTGAATCAGATACATTATAGACGCTTTTATTTAATATTTACAGGATTTTAGATTTAAATTATTTGTGATTGATTTGAGTATAAAAATAAAACATACAAAAATTGTAAAAGTGTGTACAATTATGTTTATAATTATTTATTATTTATTTGTTCAGAGGACATGATACCATCATTTACTGTCTGTGGTATCTAACAGGCAATTTTAGCGAAACTGTGTATTCATACTTCCAATAGTATACATGGTCTTAATGTCCTCAAAACAAAAATTATTTCAACAAATTTAAGATAACAATATTTACCAATTCTTCATACAGGGATTTTTTTTTTAGTTTTCAAATATAATAAATAAATTGACTATAATTGGTCAATTGATCAATTGGTTTTACTATGATGCGTATTTTTTGATTTTCCTAACGATTTTCATAATATCTGGAAAAAATCAGGATAATGTAAGAAAACTGGAAATTTACGAAAATAATGCTTTTATTATTATTTCAATTTTGTTATTTGTTGTAAGTCAGTTTAAAATATTCGTAGAGACTTGACATTTAGGTATAAGACTTTGACATGCTATAGGTATATTTTCTACCCTCATCGACCATATTCCATAACTACACTGTATAATATATAGCTATAATATTATTTTTGCACAATTTATTATTGAACAAATAGTATTTCAATTCTAAATGATAATATAACCGATTTATGTCAGGGAAATAGGAAAATGTTAAATAATTTATAAAACCAGTTTATTTGCCAGCAAAATGGGATGTTGGCTAAACGGAAGTCAGTGACGTGGAAAACAAATAAAATTGTTTGCATTTTTATTTTCCTTATTTAGGTAAAAAGGTGTACCTATAGAGACCCAAGCCATCGCTTGCTCGGACTATTTTAAAAGCAAAATACCGCTCGATTTATTGTGTAAACTTTTTCTACCAGAAATCTTGCTCTAATGTATCAAGTGTAGATTATTTACTGAAAGGTAATTTTACCTCCGTGGTAATTTAGGAAGGTCGTTTTTTGATTTTTTAAGCGGTTTTCATATCTGGGAAAAATCGTGAAAAACAGGAAAATGTACAAAATATTAGGATTTTTTTTTCTGTATACAACTTTTCTACAAGATATTTTCTCAGATTTACAATGATAGCACTTTTTCTAAAAGGAAATCTGACTAGGAAAATACTTTAAACAGGTAATTTTTCGATTTTCTCGGGAGTTTTCCCAGTAAATATGAAAAACCGGGGAAAAAAATAGAAAAACAAATATTAAAGCAAATATATAAGGCCTATTTTATTAGTGCACCATAATATGACGTATATATTGTTGACAAAGCATCACTATCAACTGAACTGCGCTCAAAATCGTTTTTTCGTTAGCAATGGTTGATCGTAGTTTACGGATAAAAATTAAAGATTACGTATCCTACTTTCCCGGATTCCCATCTAAAACAATAGCACTTCTGTCCCCAGTATCAGGTCTTATTTTTAAAAAAATTAAACTTTTACCTAATCAAAACTATTTCAAAAATACTACTTTTGACGATATTACAATAATGAAATAATAGAGTAAAAACAAAATGATTAAAACTCGTAAATAAAGTAAATAAATATACGAATAATAATATAAATAAAAAGTTTATATATAAAAATAAAATAAATAAATGAATCAATGCGTCGCGTGGAGTATTATTTTAAGTGTATTATACGACCAGTTTTGAATTAAAATTTTATCATCAAGTACATCACAGTCAAAATGTCACATATTTGCTTTATTTATTTACGAATATTAACCATTTTAATAATTTTGTTTTTACACTATTATTTAATTATTGTATTATCGTCAAAAGTAGTATTTTTGAAATAGTTAAGATTAGATGTCGCGTTTTACATTTTGACTGTAATATACTTGATAAATTTTAAATTCGAAACTGGTCGTATAATACACTTAAAATAATACTCCAGACGACGTATTGATTCATTTATTTATTTTATTGTTATAATATATACATTTTTTGTTTATATATTTATTTACTATATTTATTAACTTTAGATATGACATCACTTGTTATCGACATATTTACAGTGTTAAGGAAAAATAATTGAAAACACAAAAAATCAGGCAAAATGGTATTCTTGTTTTATTCATCATTTGGATGAATCATAAAATTATAAAATTACCTAGATCTATGCAAAATTATTTTAAATTAAATTATCTATCTAAACCTATTGTAAGCTATACAATTTTGATTTTATCACACAATATAGACTTAGAGCTCAAATACAATACAATTTGTTAAATATAATAGTTACAAGTAATTATATAAATTATTATCATTAATTATAATTTTTTTGCTATTTGATTTTGTGTTATTACACTTAAAAATACTTATTAAGTCCGCGAAATCAGTAAAGTCAATAAGCCAAAAATTCAGTAATAGAGCCCAAGTTATTATTATTAACTACCAACATATAGTTTTAGTTATAATATGATAGCGATTAAATTAGTACCTACTTAAATAATTCCTTATCTATTTACCTATAGTTGGGTACCTAGGTAGTCGTTTGATTTCAATGATAATTTTCGGGTGGATTGAATTATAAATATACACAAAATTACAAAAAAAATACCTCGTTATATTACAAATTGATTTTTATTTTATATTATGAGTACCTGCACTTAATACTCATACATTAAGACATAATCTCCAAATTCAATATGTATCTCCCTCCTTGACTAAATCCAAAATACCTACGCCACTGTATATTAAAAATTTCGATGCTCGATCGTACCGGCGATAATTTTTATTGTAACCTGTTAATGATAATATATAGGCAAAATAAGTACATATAAGACAAAGTAATAAAAATTCTTAACTATTATTATTTATTATGACTTAAACCTGATAATTTTTACGGTAGGTATCTACTTACCTATTTTCTTAAAACATCGCGAATAAACATTTCGATTTTGTTTTTTTTTTTACACTGATAACGCTATCAGTCTAGTATACGGTAGGTATTGGAAATCTAGGCTGAACGTTTCTCGTTTGTCAAGATAAATAATATAATTATTATCCACTCAATTATTAATATGTAATGCATAATATTTTCCTTTTAGTGGACACCTATCTTATGTTAGAATAATTTTGCGGGTAGGTACCTATGTCGAATGCATATTTCATTCATGATGATTGAAAATATTTGGACGAATCATATTAACTACTAAGGTAAGTACCCATCTTTCTAATACAATTGGTGTCTTTTGATGTCTATTGATGTCTTGGATGTTTTGAAAATTGTTAACTTATGTATTACTTATGTAATAATATCATTCCAAACTATTATTTATCGACATTTAGGCTATAATATCATTATTTTATTATACTGTATTTTGCATGCACTCGAAGAGTGTTCATTAATATTAAATTTATAAAATTGAATTGTATTAGTGTGTTCAATTTATTCAGTTGATTATTTTGTTTTTAGTTGATAATATATCTTAACCAAAAGACTACATAATTTTAAAATCGTCTAATGGGGAAGATTATTACAGATTTATGTAATGGACTTGATACATTTAAGGTACCTATTTACTTTCACATTTAATTATAAAAAAAAAAAAAAAATTCTTAATTTAATCGATGATTATTGATATAGTTTTATGTTCACAGGTTTTTTGGACAACAGTGTTAGAAAATGGGGCTGTTGTATTTGATCGCTGGTCGTTGCAATCACATGAATTCATTTTGGAATCTTTGAATTCCAGATCTATACGAAATGCACATGAAGGCATTCATTTAGCATTAGAACAACTCACAGAAACATGGGTAGAAGCAAAATGTGTGTTTCAGCAATATAACTTGGATTTTTTCATTGATGCACTACAATCAAAAATAATTTACTTAACTGGCAATAACTGTAAGTTATTTGAAATTATGATTTTGTTTATAAATAATTCATTAACCAAGGTTTTATACCTGTTTCAAGTCATAATAATATTTATTTTATACATTATTAAATATGCATTTTATGTAAGCAATGAGATAACATTTGTTTTCCACTGAATTAATTTTTATAATAATAATATCTATGACATAGGACACAGATGTTATAAGCACTGTTTTCATAATTTTACAGGAGAATGATTTTAAAGTTTATACTGCTATAACAAATCAAAAATGTAACTTATTAACACGAACTTTGTGTTACATTTTCGTTGACAAATAATGAGTAATTAGGAATAAAAATTATTGTTGTACTGTTGACATATGAGGTGTGACAGAAAAGTAAGGAGACTTTCTAAACATAAGCTAAATCATTAAGGTTATCTATAAAGCGATTACTGAAATATGATTATGAAACGCTTTTCTAAAAGTATTATTAGTATTTATAAAAACTGTTAATTATTTTCATATTTATTAGCTCTGTGTGTGTTCAACTATTTTGCCGGAAAAGTAATAGATTTCTTGTTAAATTAAACAAAATTGCCGTGGAATCATTTTGGATATTAAGCAAATTTTATGGTGAAGAATGCTTTTCATGAATACATGTTTTTGAATGGCACAAAAAGTTTTGTAGTGTCAAAGTTATTCGGCAAGATCATCAATTAAGTGTTAGAGTTGTAGCAGAGATGATTAATATTGATAGAAAAAGTATTTGTAGAATTTTAATTGAAAATTGAAGTATAAAAATATTGTGTTCCTAAATAAATTTAACGTTGCATCAACATTTTTTAACTGAAAAAAATATTTCTGTATTACAATACCCTCTACTTTATAAACACCTTGCGTCTTGAAACTACTTCCTATTTCCAAAGTTCATTAAAAGGAACCCATTTTCAAACAGCTGATGATGACTAAATGGAAACTGTATAGTTTCTAAAAGGGTTTACTGAAAGTGATTGGTAGCACTACTTTCATGAATAGCAGTGTTGTATGGAACAGTGAGTAGTTACTGAAGGAAACTACTTTGAAGGTGATAGTTGGAGATCATATTAGGAGCGCTTAAATACTGTGACCGTAAAAATCTGGACTGTAAAAATTTTGGAATCCGTAAAAATCTGGAAGGTACAAAACTGGACTGTAAAAATCTGGAGGCATACAAATCTGGAATAAAAAATTATATGACAGTAAAATACTTGAACATTTAACACAAGGTTCTTTATAAGTTCTACGCGTGAGGTTTTTTTAAATATTAAATTTCAAATTTATGCCATCCAGATTTGCACCATCCAGATTTGTATGCACTCTCCATTTATTTATGAACCTTGATATCTTTTAAAATCCTTAAAATATGTTTTTATTGTGTTTAAAATAAGCAGTGTATTCTTTTAATATTTTTAAAAAAAAGATACCAGATATACCAGATATAGGATGTTTTATGTCCTTAAAAGGCCTAAATATTCTTTTAATATTCTGAAAACAAAAAAAATTTAATTTGAATTTTTAGTTTAAATTAAATTGCATTGTTAATTTGATTTAAAACATTTTTCATTACTTTTTTTATTATAAAAAATAATAAAAACAGTATTGTTTTACAAATGTATTGTATTCAAATTTAAAAAAAAAACTTACAAATGTGATCACAATATTAAATGATAATAATATTCAAATGATAGTAAAACTAAAAATTAAAAACAATGTAAACATCATTTACAACATATTTTCTGCATAAATTTCATGCAAATACAAATATAATAAAATCACTTGCAACAGTATATATCTGTACTTGAGAGGCAGAAAGGTCCATTATTGTAACTTTTTAGGAGAGCCAAAAAACGTTTTTCAACTATTATACCACCCAGGTTTGTTTTAAATTATAGGCTATAAGGTAAATATATTTTCTTTTAATTATAACTTACCTATAGTTGTTTATTTTATAATTTAAATGAAACATTAGACATTTTAGACTTGGATTGATTTGCTCAATCACAAAATGACTTGGACCTTATTGATCTCTATGTTAATTTTGATTATTTTAAAAATATTATATTATACTATAAATTATATTAATAATTATTATAACATGGACTGTTGTAAACTGTAATATAGATAAAAAATATAATATATTGAATAATTTACAATCTTTAAAAATTAAGGTAATAGTAAAGTTACCAGTTAAATATAAAAATTGTTTATCTCTATAAAATGTTTTATTATATCAATAAACAATATTTAACTAAACAGTGTTTATAAAAGTAAAAATTAGAACAAAATGTATTTTAAAAACAAATCTTTATTTAAAACATAATAAATAAAAATACATAACAATCTTGGTTTAATATTATAACTCAATATTAAATCGTTATAATAGTATAAATAAAAACAAAACATATTTTAAAAACAAATATTTTTTCTTCAGCATATTAATTTAGTCTATAAATATACTCTTCTTTTCTTATCCCATTTCTGGTATTTTCAGCATGTGGTAAATTTTTAAAACAGTCATGGTATACAGGTGGTATCCATTACAGTAATATTTAAAGATTTTGAAATTTTAAGATATTAATAAGTTTCAATGTTGATCTGACTTGTGGGATAATGTTAGGAATATCAATTATTGATTTATTATTCACTCTTCTTTTATTTCTATTTAAATTAATTGTCTTGAACTCTGTCTTATTTTATTATAAGTACACCTAAATTTTTTTTTTTATCTACAACCAAACAACTTTTAAAATGTGAAATAAATCCCCATTGTCATTTTTTTGGGGAGGAGAGAAAAATGGTGCATTTTTTCCATTATACAACTTTTCAAAATTTTTCAAATCTTCAATCTCTATCAAATGTACTGTGGTAGGATTTTTTACACAAGCAGTTTCTAAAAATTGTTCCCAATTTTTTGGGACTGAAAGGGGTATAAGAGGAAAACGTTTTTTTTCTTTTCTATAACTGAATGCACACTGCCAACTTCTAAATATGTATGACCTCTAAATAGATATTTATGGTTTATTTTTTGAAGATTAGAATATTTGAACAATAATCAAAAATATGCCATAACTTGTTAAGTTTATATTTTGTTCTGTAAAATTATCAGTACAAAGATTAACTTTATAGTACTTTAATGTTGTACTTCATTTTCAATCCACATACATAAAACAGATGCAATTTCATTTATACTTCATGATGTTGTATATGATTATTTATTTAACAGCCCAGTTCAGTGATTTTATTTTAATTTTACTTAGTGTTTTTGTTTTAATTCAAATAAAAATTGAGTTAAAAGTTTAAAAAGTCAGTTTAACTTGCATTAAAATGGAATGGACCAAGACCAACATAATACAATTGATTGAACTATATCAATCTAAACATATGTTGTAGAATGCTAATCATCCAAAGCATTTTCACAATAATATAAATAAAAAAGATATACTTATGTACTAAAATAAAAGACAACAGAAAAATCTGAGACTAGGGGGAACAGGGCCTGATTTAAAGAAATATAGAGAGAGAGGCCTTTTGCACTATATTTACTTTGGTGCCCTATTCAAATTAAAAAATAAATAATAAAAATTAAAAAGAAAAAATATATTTAAGAGATAGTTTGTATCAAATACGTTAAATTATATCAAATTTATATCTGTACATCACAGACATTTTATTAAAAGTCAACTTCTATAACCATTTTTTTCTTATAATTATTTGTTAGCAAATTCAGCAGTAATGTTTTTAAATGATTGATTGCTGGTAACAATAAATAATTTATTCAGTTTTCTTTTAATTAATAAAAAACGTTATTATAGTTATTATATCTTTAAGTGCAAAATATAATTAAATTAAAAAAATGTTAACATTCTGATACATAATAATTACCTAATTATTTAACCCTTATTAATCGTATATCTACCAAAAATATAAAAGTGTACAATTTTTTTTTAGTGTAGGGAGGCTCCTTGGAATCTGGGGGGCCTGGGTGGGAAGTGCGTAACATAAGACGAACATTGCAACATTAAAAACATAAACTAGGACTAGTATTGTGCAACAAGTCGTGTATCATGTTGCGTGATACGTGATAGGCGTGAATTTTGCAATTGTGGATCCAGTTTTAAACTACCCGCATATAGGATTTAAGTTTAAATGGTATTATCGATTATCTATACTCCGTTCGTTACAACTAGGCGGCGCCTAAAACTAATTATTGCATATTCTCCCACTATTCCAGCGCGAGCACTTGCTGACGGCTGCGCGGTGGCATTCAGATAATGGTAGCTAGGTGAGGGATGTACAAGCGTGTTGCGGTCTCACAGCGAATGGAGTATTATCAGCTGTGGTATTACGAAGAGTGACGTATGCCTTGTAGCTACCCACTCTCTTAATATTGCCAAAAAAATTATATACATAATTCCATTTTATTATTTTAAACAAATTCGTCACTTACAATATCAGTGTGCTATGTCATCGATATTAAGCTATATATGTATGAAGCGGCAGTATACTAGTACTTCACTTTACCTAAATAAACCATTTTTTCTTTTTGTAGTCAATCGAAGCCATGTTTATATTGGTTTTGCTGGTCTATTTCTCGGTAGTGGAGTAGGATTTTTGATTGGTATCAGTGTTAAGCCTTCTTCCATCACAGTAACTCATATGAAAGCTGTTTCTGCTACTAATTATAATGGAATTGAAGTAATTCTTAATTATTATGTTTTATATTGTCATTGTATTTATACATATATTAATTTGTAGAGTATAACTTTACTGGAAGACATCGTAACTCCAGCAATTACTGAACCCAATCAAGTTATGATTATGGTTAGAGCTGCTGCATTAGACCAGATGGATGTTTTAATAGCATCAGGCTATGGATCATTTATAAGAAAATTTTTATTGAAATATACGCGACATGTAAGTATAGAAATGATATTAACACTCAATTGGTCTCATAGCTGTTTAAAAGACTAGTAATTTTGATTTTTAATTTTTTTAAATCGTAGTTTTATTTTGTAATTCATAGTACCTTATTTATGTATACAAATAATTTCAATGTATAAACATTTTATAATTAATTACTGAGAAGTTATTTTCCGTCATAAATACCATGTGCGGCTACTTTTGTAAGATCATAATGACTGTGTGACTAACCAAGTAATGTTTTTAGTGCAACCAACATAGAGTTGATATTATTATACAATATTGATGTACTGTTATAATCAAATATTAAATTAACTATTATCAAACAAGAATTTTTTTCAGGCTAATATTGTTTACAAATAAACAGTTAAATGTTTAAATTATTGTTTACAGAAATCAATGCATCGAGAATTTCCCCTTATATTAGGCCGAGATTGCTCAGGTGTTGTTATTGATTTAGGATCAGATGTACGACATGACATTAATATTAATGATGAAGTATGGGTGTCTCTGCCACCTTGGTCTTTTTGTGGTACTCTATGTGAGACAATAGTTGTAGAAGACAAATATGTTGGTCACAAACCACAAACATTATCTCATGAACAAGCTGCAACATTACCATATTCAGGGACTCTAGCATGGCTAGCTGTATTTCAAACAGCCAATTTGACTTCATTAAATGCTATTGACAAAAAGTAATATACTAATTTTTAACATTTTACTTGTTCATCAATAAAAAATTAATCTAGAGACATAATTATATTATATAAAAATACAGTGCATTTAATTAGAATATTTAAAATAATGTGAATTATTATAATTTTATGCGAATTACATATTAATATTTAATAGTATTCGTATTTTGAGTTTTAAAATATACAATTCATAGCACTATTAATATACATTATTTAAAATAATTTTCAGAATCTGTGTGTACTGTAGAGATACAAGTGTATGTTTGTTAATTACTCAACTGTGTTACAATTTGGGAGCAGAAGTAACAATTGTGGGTACAGATCGTGTTTGTCGTCTTATGAAGTATTTTGGAGCTAAAAATACATATGATAAAGAAACTTTCAGCATTGACCAGTTACTTAGTACTGCACCTAATGGGTAAAATTATTTATTAATAGTATTTTGTGTATTAAATATAATTATTTACTATTTATGTTTAGATACGATTATGTATTTAATACTGCTAGTGAAATTCATAATACTCTATGTAAGCAGTTATGTAAAGATGGTGGTAAACTAATACCCTTAGCACCACATCAGTTTCAATATGATTCATATGGTCCAATCCATCAATTTTTCAGTATGCTTTGGTTAAAGTTGACTTATGTAGGTTTATTTGAATATTAGAGTTAAATATTTTATAAATCATTATTAATGTATTACATTTTAGATTTTCAAAAATACCAAATCTTGGGACCATTATGAATTTGATTTTAGAATACTAAACGAACTCAGTAGTATGGCTGATAGTTTCATTATCAAGCCTGTGTTGGATACAACTTTTATGGAACATGAGTTTGATCGAGCATTCAAACGCGTAGAAAATAACCAAAATATTGGAAAAGTTGTTCTGAAATTTAGGTATAATATTTTAACCATTATAATTTATTTATTCTTGTCTTTTTTTTTAATTCTTGTGGTTTTTTTTTTAGTAATTTAAATAGTTCTACAGCCATGGTGCCTCGGTCTTCAGGCATTTTGTTTTAGTACATTTATGAATCGGTTATTTGTGATTGTTTCTCCAAGCAATCTGTTGATTATTTTGAGTGTAATTTTGTGTTTATTATTTGTGATGTGATTTTTTGATTTTTATTCTTGTTAATCAAAATTATAGGTTAAAAATGAGAGTAAACTAGTGTATTATGATTTCATAGAATTAGTATTTTTGGTTTATTACTTAAAAAATCTAGCTATCTATTTTTATTTACTTATAGATTAAGTATTTTACTTACTATTAATAATAAATGTGTTTTGGTTATGCTGTTTTAAGCTACTTGGTAATTAATTTAGTGAACATAATATTTTAATAACCAAATGTGCTTTTTAACAATCAGAGCACTGAAATCGGTGACCAATTGAAAACTATATTTTCTGTCTTCCAATGGGTTATTCATTGGTTAAATACTGAGCACTAAACAAAAGATTTTGATGATATTGCAACCAGATAGCAAACTGTTTACCAAAAACTGCATTGCCAAAACACATCTCGTGTTTTGATTTGACAATTATTAATATGCGCTAAAACTGCATGAGCACAACAAAAGATTTTTCATATCAATGAAGAAAATATTATAAATACTAAAATTGGTAATACAAATGTGCAAATAAACTCAGTGCAATTAGTCCTTCAAATCAAAAACACTTTATAAAATAAAAAAGACAACTTAATATTAAAATTTACTTCTTAGATATTTATTATGTTATGATCCAAGTGGAAAAATAATCATTGTAAACACCGATTAGGAGTTTTACACAACTTCCCAGTTTTCAAGCCACATGGATAATTATATACATATACTAGACACTGTATACAATAGCCATTACTATCAGTACCAAGTATAGAAATGTTTAATATGCTTAGTTTATTATAGCTTTACATTTAAATCTTGTCTCACATTTTTTCTCTCCTAAATTGGAAAACAGCCTAGTTGGTTCTATAAATGATAACCATGAATGTCTAGCACATTATTAACACTAACAAACTGTTATTTGCAAATTGTAAACTGATTTCTACTATAATGATACTATAGTTTACCTTTAATTGTATCTAATTTGTATTTTCAGTCTTCCAATATTATCAAATTTTAATTACACATTACTACATTAATGAACATGTTAAGAATGCAAATTTAATTGTTTATAAAACCTGACTAAATTAGTTTCAAAATTGATCTTAAGTCACTTTGAGCTCTGTCTACATCTAGAATTTTTATTTTTACATATTGTCTAATTTTTTTTTTTTACAAAATTGTCTTTCTATGACAGATTTCATTTTATAAGCTTCAACTTATAAATTTTGAACAAATCCAGTTCTTAGCTATATTGTTTAAAATTAAGATTTTGTGTCCAGATTACTTGCTTTTTAAATTATACTTCAATCAGTTCATCAAAATCAATATTATCTATCTTTTTATGACCTTAGGTAGGTACTGAATTAAACTTGTAAGTTTAGTATGGCTATTATAAATAGTACAATTGTTTTGTTATTCTACTTGGACTGTAACATATATATTATGTATTCGTATAATTATGGTAAATTCTTAAATAAAGGTCTAACTTATATTTCTACACATTGTATTGTATAACATTAAATATCATGTTTATCATCCCTAAAATTATCTTAAAAATATGTAAACAAAAATTGTATTTCATCATTTCACATAAATTAATATATAAGTTTCAATCATCCATTTCATCTACTGAATATTTATAGATAATATAACATTGTAGCTAATTATATTTTATTATTTCTATAATAAAGATACATTATAACACGCTGTTATAAAATGTATTATCAGTAGGTACTTATTTTCTTAATGTGCCTCCACTTACTTAAGTTGCTTATATGTCACAAAAATACAATAATAGCCAATATACACAATAACAAATGTTATGTAAAAAAATAAACAATACAGAATTAATTACAAATGACCCACTGTGAGTAAGCTAAGAGAATCAATTATTCACTGTGGGGACCCTTATAATTAAAAATATTCACAAAAGATTATTTCTAAAATATTTTGAAACAAGAAGTACCTAAGGACAAAAATTAATCTTGTTTTTAATTTAAACAATAAATAAATAATATAATTTATCATTGAACTACTTATTATTAATATTATGCACAACACTGTTTTATTTTCATTAAAGGATAAAATAATTATTTTACTATGGACAAAGTTAAAATGTAAAATCTACATTATTAAATGGGTAGATACTTAATATTAAAGGAACTTGATAGTACCGCCAAATGAAATATTCAATTCAATATTAAATTATAGAACTAACCTAACTAAACTAACTTATTGTTACTGGTGGTTACCAGTAACAATAATATTCTATATGTGGAAACAAATAGTTAATATTTTCAAAAAATTGTAATACTCGATAAAATGACACATATAAATAGATATAAATTATATTTGAATAGTTTATTGTTATTGGTTAGAGTTTCTTTGCTGAAAACGTACACAAATATTGTAATCTAATCAATGTATTAATTATTATTGTTATCAAATTCAACAGATCAAGATAATATTAAATTAATCAGTGTTTTTAAACATATGTAGTATTATTTTAACCAACAGTTCATAAATGTATTTCATTTACTCAACCTTACAATAATTAAAATGAGTATACCTAATATAATAAGTACTAATTAATTATATTATTTTGTATACCTTATTAAATAATATATTTTTTTGTGGATAAAATATTTAGAACAAATAGAAATACTTAAAAATGTAACTAACAGAAGGTTCATTATAAGTCATATTTAGTGGTCAAATAAAAAAAAAGTTAAGTGTAATGAATTTTTTTTATAAGAATTTTATTATTACTATTATTATTATTCTAAACATGTGTAATCAAACTTTGGTCTGAATTATTTTTCGTTGAAATGTTTAATAGTTGCATACAGATAGTTCTACTCTACTTTTATCATGTGTAAAATCTACAATTATTTAATAATACTTAGCATTTTTTAACTTTTCAAGTATTTTATTTTTAATTGCTCGAGAAAGTAAATGTATAATTTCATTTTGAATCACCTTACCTAGTTAATGATTATGAATCTCCTTATTTTGAATTCTGCGAACATGTTCTGATAAAACACTATAAAATTTTGCCAGCAGCTGTACTAGTCGGAGAAAATTGCCATTATTGTTTTAAAAAGAACTCATCATGATAATACACGTATAATATAATATTAATAAACTACTATTAAGGACCATTCTTACATAATTATTAATAACCTTTAAGACTTTTTACAGTTTTCCAACTAAATAACAATTCTAAACTCGATGAGAACGTGCATTGGATCGTCTGTGGTCGACTAACGTACGTATCGTTATCGCCGTTCTATTTATATTCAGTATTACGATTTTGGTGCGTTCCCGGTAAACGAAGTATCAATATTATATCATTATTATTAGTTAGTATTTATTATATATTTATTTTTGTATATTTTGAACAATGATCATACAATTCAGCATACTATATTATATAATAATAATTAAATTGGTTCATTCGAAATTTGCCGCCCCCACATAAGTGCCGCCCCAGGCGTCTGCCGCCTATTTTGCTACCACATTGAGCCGGCCCTGGTAATAAGAATGAACAAAACGATTCCTCCACACTAAACAAATATTTCGAAAGCTATGAAACAAATATTTCAATCCCATTGATGTATAAAATATTATTAAAAATTAATTTAGCATCCAAAATACTTCACCTGGATCTGATATTGGAAAATGCTGTTGATTTGCTTAAAAACACAATGGAAAATATGGGTAAAATCCGTGATAATATTAATATTTTGATAGAAGAAACAAATTCTAAAGCATTACTGGGGGATGTGACACTTGATTTTTCTTGTAAACGAACAAGAAAAGTGAAAAAATTGTTTGATGAACTGTGTCAAGTTCAATGTCTTTCGCAAGGAAATCATTATTTTGAAACGCAAGATTCAATCGCTATATTGACACTGTTATTACACAATTATAAATAATATTTGTAGACCTTATTGAAATAATTTATTTATTTAGTAGTATTTTACGACTGACTGTAATATCTGATGACCAAATCAGTGAGAATGCAAAACAATTGGCGGATAAATTGCAGTACTTTAATCCAGCAGAACTTACTAGCCACACAAATTCAGTTATTCAAATTCCTATTTGCTTCTGAACTTAAATCTTATAAAAGCGTTTTTGACATAACTAAATTACTAATAATAGAAAATAAAAATGTAATTAAATTTAACTAGCATTTCCCTCATTTATTCCTTATATTACTGGATACTGTAGCAAGTGTAAAGAGGACATCCTTAAAACTAAAAATAATTTTAAAATATCTAAGAAGCACCATATCATAATACGACCTAGTGGTCTTGCGATGGTTTCCATAGTAAATGAGCGAGCTAAAAAAATGTAAGATTGTTGGTGAAGACGTTTGCTCAAAATTAAATCAAAAAAAATTTTCATTGTAAATTCTATAAAATTATTTTTGTAATTTTAATTATAATTCAATAAATTATTAATTTACCGTGAATATTTATTAATTTTTTTATTGTATACAAATTAACAGCCCGATGTTTAGAAATTATCACAAATATAAGGCCTCCAAAAAAATTTTATCTACGGGCCTCAAAGAACGTAGTTCCACTACTGTTGCTAGGTACTTATCTACTTAATGAATTTATTTATTAATTCTGATGTTTAAACTACAATTTACGAAAGGACCAATAATAGTGATATAGTGAATAATAGTGAATAATATTGCTTAGGTTATGTAGGTCAAATAACTAGGTATTTAATACACCTAAATTAAAATTTACTAGGTAAGTAGTATTAAATTAATTCATACATTTATTATGAATTATAATATAAATCACGTTTTAATACATCTTTATTGGTAATATAAATCTAAGTGAAACGAGGAATGTATATTGGTTTCACAATGATGTTAATTTTTTTTTGTATCTGTGAACAACTTTTATACCAGAAACCATGCTCTAATTTACAATGATAGCACTTTTTTTAAAAGGAAATCTAAATGTGCAAGTACTTTGAGATGGTCATTTTTTGATTAGGTGGCTGCATCCGTCTCCATTACCCTAGGACACCTTTTTTCAACGCTCATTTATCGTAAGTCATACTATAGTCAGGCGCGTAACCAGAGTTAACCCTACGTTATAGAGGAGACATTAGAAAATAAGCTATCCTAGGATTATATGGACGGGTGAAACCACTGTTAAAGGTGAAAAGTTGGGAAGATAGAAGAGGGTAAATTAAATTTATATCTGTACGTAACGTTTAACCATTTCAAATGAAAAAATGATTCTAAACGCAGTTCAGTCAATAGTGATGCTTTGTCAACAATGTATGTGTCATGTTATGGTAAAATAATTAAATGGGCATTATATATATTTTTTAATAATAATCATAACAAGATTTCTGGTAGAAAAGTTACGCACAAAGAAACCTTCTTTAGTAACATTTGTTTAATATTGTACCGATTTTCCCGTTTTTTCTACGTTTTTCCCGGTTTTTCACATTTGCTAGGAAAACTCTTGAAAAAATTGAAAAATGACCTAAAGTACGACTCCAAGAAAATTTTCTTTTAGAAAATGGTATGCATCGTATACATTGTAGTAAGCTTACTTGTAAAAAAAAGTGTTCCATAAAAAAAAAAAAAATTAAAAAATATTAACATCTTTATAAAACCAATACATTCTTTGCTACACTTTCAGAATCTAAAATACTACATTACACTTAATTTTTTTAATTTGACCACAAAATACGGCCTATAATAACCCTTAATTAACTAACATATTTAATTCGTTAATTTCGCGTCAATTAAAAGATAATAAAGTTGAATTAGAAGTTAAGTTAACGGAAACCCAAAAGTAACTATAGTTATGTTAAAAAGTTTAAATTAAATTCACTTTTTAATTCGTTAACGCCCAGCTTTAGACGGGTATAACCCCTTCCTTCGAGATAATTTTAAACATTTATCCGCTTCCCCCTCCCAAGACGTACCAATAGGTAACCTATTATTTTTTTTTTTTTTGGTTTATAATTATTAAAAACATAGCGATGAACCATACTATTTAATATATTGCATAGGTATACAGTATACATATACTCGTACATATAATGTCGGACGAATTCGGTACCTACCCACTGTGTATTATAATACAGTCTGCCATCACCACGTCCAAATGACGCCCACCGATGTTATGGACGTCAGTACTTACCTATAATTCCCATATCAATAGGTATCTATAATATTATTATACCTAACTACCTGCCCCGTAATAAATATAGGTCACGGGAGGATCGTCACGGTTCACTAGCATATAGCACCGTATCCGTTCTCTGTATGCCATTATAGAACGATTATTTTATTATTATTTAGTGTAGTATCGTATCATTATAGCGATGACGAGTTATTGCGTGACTACCGTCCGATGCGCGAAATACTCGTGCGCACGCGCGTCTATAGATATATCTTGTGACATATATACATTATATATATATATATATATACATATATACCTGTGCACCCACACGTAGTTGTATGTGTGTGTGGGTGTATATATATATAGGTATAAACCGAGACACCGCGATACCTCGTGCGTTGAATTATTTATCGGCAATATAACGGCATGGGTAAGTATAGCCGCGCGTAAATATACCTACATGCAACGCGGATCCCGCAGAAGGTGGCGCCCACGGATGACGGGGAACGGCGACGGAGGGTCGCAGCGGAGGGGTGCCGATGATCCAGGGTGGTCGCGATCGGACACGCGGCCTCGTCCGTGTAGGTCTACGGTCGTTCGTTTTACCGTGTACGTCGTCCGACGACATTGAATTGTCGTCATCTCGTTATTGACCCGTATCAGGCACCGAGCCTAAATTCCGTCGTCGTCGTCCAGGCGCCAAGCCGCTGCTGCACGAGCGTCACACCAAAGATGGCGGCCTTCCTCCGCCCGAAGTCCCGCGAAATGCCGGACCTCCAGCGATTCGGGCCGCTCGGCCGGCAGACGCCGCCGCCATCTCCGCCACCTCCGGCATCGCCACCGTCATCCGTTCTCCAACAACACCAGTCCGACGACAAATCGTCGCCGACGGCCCCCGAAAATTGGATGTCTTCGAATCAGAGAGATGATTTTACAGCCGACAACTCGTCGCCACCGCCGCCGCCGCCGCCGCCGCTCGCCGAACCCGACGAGGTATATACCTCCTACCGAATAGGGTATCCAGTGGCGGATCCATAATTGAATTTCGGGGAGGGGGCTTTCTAATAGAGATTACTACAAAGCATTAAAAAAAAAAAAAGGTGATACTGGGGATGGGTGGCAGCCACTGTTGTAGGTGGGAAGTTGAAAAGATGACACACAAGGTTATTTAATAATTTATACCTGAAAGCACCGATAAACCATTGCTAATTTATTTTTCGATTGGAATAAGATTTCTCGTCGATAATTAATTGTTTACAGACAGAAAAATTAATTAAAAATTAAAATACATCATATAGTACAATCAACACATTCATCCAGTGGCGCCGAACACGTATGGCAAGTGTGGGTAATTACCCCCGAAACTTTTTTAGGTAGGTGGGTCGTGGCCCGTGGGTGACTGTTTTTTATTATATAATATAGTGTAATTACTGAATAGTATACAGCCAACAAGATACAGTGTTTATACCTGAGAGATTCCTCAATGCCAGTTTGCACTATGCACTAGACTAGCCTCTAATATGCACTACCTATGTATCCTTACCACGGTTATAGATATGAATTGATAAAACAATAGCATATCGGTCTATGTTAGAGGGCTCGGTATGTTTGATCGGTATGTTCCCACTCGAAACATAGCAGGTAAGCGAATTCATATGTAAGTTCCGACACGAAAAAAAATATACCTTTAGTCTATAAGTAAATTTCTACACGAACAGAAATATTAAATATTATACAGAAAAACATAAAATAATAAAATAAACGAATTTTGCGATTATTTAATGACTAGACAAAACACATAGAGGATAATAGTACGTTATAAAATCAAAAAACGACTTTCTCCGTAAGCAACTAGATCTAAAATTGAACAAAAAAGGGCTTTTTGTCATTTTTTTTAATAAAGTAAAATTTCTAGTAGAAATCATAAATTATGAAAAGAAGTCCCAGGATAATGGAGACGGGTGCAGCCACCGTTTCATGTAATTTTATGTATACCTGTAGGCAACGATAAACCATGGCTTACGAAAAAACGATTCTGAGCGAAGTTCAATTGATTGCGATTTTTTTTCATTAATATATATGCTGATTTCTTCGGTTTTCTGTTTTTCCCAGTTTTTCAAATTTACTGAGACAATCGAAAAACGGCCTCTTTAAAGTATCTCCCCAAGTGAAATTTTCTTTTAGAAAAATTGTTACTATTTAAAGTTGGAGCAAAATTGCTGGTAGAAAAGTTGTCCACAGAAAAAAAAATAATAAACATCTTTTTAAAAATATAAACTTCTTCGCTCCACTTAGAATCTAAAAATAATTAATAAAATCCGAATCTAAAAAATGAATAAGACTTATAGATTAATAAATTAGCACTATTATTGTAATAAGATCGCAGTGTATTGGTTACTGAAGATTTATTACTTAGATTTTTTGTCCTAGTATTAATCTATGTGTAAGTACAGTGTGGGATTCTCAAAACAATTGTGGACTCCCGCGCTTTGTCGATCGTGTCGTTCCGATCCAGTATATCTTATTAGTTCGTAGTTCACAATCATAATATATACTAATAATATACCATTTAATAAAGATCATATGTATTATCTATTATCTAAGTTCAACACTTCCATTTTAATTTATACCCGCCATTAAATATTCAAATATCAATTTAAAGTGTAACTATCACGATTTAGATAGATAGATATCTTAAATCTTGTGATATTTATTATTATCTATTTATCATTTTGTAATATTTCGTGATATGAAATTACGAACATTTATATATATATTACATTTAAATATTTTATTATTTAGTATTTTACTAGTATAATATAGAAAAAGATTCTCAACGTGATCATTAAAAAAATATTTCGTAAAAACAGGTGGGCTCCGAGACTCACCCCTTTTATCCTGTTTGGGTGGGTGGGTAGATGTTATTCTCAAACAGGGTTTACCCCAATGGTTTAAAAAAGGTTCGGTGCCACTGTATTCATTGTGCCATTCCGCCTAACATGAGAATCTTATATTATATATGCGTGAAACAATTAATTAAGTAAAAACTCTTGTATAGTCTATAGTCTAGAAGAGTAGGAGCCGAGTTCCCTGGTCCCCCACTGGATCCACCAATGCGGATTAGGTTAGGTTAGGTATCGATCGTAGACAATAAGAAACCATCTGAGTAACGCGTAAAATGCGGAAAATAGCAAAAACTAAGTTTTTTCCTTGAATTTTTCCGGAAAACTTATTGCACTGTACTGTGTCTGTTACATACATAATTGTATAACAGGTAATTTTTGATACTTTTAATGACTCACACTGGACAAAATAAACTCAGGAATCAGAGTTTTTTTTTATGTATAGGTGGATTGAAGAAACGCATTTTCGGCTGAATTTAGATACGAATTTCACCGTGTTGTTGGGGGAAAATTGTGTTTTTTTAGGTTTGTACACTCCTACAAAATCTCCAAATGAAACTAGGGGGTGTCATTTGATACATCCATAGTGATGTAAGTATCAAAAATGTGCCTTTGGTGATTTTAATTTTCAACCCGCTCTTTAACCATTTTTATGCTTAGATTTCATGTTTTTACAGGAAATACCGGGTTTTAAATTAGTAAACACCTATCCATCTGCACCGTCTGTTTGTATATTAGCAAAAATTTCGAGTACTACTTTATCTATTTTGGTCTAATTTTTTTCATATTTTTTTTATTCCTTATCATTAATGACAAACAAATAATCGTGGAATAATGCAACTGCAACAAGTCAACTGGGGTAAAATTCGAATCTCGGAGGTTGGCTGCTTATATGTTTCGTGATTTGTTTATATCTAGAGGAGAAGTATTGAACTACGATTTCATATCTATCAGAAATTGAAACGCCTAAAATAGGACGGGAAAAACGTTTAAAAAAAAAGTTTAAAATTACGCCATGTGTGTACATACCTGGATATCGTTTTCAAACAAACCCATGCGTTTTCTGTTTTTAATTATTGTAGGCATTTCAAAAAACAAAATAAATATAGACAGTGTGTACACTTTAACCGCCGACTGTTTAATACCTATTCATCAATATATTATTCTTTCCAAGTATGTATATAATTACTGCTACTGTCTATTTCGTGCAAAGTTTCAGTAAAATTTGCACCACGAATACATTTAAATAATTACTTATATAGTTGATAATATTTTATATATTTTGATAGGCAGTATAAGTTGTAAGTACTCAAGATTAGGTTTATATTTTTTTTTCTTTCCATTCGTAAATAATTTATCTACCAGAAATCCTACTCCGGTCATCAATTTCGAGGGTGATTTTCGTTATAAAATAGTGTCTAGTCGGTGAATTTAATGCATCTATTATAATTCAAATTCAGTCAAATCACAGATAACTGCAATTTCTATAATTGTATAAGCCCTTTATTTACGTAGTACAATTGATACAATTCCAGATGATTTTTGAACTATTTATGATTTATAATATAATTGTATTAACAATAAATGCGTTTAACGTTTACAGCCTCAAAATTATACTTCCCCAAAAAATGACGGGAAACACGTGTGTTTTAATTCTACTGTCGATTTCGTGTTAGCATATAACAGAAGTCAGCAAAACGTGAAGTCTGGAAAAGAAGACAGACAATTATTGGACGATGAGACGGAAAGACAATTTTTTTATCGCGAATTGAAAGCGCACGGGATATTAGTTAACATTGACGATGAACCGACGGTAAGTTTTAGTCAATACTCGTTCTAGTTCAAATGGCTCGTATTTTCAAAAAATCTGTTAATATACAATCAGCGTTTTAAAAATGTTAATATTATCAATACAATAATACTCGTGCCAATTGTGTGTATACGGATAGGGGGGTGAAGACAAAATAAAAACAAAAACTTACATGGGTACAGGATAGTTTTTTTTTTCCTCTGTAGGATTGTAATATTATTAAATTAAAAATTGCTCATTATTTACACGCTTACTACAGATAGGTTAAAATAATTTATGATATCGAGCAGATGTATTAAACAAAAATGTGTTCGAAAATATTTTCAACATCATTCCTATCCCCGTGAATATTTTTTAATGGCGGACTCAGTTTTAATCGCGATTTTCAATACATAATACATATTATTATATTAATTATAATGATCCGTTATCTTCAGTTTAAATCTTTGAAGTCCGGGGGTACGCTTTAGTTATTATCACTGAGCCATTTTAATGCAATTTTAAAAACTCGAGTTAGTTCTATTAAGCACATTTTTTTTTTTTAAACCTATTATAGATTATAAATAATTAGACTCTGTTTTAATTAATTTTTACTAAGATATACATTATATATAGGATAATATGCTTTTCTTTTTTTTATTTTGTGGGAGGAGTCAGGTTTATTTTTGAACCCTATCAACGTCAAATTATTATGACCGAAATATAAGTATGTAAGTGAGAGAAAAAACTATTGTAAGTCTTGTCTCCGTGATGAATTTCCAGAAAGTTTGGTTGGGAAGGATTTGGTTGGGTTTAGTTATAGTTTTCAGAAATGCTTCTCAATTTTTTGGGAAATATTGTATCCAGGGTTTCCCGTTCTAACCACCGGCAATAACCGTCATCTACGGCTTAAATACTATACGCCAATGTATACCAATTAGCTACATATATTGTTTTACATAAAATTGTAACGTTATGTACCGCATTGTTTGTCCGTCGCCATTAATTGTGCACAATATCGTATACTATAGTATTCGCTAGATGCGGGCCGTACGTGTTTCGCTCTGCTGCAGTTATCTCGAAGATATTTGTGTAGATGCCGATGCCATACGATCAGCGACGAGGACGAACAAACAGTGATCGCCAACACGAAATACATCAACTACCAACAGGTACGTAGAACTTGTCTCGAAATAGATGATTATAATGTTTGTATAGTGTACCGAAGTTAACGAATCCTGATTGCGCTACAAATGCACTCTATAATCGTATCGACCATCGTAATCGTCTCACTGAATTTTTATGGAGAGCAAACAATAATGGGATTAGAACTTTGGTATACACAACAATTTAATTAAAATTAATTAATTTCCCAGTAAGATGTAAACATTATTAAATTGTGATATTTCGATTGCCTACTCATGTCTCGCTCAGGTAACGAAAAAATAGCGTCAAGGTTGCTCAGATAATGTTTTTTTCTTTAAGTTTGATAGTAGCTCAATTCACTCTAATATTAAAACCAACAACACAATGTTGGAAATTCTGAGCGCAAATTTGCTACGACGGCCGTATGTTTGAAAGACAAAGACGACATAGTACGCGTATCACGGCCACTTAAGAAAATTCACTGAAGACAGATAAAAATATTTGTAATTTTATCGATGGGAAAATCGTTTTCAATTATATCAATAACCGCGATTAACAAATAACAGTTATATAATATAGTTACTATATAAACCACTGTCATAGTTTGGGACATCATAGTTTTTATGGAATACGAATATTGTCATGAACTGCCCATAGTTATAATATATGTGGACATATGGTTATACTGTAAAATAATTTTTCTTTTACTATTTTATTGTATGGGCTATACAATAAACGTCTGTGTTAAACACAGCCAAAGGCTACTCCACTCAACTATACGGCTTTGTATAAGCACACGGGTATTTCACATAACCAGATAATACCTATCGCATTTACCTATTGAAAAAAAAAAATCTGTCCTAAGATAACGGAGTGTAGCCACTGTAATAGGTACTTTAATACATACCTGTAAGCAACGATAAACCATTGCTAACAAAAAAACGATTCTGAGCGGAGTTCAGTTGATAGTGATGTTTTTTTCAACAATATAAATGTCATATCATAGAAAAGTAATTTAACAAACATCATATATTTTCTTTAATAATATTTGTTTAATGTTATGCCGATTTTCTCGTTTTTCCAACGTTTTTCTTCCGTTTTTATTTTCGGTTTTTCACATTTGATGAGAAAACGCTTGAGAAAATAGGCGCTACACTTAAAAATCAAAGCAAGATTAAGTTGCGCCCAGATAAAAAAAAAAAAAACATTTTTGTAAAACCATAAGCTTCTTCGCTCCACTCAGAATCTAAAAAATACATATATGTATCTTTTGTCTCGGGGGAAAAAGGGCTTACATTAATTAATAATAATACGAAAATATCTTACATCATAAACACCGACTAAATATTATAACCGTGTAAAACATGAATGTTTTCGGGCATTTCGCTACCGTACCGATATTGCTATGTTAAACGTATAGTGAAGCACAATCATTATTTTTCCCCTCTAAATTGTAGTGTCCGAATGACAGCGGGAATCGCCACTCGAAACACGATGAAACGCTCACGTCGGCGCAGAGAGTCCAAATGGTATGGAACATTATAATCCGAATCAAATACGGAGGCGATAAACGCGACGAGAATGTCATGGACCTCAACCGACTGCTCGAGGCTGGTATATTTACCGCTGCGTATCCCGTGCACGACGGTAATTTTAAATTGAACAAGGGAGATGATCCGGATAATACCATATTAAACGATAGACAAGTAAGTGCTAATATCCATTGGATACAATTTCAACAGAAACAGAACAAGATTTGTTTTTCTACTCTTAAAACGATTAAACACGATATCCGCGCGTGTCTTATTGCTGTAAAATAATTACTGTTTTTTTTTTTTTGGACTGGAACCCCTATCCTGGGCTATATAAAAATAAACTGTTGAACGTAATAATATATAGTAGTACAATAATTCAAATATAAAATATTTGAAATATTCAAAACTATTCAAAAGTCGGTATTTAATATTATGATATAATGTGCGCCTAACTCAACCTTACGATCGATTTGTTAGTATATTTATCCGGCAGAACCGTTCAAAAAGGGTGATTAATCGACGATATTAACTGTCAAAATCATAAATATTGATTTGACCTTCACGGACAATCGTCTGAACAGTTAGTATTAACTATTATACCTATGTCTTAACCTGGCCGATGTCTAATCAATTTGACGAACAGATTATTTTTCGAATATTTTTTAGTACCGTCTGTTTATTCAAAAAAAATTATAACAATAATATATACCTACCGAAAATTACTATCAACGATGTTGATATCTAAATTGTTAAAACGAGGGACATATGAAAAACATCGCATGAACCGGATCACATAACAACAATAATATTACTTAGCCAAGTGTAACAATAATAGAGTCTCGTAAATTCGATTATAGTTACCACTTATATAAAGGACTAGCCCCTTTTCCGGGGACAAAAGAAATAATAGAAAAATATGTTATCATTATGTTATTACGGCCTTTACACAGACTACCTTATTATTTATTTTTTTTTGTTTTGTTTGTTTTAACTTTTTATTTCATCCGTATTGTAAAAGTAACCCATAAATCAATAAAACTTAGATATTCAAACTAAAATAAACCATACTAAATAAAAATATCTAATATTAATAACTAATAACTCTGTGCCAACCTACTTTAGGGGGTTTTTTTTCAAACAAAAGGTAACCTATATGTCCTTTATAAATTTTATCGAAATCTGTTCAGCGGTAATATAGGCGTGAAAAGGTTACAAACAAGACAGAGTTACTATCGCATATATAATATAGGATATTTTAGAAATAAGTACGAATTTAAAAACGCCATAAAAGTTAGACATTTTATTAAAAAATAACAATTTTTTCACACACAGCTCAGAAAACATCTCCCATTTATCTATGGATAATAACTTCCGACATACGTCCATTCATGAGGCCATTAATTTATGCGGTCATTAAAATTTGCGATGATTCGCCCACAAACAATATGGATAATATATCAATACTAATGTTATTATAAATAAAAAAAACGGACGGAAAATGATAACAAGGAAATAAAGACGGACATACTTCACACGATGGGTTGGCCACTGTTGTAGATGATATGTTGGAAAAGTAGGATATATAGGGAAATTCAATTTTTAGCTGTAGGCAACGATTAGTTAACGAAAAACGATTCTGAACGGAGTTCAGTCAATAGTATTACTTTTTCAACAATGTACGTTTTCATGATAATAATGCATGTTTAAAAAATAATAACAAAAATACATACCAATGATAATCTTGTTTTTAATCTTAATCAACCCAGTGAACCAATTTTTCCTCATTATCTCGAATATAAATGGGAATTTCAAAAAATGACCTTTTAAAGTACCAACTAGAGCCAAAATTCAACAAAAAAGGTCCCTTGTTTTGTGTTTTTTATCGGAGTAAAATTTCTAGAAGAAATTGTGTACACAGTAAAAAAAAAAAAGAAAAGAAAAAAAAAACATTATTATAAAACCAACACTTTCGTCGGTTTACTCAGAAATCTAAAATATAGGTACCCACTACCCACGTAAGTAAAATGAACAAGCAATAAATTAAACTTTGCCTGGAGAATTACAATGACGGAGTATTTTAGTGTGTATTCACGACCGGTATCAATGTAATGCAATCATCATCACGGGTAATCGGTAATAATTGTGTTTCATGGTGGTTGAATAAAAATAGAATTCTTGGAGAAAATGAGGGCAATCGATACGCCATTTATTTATTCATAACTTATATACCCACGCTCGTGCGGATATTTTCACTTAATTTATTTAACTAATAAAACAAGAAAGAATATTAAAAAGTTATCGTATCTATTATAAGTATAATACGTGTTGTAGTTTTTGTTGAAAAAATACAAAATATTCTGAGCGTAGCGAGAAATGTGTCAGTTATCGTTTTTTTTTGCTTTGTGTGTGTGTGTGTTTGTGAGTAACTCATTTAAAAAATTATGGATATTATTATTATTTTCTGTAACTGCATACCTGCGTTGTTATTGCAGTTCTTATACGGCGATGTTCTATTAGATGCATCTAAATAGTAATCAAACGTCAGATTTTTATTTTTCTACAGTGTCACACTGAACCAATATGAATTTAAAATAAGCACTACCAATGTCATAATACTGATATTATTTTTTTATGAATTAAATCTAATTTGGGAAAAATACACTGATAAATATCTGTTAAATGATCGCTATTAAATGACTGAAATAATTTCTCTTATGGAGATTTCAGAGACTACAATAATTAATTGCACAGTCCGTCATACGTTGAGTTACAATAACAACGGATTATAATACATTTTACGTCCGAATTTCGGTCAAATAAAACACGTAATAGAATACCGACGAATTAAATGCTGACAACAATAAAACTAATCAAACAGTACATAGAATTATTTTTTTTATGACAGAAAAAAAAAAAAAAAAGAAACTTAATACGTGTTAATATACTAGTGAGTAGGGCAGAGGACTCGTAGCTGTAAAAAAAGCAATAAATATGCAAGCACTTATGCACTTAAAAACCCCATAATATGCACTTAAAATTTTTCACTCCCTACTTTAACGACACAATATTTACGGTACAGGACTTTACCGTCGGTCGAAAACGTACAGGCACCAAACTCAGACACAAAACATTTTAACCGACTACTTAAAGGCTGTTTGTCTTTCGGCATTTTATTACAAATATCAAATATGAAATAAAAATGTTCAAATAAATGTATAATACGGCTAATAAGTCGGCACAATTAATACGAATGTGCATTTCGCAGAACTGACTGAGACTAAATATTAAAATATTGATTATTGNTCCAAACTCGGGCACAAAACATTTTAACCGACTACTTAAAGGCTGTTTGTCTTTCGGCATTCTTAAAGGCTGTTTGTCTTTCGGCATTTTATTACAAATATCAAATATGAAATAAAAATGTTCAAAGTTTGTCTTTCGGCATTTTATTACAAATATCAAATATGAAATAAAAATGTTCAAATAAATGTATAATACGGCTAATAAGTCGGCACAATTAATACGAATGTACATTCCGCAGAACTGGCTGAGACTGAATATTAAAATAATGATTATTGTCGTTTCCAGAAACGTTTTATAAATGAAAATCCTAATCGAATAAACGTTTACGTAGATAATCGTAAACGGCTATCTACTTAGATAAAAATAATTCCAGCAAATTAATATTATTGCCGTATCGCCGATCGTCAAGCGCTTCTAGGAAAAACGTGTGCCCGTGGACATTCAAAACCGTATTATACGACAAAAATTAAAAATAAATAAATTTTCATCCAAACATTTTGACTGATTGTTTGAAATTAAAACATCGGTGCGGCAAATATTGATGTAAGTTAAATATGTCTCAAAAAATATAAAATGACGGGTAAAAGTGCAAAATATGCGCTATAAACAAAAAGGGCTCAAAATATGCATTTATATGGAAAATAAAATTTCAAAACTATCTTTTTTTCAAAACATGAAACGTATTTGTACTCTGCTATTTTTGTTACTGTGCAAAACAATTATGCAAATGCTACAAGTCCTCTGCCCTACTAGTGAGTATTTGAAATTTAAGAAACTGTTCGAGTAACAATGTCTCCGAGATCACTCCAATAGCTACTATAGGCGTACATTATACAGTTTCGAATCGATATAAATATTATTTTCTATAGAAAATGTACAATAATATTATTGTCTTTGTTTTCTACAGCTAAATATAGATAAATATACGATAAATTATAAAAACTATAATTTCCGAATAATTAATAACACATAGTAATATTATTATAATCAGTGACGGATACAGGATTTTTTTCGATGGGGTGCTCGAAATCTATGAAATCTATGCAATTCCCGCAGGTGCTCTACGAGTATTGGGCGAGGCCGGGTCTGATCATACCTCGACAATGGAAATCGGACGAAAGGATTACCAAATTGATCAGGCAGTATTACGGTTTACCGGTAGCCGTGTATTTTCGCTGGCTCCGATATTACACCGTTTGGCTGATTGGTCCGGCCATAGCGGGTCTCGTCTGGTTCCTGTACGGGTTCATATCGACCCGCCAGGACAGCCCAACGTAAGAACACTGCGGCCAAATGAACTCGTGTTAATCCAGTGGGATCGAAAACATATTATGTTTCGTATCAGTGGCGAAGGAGTTACCGGAGGAGAGGGCGACGGGTGCTATAGCCCCCTGCTCGCGGGCAATGTTTATTTGCGTACACCGCTTTACGATTTGAGTGTTAGCTTATAAACGTTTTCGGTTATTTCTTCCGCTAAGAACGTTTTCTACACTGAACCGTATCGAATCGTAGCTATGTTTAAGTAACGGTACTATGTCTGAAAATACACGCAACGGGTTACATAATTTCTGCTTTTGCTTGACATTTTCTTATAAAGATGCTGCTGCGTATTGTCCAGGAATGAAAGCGAGTGAAATAAATAAAAGAGCTGATACTGGGGATGGAAGCGGCCACTGTTGTAGGTAAAAAATTGGGTAGGTAGGATGCACAAGGTTAACTCGTTTATATCTGTAAGCAACGATAAACCATTGCTTGACGAAAGACGATTCGGTAATTTCGGCAGTTCGGTAATACATAATTTGAATTGTCGTATTTTTTTTTCGCGACTTTCGTTTGAATTCGATTTCAAATCGCTTATTAAAAAAAAACATATTGTCCGATAATTTTGAAAATTTTACCGCGTCTAGATAAATTCAATATAAGAATTGTTACCGAGCTTCAAGTCTCTACGTGCATTTATAACCGAATTACAGCAAAAAACCTCCCAAAAATTAAAATTCCTTAAAAGCTCAAAAGTGGTTCAAAAGTTTTGGTGACGATACCGTAAGAAAGTAAATCAAAAAGGAAAAAAAAAAGTTTTCTCATAATTTTTCGATTAAATCATTTTTTCTGATAGAAAACGTCGTCCGTGTTTTTATAAAATAATAAAATCGAGAAATTGTACGTTTTTCTACGGTTTTTCCCACTTAAGTGCTTTTATTTAATAAATGGCATCGAAAATTACCCATTTAAAGTTGAATCTAGATAAATTGAGCTTTCGGAAAAATTGCTACACGTAAAAATCGAAGCAAGTTTACTAGGAAAAAACGTGTCTACAAACTAGAAAAAAAATAAACATCTTAGTAAAACCAATAGCTTCCCTCGCTACGCTTGGAATCTAAAAAGCAAATGGTAAAAATAAACAATAAAATTATTTTACATATTATAACATAAAATGTAATATTATTGGTTAGTACCAGGTAATATAATGTAATACCATAAAACAGGTGCTTACACACCATATTTGAATACCTTTTTTGTACTAACACTACAACAGTAATCAATTTTTTTACATTCAATTATGAACTGCAGATTTCGATAACTTGCTCCGATAATTATTTTTTGCGAAAATGTTTAAAATATTATCATTGAATATATAATACAGTCAATGGTATTTAAATATGGTGTCGGTACTTATTATGTGGTACTATATAATATTGATTTAGTACCTACTAACCAATAACACAACTCTTTATATTATAATGTGTAAAGTAAATATATTGATTTTTTTTTTTCACTTGCTTTTTTTCCTAAATTCGTCGTGAGGGGTGTATTAAGTATATATATAGTCACAAGATGCGCTGAGACACGACACATAATTTCTACATTTTTGTATTTCCTATATAAGAATATCACTTGAGTTTATAAAAATTCCTCCGCCACTGATTGATCACGAGATCATTCCCGAAAATTGCAGTGTTAATAATTATCCTGAATCGGGATACTTTTAGTATATTGTGTTTAATATTAGCAATGTAATGTGTGGTTTTTTTTTTTTTGTCGTCGGCGTGTGTAGCCAAGATATTTGTGATCCTAAATCTCCAGTGGCGAACTGGATTTTATGCCCGACGAGCCGGTGCGACGCCGGTCATTGCATTTTCACGAGGGTATTGGACACGTGTGGCTTGTACCGGTGGACTTCTGCGGCGACATTTGACAGACCCGGCGCAGTGGTGTTTGCAATCTTCATGTCGTTCTGGGGTAAGAAAATTCGAAACTTTACGATTAGGCAAGTATTATTTAGGTATATTTGAAGGGAAAGACGACCCGCATAAGTAAAGTAACCCCAATCATAGTGCCGAAATAAAAACAAAAAAATAAAAATGAACATAATTCGCATGATGAACCACTGTTGTAGGTGAGAAGTTGGGACGGTTGGGTGTAGAGGGGAATTCAATATATTTTTGTGTGTAACGATTAACAATTGTTACGTACGTCGTTGTTTAAGACGAATTCTACATGTTAAACCTCAATATCGACAGGCAACGCCATCTAGGACAAAATAATCGACACCAAAACGTTGTCAGATTCCGCCGCAGAGGTGCGTGTCGATCGCAAATCAAGATTTCAAAAAAGCTCGCTTGTGTTCACAGTTACATTTGTGTATAGTATATATACGAGTGACTGAATTATTATTGGTACCGGGAACGCGCTTGCTTCAACTGCAACCTCGCCGTATGGTGAACTTTGAAACCGAACGGGTTGAGTCCCGGGCCAACGGAGCCTGTGTGTGTACTCCCCATTACCCCGGAACTAATGATGTTCCACGGTTGTCGCTCGCATAATTTCGCCCCGGTACCAAAATTTTGGCAATTTTTTTTCCCCACCATTGTTTACATAGTATTAGCGGGCTCGATTATACTAATAATAAATAGATTGTACATTTTTTTTTTTTTTTAGAAAAATAATATATCTTTTTCTTCTTTTAGTATCGGTCTTCAGTTGTATACAGACGGTCTCGATAAAATACTCGTTATCTCGGAAAATATTAACTTTTTTTTATTTGATAATTTAATAAACAAGTAGCTCTAAAAAATGTTACGTTGCCGGGCTGAAATCACTACGCACTTTGAATTTTCTAACAGCAACCTATACCTAACTGTATTGAAAATCCTATAATTAGATAAAGTTTTAAATTTTAATACATTTTGGTGTTGAAATTTTTTATTTCCGTAAACCCGTTGACGAGATATTCCACTTTTAGGTTTCGATTGAGGGGAGAATAATGGAGCTGTGTTGGCGCAAAGTATTTTCATCTAGAACAAATTTGTTTTCTATGTTCGCCAATGATAGCTCTCTTACAGCTAATTTAGCTTTTAAATCCACACACAATTTCCTCAATTTATAAATATTACCTATTTCGTAATTAAAAGAAGTTAATCATTTCGTAACTCCGGCATTTATTTCTTCAAATTCTTCTGGATAATGTGTTTTAAATATAACTAATATAGCTAAGTTGGCTATTTGTATTTAATGTACCTATCTCATCTGGTAACATTAAATTACGATATTGTCCATCTTTTGACAATGGGAATTTAAAAGCTGGATTCAAAATAATAATTGGTACTTTTCGGTTATCTCGACTACCTGTATACGATGGACTACGGACGTCACAATTCAGTTATCTCAACTACCACAAGTAACTATTTTAGTCCGCTGTTACCTACCCGATATGGTTTTCCTAACAAAAGAATGTTAATGTTTGATTAAAATCTGATACGAGTTCACATTTGGGCAACAATATTTTTGGCTGATGGACGTTTGCGTGTTCAATGTATGGCTCGCATATGAGTGTGAAACTCAGGTTGGAGATATAATCGAATGAAAAACCGCAACACCATTATGCATTTAAACCAATGTAGTCCATCTATTTGCGGTGTTTTTAATATGGATTTGAAAATTAAAAGTAGGTAGTTTTCTCACTCTCGTTTATTAAAATGAAAAAAATAAATAAATAAGATTTTAAAAGATTAAAAATTAGACCTCCCGAGATTTCGCAATGTCCGATCCATTTATTTTAAATAAACAAGTCACCAAATTCATGTTATTTCTCGCGCATTTCTCAAAGTGTAAGAAAAAAAAAAAAATGATTTCTGTACTTCACGAAACCGATGCTTATTCCTGAAATGAACAGTTACGATGTAACCAGTGGATAACTTACTATTATGTATTCACTCTGTACGTCCTTAGGATTTGAATAAATGCAAATAAAAATGTATAAACTATAGCGACGGCGTTTCAACAACTCTGGACTACGTACAGTTGGCAGTTCGAAGAATATCGCCGAGCCGACGAAACGGGCGGCGGCGTGCGTCTCGCCGACTGTCCCAGCAACGCGACGAAAGCGCCGACGCCTGCGGCCGCCGGTCCGCCGCCGTTACCATCAGCCGAACAGGACCGCCGCGACGCGTCCGCCGAGAAACCTCGTCAGCCGACCGTCCGACCGACGACGTCCGTGCGGTCACCGGCGTACATCACGTGGGGCGACATACACCGGTGGTACTCGGAAAAGTTGTCTGTGTCGTTCCGCGCGATCGTGTTCCTTGCCACGCTGGTCGGCGTGGCCACCGTTCCCATTCTGATCGTCGTGTACCGCGGCCGGGTCATCGGGTGGCTCATGACGGTCGTGTTCCACCAGAGCGGTCCCAATCAGCCGTCCGTCCAACGGCCGCACAGACGCCACAACTTTTTCCTACTAAACTACGCCTACACCGGCGATCTGAACAATTGGAAAGCGGCCGTGGCCGCCGCGTTTGCCGCGTTCGTTCAGCTGACCGCCATCGTAGCCGTCCACCGTGGCTACAGCGGCGTCGCCAAATGGCTCACCCAATACTCGTACCGGTCTGTGTACGATCCACGGTTCCAGAGCCGATACACAGCATTCATGTCCTGCTTCGACTCCGCCAACTATTACTCGAGCTTGATTTATATTGCTTTTTTTAAGGTACATAAAACTGTTATTCGCAATTCTATTATAATTCAATCGCCCGGAATAGTCTTGTACGTTTTTAATGTTAATTAAAATGACCAAATTATTACAATACAATTTTAGATTCTGAGTGGAGCGAAAAAGCTTATGGTATTACAAAGATGTTTATTTATTTATTTATTTTTTTTATCTGTGCGTCAATTTTCTACTAGAAGACTTGCTCAGATCTTTTAGTGCAGCACCTTTTTTGAAAGTAAACCGGCGCGGGGAAGTAATTTAAGCATGTAATTTTTAAATTTTCTCAAGAGTTTTTTCATCAAATTTTAAAAACCGAAAAATATCGGGAAAAACGGAAAAATCGGTACATTAAACTTTGAAAATATATAACGTCTATTTAATTATTTCACTATAATATGACAATGGTTTATCGCTGTTTACAGGTATACATAAACTATCTATAAAAGTAGCTAGCGGCTGCACTCATCTCCATTATCCTAGGACGTCTATTTTACTCTTAATTGTTTGCGCATTTATGTGCTTACATTTTTGTTTGATCCCAAAGAATAAACCGTATCGTGTCCGTTATATACGTCTTTCCTCGGGTACTTTTGGACACTGTTAACGGTCTCATGTGGATCAAATGAGTTCAAACTTGGAAATTGGAGTTTTTATAAGCGAATTGAATTGTTACAATTTTGATTGAATTTCAACGTAAACTGCACAATGTTGTTACGGGAGGAGGGAAGTTTTTACCATTGTACAGACCACTAAAATAAAGCCATTATTATGAAATATTGTGCATAATGCATATATGTACATAGTTATGCTTTTTGGTGGTTTCAACTTTCAACTCCCACTCCCCCCGTTACTAAAAATCTAATTTACCTGGTCTGATGAACTTTTTTTGTTCGATTTCTTATCATTAATAGGGGGTTTTATGATATTTTGAATACCTGAAAGATAAGGGGGTGGGAGTCGATTTTGGAATAGGGCAGGAGAAGGAGGTTAGCGTGGTTAATGGGTGAACACAAACCATAAACAAGCACAAATCGAATTTAATGAAGTAGGTATATAATATAATATTATTAATACCAACAAGCAACTCTGACAACTATAATTATTTTAGATCGGTAAAATATTACTCTGTAATAGACTACAGTCACGCGAGTTTTTATACTTTTGTCTAGAGTTTAAACTGGGATGGTTTTATTTGTATTTATTATCTTATTTTAGTGCACAAATAAATTATGTACACTAACAAAACTCATTCCCTCCGCTGCAGGGTCGGTTTGTGACGAACGGCCGCGGACTGCGCACGGACGGAGCGTCCAAAATTTGGAACTTTTGGCCCATCACCCTGTTCCGAACAGTGTGGCTGCACATTAGAGACGATGTCTGTCAACCTGCAGCCGCGGGCACGGGTTGCGTACCGGAGCTGTGCATCCAGCTGGCCATCATTATGGTGGGCAAACAGATAGTGGACAACGTGATCGAGCTGATGACACCGTTAGTGTATACGCCTATAAAAATCTTCTTCTCCTCCGTTTTCGTCACAACTATTTGTGGTCGGCCACCTTCGTTCTAAATTTCCACTTAACCCGAAATCCCACCTCGCATACACCGGCTGTCCTCACATCATTCTCAATTGTTTCCAATCATCTCTTTTTCGATCTACCTCTCAACTTATTTATTTTTAAGTTTACATTCAGTAAAATTTTTACTGCTTCTGATCCCTTTCTCCCCGTAACATGCCCAAATCATCTCAGTCTATTTTCTCTCATTTTATCGATTATTGAAGCCACGTTTAAGCTACCCCTTTCCTTACCCCATTTTCTCTCGTCACACCATTCATCCACCCAAGTGTTCCCATCTCTACTCATTGTCTGTTCTATTTTACTGTTTCCCGCCCAACACTTCAAACAATATACCAAAGTAGCATATTCAGTCTCACCGCACGTTTGTACAACTTAACTTTAAGTCTCATTGGAATTCTCTTGCATAAAACATTTGACGCTTCTTTCAACTTCATCCATCAACGGTTAAATAACCTATGTTTCACATTCTCACGAAAGACGCCTGTTTTCTGTACTCGAGATCCTAGGTCGCCAATAACCACCTATAGCACAATTATAATAATAACTTCTAAATTCTGCAAATAATTGACCGAGCGAGCGAAAGTCCCAAGTGGTAGTACGCGAAGCGCGTGATTTCGCCGCGTGTGATGTGAACGTGCGCTCTGATCGCTCCACGTTGCGCCAGCGGATACTTGCAAGGTCTACTGTTCACCGAGCTGCTAGTTACTTAGTGTCTGACCTCGCCTCAGACTCGGTGGGCCTCCCCTACGACCCTATCCGGGCGCATTGAAATATCGTACCGTCTTGTCGCAGGCTCGCGTCCAACGTGTGGCGCCGGTGGCGGGCCAAGGAGAACCGCCGCCGCGACAAGTTGCACGGAAAACTGCCGGATACCAATGTCGAAACGCTTAGACATCCGAAACAATGGCAACTCGACTACCAGCTGGAAGACACCGGGCCGCTGGGACTCTACCAGGAATACTCGGAAATGGGTATGAACGGATATTGTTTTTCGGATATTTCATATGTTCACTTCCTGTGCGGTGATGGTCAAGTCCGGTCTAACATGCACAATAATTACAGCCATCGCATTATACAACAATATTGTATACTTCCATGACTATAATACGTTATAAACGTGTGTATTATATTATTGTTGAAGTCATTCAGTACGGTTTCGTCATGATGTTCGCCACTGTGTTCCCGCTGGCCCCGCTGTGCGCCCTGCTGAACAACGTCCTTGAGCAGCGTCTTGACGCGTACAAAATGGTGGCGGTCCAGCGACGTCCCGTGCCCGCGTACTATTGTGTCAATAAGTACGCCCCCGTCCGCGGACAGACACATTCGTGCTGCGATAACTGTATGAAGATGGGCACGTGGACACGGGTGTTGAAAATCTTGTCCGTCACTTCCGTCCTCTATAACGTGAGTACACACAGCCCATTACAATGGTAGGTTAATAGCGGATATCTGGGGTGTCCGGCTGCGACTGTTGGATCACCCACCCTCCCCGTTTAGGTTTTCCACGCTTTATATTAGTACTCTATTGACCAAAATATTGCAGATATAGTAACATTGGTGTAACTTGGTAGCTAAATAATTTGCACCAGTTCTACTTAATATTTAAATCGCCTTATCTTAAAACTTAAGTACCTATGTTAAAAAACTTAAATTGCTATAACCTTAAGTCAAATTTAACAGTATAAAAACCGCTTCTCGTGGATCAATGTATAAAAATAGTTCGTTAGTTTTTTGAGGGTAGTGTTTTTAGTCGAAGGTGGTTTTAGGGATTAGACAACATATTAGTAGTTCTCATAAAGCTCTATTTAGAACGGTCGCTCTAAGTTAAAACCTTTAGGAGTCATACACTATTAAAAATTGAGGATGAGGTGGGTTTCTCACGACAATATTTACCCAAGATAAAAAGTAGCCGCTATATCACTACCCAGTCCTCCGACTATCTAAAACATCACGAATGACTTTTTGGACAACGATGACGAGATTTAGACGAATTTTTTTTACTCTGGACTGCTCCGTCAAATATGCATATACGAGGTATGATTATTTTTCAACGCTTGATGACAATGGTTTATAAAAACGATTTAGGTTGACTGTAGAATCGTACTCTTGAGTTGATTAAAAATGATTTAGAAAACTCGATATATTTGCAAGTGACTGGTAAACACAAACATGCACATCAAATAAAAGACAATTTAATATTTTTAATTAAATGTATGCGTATTTTCAATAACTGATAATAGAAAATTTACTTATTGATAACAATGATAACCAATTTAGTAAAATTTTTTAAATTTTTGTTTGTAAGTACAACATATTTTATGTTTTGCTTAATATAAATGATAGGTTAAGTTAGGTTATCGACTTGGTTATTTTGTATTATATTAGTAGGTAAAAGGAGAAATAGCCATCAAATACATATAAGTAACTTAAATATGAAATACTTACGCAGAAACAGTTAAAATAGAATTAGATTTGAACAGATATATTTGATGACGCAAAATATGCGAAATTTGCGTATTTTCAGGATTTGAAATTCTCCGTCTCTTTTCAAAATTTGGATATAGCGGAAGAATGGGTGTAAAAATGAACGTCCCGGTTTTTGTTAATTTTTATAAAAATTTCAACACTCCGATCTGACTTTGCCCGTGTACCAACACCAATAATACCTTTGATTTGCGTATTTATATATTATTTTTAAGGCGTTCATGATAGCGTTCACCAGTGACCTGTTGCCACGATACATTTATTCTCAAATTTCGACCGAAAAATCATCATCGCTAGACGGTTATGTAGCTTGGGCGTTGTCTTCGAGTACGTATTATAAACGGACGACAGCAGTGTACATACATGAATTTCAAATTGTGTAATATTATACGGTTGCAAACTCTGCGTTGTCGCATACTAAATAATTGCGTGTGTGTCTATTTTTCTAACATAATATTTTGTCCACGCACAGAAAAAAACATCAGTGAATACGATCAGCCCAAAGATGTAGTCGAACAGGACGGTGAAGTTTGCCGACTCAGGGGATACGACATAGCAGACTCCGAGGATTACAGTGGACATTGGCAAGTGTTAACTGCACGGTTGACCTTTGTTATCGCATTTGAGGTAAATAATATTCGATATTAAAATATAATACGAAATGGAAATATTATCTAGATGGTACTTTAGGGAGGTCATTTTTTGTTTTTCCAAGTGGTTTTCATAATATCTGGGATAACCCGGGACAAAACGTAAAAAAAAAAAAAAAACCGAGAAATTTACCAAAATAATGCTTTTCAATGTTTTCAATTTTTTAGGTTAGGCAATTCGGTTCAAAATATTCATAGAGACTTGAAATTTGGACAGATAAATTATATTAGCCTTTTATAGACATGATAACATTTTCAAAACTTTTGAGTCTTTTATAAAAATATTCGTATGGACTTTATGGACTTGAAATTTAGATACTAAATCTATATTTGCCTTTTCTAGACATGGTCAAATTTTCAAAAAATGTTAACCATTTTGATTATTTTGAACTATTTATAGCCATTTAAATTTTGAGTTGTGTACGTAATTTTTACTCGGTAAGTACTTTGTGTCGTACTTTGTCGTCTAAAAAAAAATTGAGCTTAGTGTAGTATTTTTTTTTTTTTTTTTTTTTTAATGGTTTTAGTAACAAATTATGATGAAAATCGTTTAAGTAAAAAATTATATGGAACAAATCTAATTTTTAAATTTTTTATTTTGAACATAAGTATATTGCCGATTTAAAAACGATAGTAAAGTCACAAATTTAAGCAGACTGACTTAGTTTCAAAATTATAGGTTTTTGAAGTTCGGATCGTATGCGTATGTTATAATATGTGTTATGTTAAACAATTCAATTTTGTATACATTACATTATGTCTGTCGTAGTTTAGTGGTATTACCGATATGTTATTATCCCAGAGATCGCAAAAACCTAAACGGAGAAAAAATAAATTTTGTGTGTACAATTTGGGTATACCAAGAGCCTCAAGTCATCGCTCGCTCGGGCTATTTTAATCGAAAAATACCCCTCGATTTGTTGTGCAAATTTTTCCATCAGAAATCTTGCTCAGATGTGTCAAGTGTAACACCTTTTCTGAAAGATAATTTTATCTACAAGGTACTTTATAGTAGAGTATACGTATAGAGGTCGTTTTTAACTATTCCAGGAGATTTCCCAATAATTGGGAAAAACCGGAAAAAACGTATACAATATTAAACAAATGTTAAAAAATATAATGCATATTTATGTTATTATTTTGTCATAATGTGACATGTATGAATGTTGTTAACAAAGCAATGGTTAACCGTTGCTTATACAAATATACATTAAGTTTCCCTTCTATACCATCTCATTTTCTTATCTACAATAGTAGCCCACCCCCGTGCGAAGTATGTCAGTCTTTTTTTTTATCCGTGAACAACCTTTTTACCAAAAATCTTGCTCTGATTTTTAAATATAGTACCTTTTCTGAAAAGAAATTTCATCTGGTAGTACACAAGGAAGGTTTTTGTTTGATTTTCCAAGTAACTTTTAAAATAATTGGGTAAAACGGAAAAATGTACGTGCACGTTTAAAAGAAACTTCGCTCTTATTCTTTTATCATTAGCAATGGTTTATATCGTTGCGTACAGATATAAATCAACTTTCCTTCTATATATAGCTTACCTTCCCAACTTCTCACCTATAACTGTGGCCCACCTATCGCGTGAAGTAGGTATTTCCGTCTTTTTTTTTTCTAGTTATCATTTTAGGAAAACGTTTAGATATTATCTACGTATATTTAATCTATAATATAAGAGACTTCGCAGACTACAGACTTTTTATCGGCCGACAGTTTAGTCACACTGGGCCAACTATAAACAGTTTGGTTAGTGGCGAGTACGTAAACCAGCCAAAAGTCTACTGCTCTGGAAAAATGTTGCAAGTTGTTACACTTCTGCTGACGAGAGCAGTTGCTTTAAAATGTTGTCTAGAAATGTAATTCTTGCGTTAATACAACGGAGAAGAATTACGAAGAGAACGGAGAGAAGAAACAAAGAGCACTGGGTGCATCCAATCTATAGTAATGGATTATTACAAGGAAAATGTTATACTTTGCATTCCAAATTACTGGATTTCCCAGGAAAAAAAACGAACCGACGACTTTCAATTTTTATCTAAGTACTACGCAACAATTATAGTTATAATTATTTAAGATTATTATTTTTGATTTGGTAAATAATGAATTTGATTGACGGCATGATGGCATGATATACGTGCCTTGCTTTGTTTTGTCCTGAGCGCTAAGCTCATTTCAATCGGGAACAACTGTTTCACAAACTTTCTCCCATAGTTTTTCTTCTCATTCATATCAGAGTACTCCTTTCAATATTTTTTTTTATAGAGCGCTGGTTTTTTTTACAATTTCCACTATCAAATTTTCAATTGACGTTTCGGTGAGCATCGACATCGTACACTTAACGTACTATCTTCCTGCTCCGAAGCTCTGAGCAAATGAAACTATCGGCCGAATGGCGGACTAAAAATCGGCAAGTGTGCGCGCGTGGAATGATCGTCGTATTGATTAAGCAGTCGGCCGATAGTTCGCCGACTGTTTAATTTAAAGGTAATCGTGAAGCCCAACAAACTTATTAGTCGGCCGATATTAAATTGTTTTAATGTGTGCTCTTGCATACATCGTCATACTTATTTAAAACCTGACTAAATTATCGGCCGATAAAAAGTCTGTACTCTGCGATGTTTTAAATAAGAGTGTTTCTAACTAATGAGATTTCCGATATCTTTGTTCTTCTTGCGCGTTTAATCGTTTTCCGCACAACTGTTTTCGTGGAAATCCATTTACATATTTTATTATTATTATTATTATTGTGTTAATCCGGCTAACGGGAATCCCTTTGGGACTTGGGAATAATAATAACCGTATTATCGTCGTTTCTAAACTCAAATACCTGTAAAACGATACTGTTTTCTAATGCTAGGTAGGAAATCCGATTGGTTAGGCGTTAGGTTGGGTGTAGTCAATTTGCACCAAAAGTGACCTTAATTGACCCTAACATGTGTAATTTGCACCAATATTTTTAAACTGCGTTTGTAATTTGCACCAAAATAAAGATATGTAATTTGCACCACCTCAGGTAGTTAGAAATAGAAATTGTAACTTGCACCAAAATTTTAATCGATTATTCTTTCGATAGTATCGATAGTACGATTTTCGATATTATAGTATACTATACTAAAAAGTTGAATAAATAATTTCGGACAATAATCAAATGTCCCGTCAAGATATATTGTTTCACTTTTACATAAGAAATCAATATTTGTGTGCCAAGAAAAAATAATTATATTTTTATCAGAATTATTTGATAAAATAAATGGTTCACCTTTATGAGTTTTAATATCCATAGTTAACAGCATTGTATGAACTTCATTTAATGATACTGGCGATGATATTTTGGCAATATTTTCCTTTTACTATTGTATATATTACGACGTATATCAGTAATGTTCTTGGTGGTACAAACATTGGACTCTATTGAATTTTGTACTACATTTCTTAAAATTTTGGCTGGTTTTTCGTACGGTGTTTCTTGTGCCTTTGTTTTACATAATTGATTCAATTTATAAATATATAAGTTCTTTTCATCGTGATTGATGTGTGAACTTTCATCACGGATGATCGTCATATTTTCACCACTTGTGAATAACTTTGCAGAACATTTTCTCTGTGTACACCGCCAACGAATTATGTTCGTACTTTTTGTTTTATATGCAAAATAAAAAGTATGACTGTTATATTCTAAAATATCTTGCCCACGATTACTTTTTATTATTTTAACTTCCATACCTACTACAAAAAAAACTCCTCGAAACTACTAAAAAAAACAAACGTGGTAAACGAGATAATATTTCCTATAACGATGAAACGGAAAGACTAAAGGCTAGATTAGTATTTGGTCGAAATAATCACGCGATTACAACGGACATTGAAATGATTACCAGATAAGGTGGATAAATCCCGGAAATAAAATACATTCCTATGATAAAAGAGAGAAACAGAATATTGTAAAGATAAACTTATCTTACACAAAACAATAATGTTTGTATTTTTAAAAATATTAACCCAACTACAATTTTCTTTTATACCACTATGGATTAATCGAATAGGTACTTGACAAACGATAATCGAATACATAGTTACTCATTTTGGTGCAAATTACAAACACTGTTTTCGGCTACCTGTAGTGGTGCAAATTACTAACTCCCGTTAGGTTAGGTGACACTAGGGGACGACTAGGATTCGATTCCCGACTAATCGTCAACAAGTATTGAATGTGTACATGTAGTGGTAAGTTATGGTTTAGTAGGTCCCTCGTAAAATTTGGTTTGCCCCACCCAATGCTTTGGTCTGGCTATGGGCAAAGTCAAACAATAATAAATAACATTGTTCGCGACGAATACGGGTGTTTTCAAGCGTTTTTAAAATAACTATTATATAATATATTAGTAATCGTTAATATTAATCGAATATTATGAAAGAGAATATATAATGCATATGTAATTATTTTAACATAATATGACATATATATTGTTTACAAAGCAACACTAGCCACTGAACTCTGCTTAGAATTTTTTTTTCATTAACAATGGTTAATCATTGCTTAGCAGAGGTACATTAAATTTACCCTCTACTACCTCCATACTTCACTTATAACAATGGCTGCATCCGTCCATATTTATATCCTAGGACAGCTTTTTAAGTTTACATTCTATCCACAGAATAATTTATAATCTGCTTGCAAAGCAGATATTGGGTATTATGATAATACATTACAAGGGTTCACCTCCAAAATAGCAAAAATAAAAAATGGAACATAATTTATACTAAATACTAATTTGTTTTTTTTATGTAATTTTATATTTACAAACTTATTGATAAATAGACACTATGTGTATAAATACTTAATACCTACTATGTGTGTTAAATTATTACAAGAAATATGTTATATTTAGCTGCATGTATGACATGCTAAGATAGTGATTTTAACAATTTTTCAAAAAGTAACTTTTGCAATAAAAATGTAAAAAATTAAGACATAATTAAATTTATTTTCAATGTTTAAAAGTATTCATATAAATATATAAACAAAAAAAAACAAAATAATTACGTATTGAAGTAAAATTGTAACAGTATAATAAAATTTATCATATTTAGCATATGGTGTTCACAGCCAATGAGGTTCATTTTTTAGAATTTTATTTTGCATTCAACAAACTTTTATTCAAATTAGTGTTAATTAAAATACATTGATAATAAATACCTACTCAATATAAATATTATACCTAATAATAAAATGTGTTATATATTATTTAGACAATTATTTATAGTAGGTAGTTTATTTTAAGGTATCAAAAGTAGGTAGGTAGTATAACATTCCATTATATAAATGGGCAATGAATAATTTTAAACATTGTTGATCACTAATCAGTGAAAGAACAGACAAATGCTCTTTTAGTATTTGTAATTTCTAAACGATGTATTATGTAAAAGAAATTGTGCATGTGTATTTTTAAGTTAAATTTGTCAGTGGCACATTTCTATGGATATCCATGATTGTAAAATATACTCTTTCAAGTAACTACTTACATAATATATTTCAATAGGAATATAATTAAATTGTATATATGTTCAAATATTATAGCATTTAATTACATATTATGCTTGAAACAAAATAGTAAATTACCCTCATACCTAAATCATGACAATGTTTACATGAACGGTTAGCTAATAAATTATAATGATGCATTAACAAAAAATCATAAATTATAATAAAGGTTGGTATAAAAGATATAACAGACATAATGCGGTGAAAATGTGCATTAGTCTTTATTTTCGGGAAGAATTTGATGAAAACTGTTAGAACAACTTATGACGAATTCTTTATCAATTTTTCGAGTTTTCTGTTTGTTAACAATGAAAGCATTGAATTCCATGGAATAACTGCGCGTAATTATTCACATATGTTAGGTAACCTACATAACAATAGTGTTTAAGTTCGCCGCTTTATTACTACCTGCCTAGTGTCTCATATTCAATTATTTATTTTAAACTATTCCTTTAATAATGTATTTTAACAGCATTGCGTGATTGCGGCCTTGATAGTGCTAGTGTATTTCATCAGGAAATTATTTAGAGCGAAAAAACGAGGAACATCGGAAAAAGTCAAGAAAACTGGAGTAAATGACAAGGATGCTGCGACTAAAAATGGTCGTCCGCCAAGAGTGACTGAGGATACGTTATCAACGTCCGTGGTGATGGTAGACATGGAAAATGAAGATGGACGAGAAACTTTGTGGATTCCGGCTAGACCAGAGAAAATCGAAAAAATTCCCTGACAATAAAAGAATTAGATACATCAAAAATATGAGTGTCTATGAAAGGCCAATCACTTTTCTACTTGAAAAAATAATATAAAAAATAGGTTCAATATTATTGGTATAATTTAAAAATCGAGTGCAACTATGATAAATTATCTGTGCATGTTACATATTATTATTATTATCAAACCTGTATATTATATAGGTATAGGGAACTGTTCAGTTTTATTGAGCTTTTGATTTATAGACTTGACTCAACCTAAGTTGTCTGCAGTAATTGGGCAAGCCATGCTGCAGTTAGCTCATAAACCTTGGAGGGGCTTAATCTCCACTATAATATTAAATAAAAACATTGTTGCAACCAAGGGGGGGTGTTTTAAAAATCAATTAAGGGGGCTTAAGAATATCTAGAACTAAGTTCCCCTAGATGCCCTTAATAGGTGGTCTAATGAAGTGTGTTTATGTTCATGATGGTTTAAACATCAGTAATAATAATAATATTAAATTCGTGTACAATCTCATAATAAACCCATTTTTTTATTATTATTATTATATTAAACATAAATCTCTAAAATAAATCAAACAAAAACAAAATAAATTTTCAATATACATTTGTATATCGAAAAAATGTAAAAATAATTAAATATAAAATATACAAATGTATATATCATGAACAAATACTAAGTATTAAACAATAGTTTATAAATTAAATAACATAATAGGAATAATTATAAATATTTATATATAATAGGTTTATGTATACTATCATTTCTAGTTTCTATTAATATAAAAAAAAAAACTTAAATATACTTATTACATACTTATTTTAAATAAAATGGTTTACATTTTCTTTTTTTAGTACATTTCTTTTTAACATGGTTTTTTAACCTTGAATACTTTAAAAGAGGTTTCCAACTAGTTGGGAACTTATCAATTCTACATTCATATAAACATTTACTCATAAAAACTGGACCTATATCGACCATATGTACAGTTTCATCAATTTTGCCATGCAGTAAATAATTCTAAAATAAAAAATTAAACATTTCACATTAATTCTGAAATAAAGTAAAATTTAAAAGTTATTTCATTCAATATTAAATATAATGGTTTATGATTAATTTGTTGACTTTATTAAAGTATTATTTACTTAACCCATACTTTGTTTTGTTTTATCACATAAATAATTTGAAAGGTTTTAACTAATTATGTATGATGTTTCATAGCAATTGTTTTTCAAAATATTCATAATTTTTGGGTACACAAATTTTACAAAAATAAATACTTATAAACTTATACTAAAGAATATATACTTAAATCCATATATAATCAAAATCAAACTTAAATGCCTACTTTTATTAAGTTCATCGAATATCTGTTTTTACAACTAGAAACAAACTTCTTGATATCTGTTAATTTTCTAAATGAAAACCATCGCTTATGTACAACTTTTAAAATTACAGGTAACATATCCAATAAGTTTTTTTTTCTGTACTTTGTTCGTGTTTCTTTGCTAAATTTTAATTTTCTGTATATACAATCTATTTTCATTATCAATACTCTAAAAATCAAAAATAAATTATGCAAAAACGTTTTATTATACTATATTGTAATCATATGATTATTAAATGTTTTGTAAATACCTTTCTTCTGAACCTCCAATAGGAATTTTAAGATTATTAGGATAATATGTTTTAATAGGTAACAATTCTGGATACATAAATAATGGTTTATCATAGAACAGTATTAATTCTTTCACCTCCAGTGGCAATTCAGAACTATTCCTAAAAATAATAATAATATGAATTATTATACTTAAAACCATGGAATTTTTTATTTTATTATACAAAAAAATGTTTATATTTATATAATATACATAGTTTAAATATATTTAAATATAACTATAATAGAATGGTTTAAATTAGAATATTACAAAGTTGTAAATTGAAATTGCTTTTTTTTCATGGTGCTCTAATTTTCCCTATCTATATAGAATTCAGTTTTACACTTATATATAAAATATAATCTAACCGAAATTGTTTATTGTTTTATTATGTAACTTAGATATTCTGATTAGTCATATAGTTTTCTCCACTAACTTTGACACCTCTTTTTAACTCTTAAGAGGTTGAATTTTTCAAAAGTAGCATATAGCATGTGTAACTGATAGTTTTTTTTTTTTTTAAAATGTTTATTACATTTTTTTTCAGTTTTAGTTTATATTAACTTCAACTTTTTAACACCTTAAGGATTAAATGATGAAAAAACTTTCCTATTGGTATCTTAATTGTATTTTAAGATCTTTTGTGTGAAATTTCGAATTTTTAGCCTTAACAGTTATGGTTGTGCATTGGTATATCAGTCATTTTTTTACATATTATATATATATATATATATATAATAAATAACTTTTTATTAAATTATTCAATTTATATTAATTACATATTTTAAATATATTAAGAATAAATATATGAATATTGTTCTATTATTAGAAAAGCACAAAATTAGTGAAACTTAAAATTTAGAAATTTAATGTTAAGTTTAAATTTAATATAATTCATTGAATTAATAATATATCAATTTCATACAAATATTTGTTATTATTATATTTATAAAGTAATTTCAATTTTATGTTTAAACATTTCATATTATAAATGCATTAATACTAAAAACCATAAATATAGATTGTATTACTTGTCTACATATAAATTATACGTTTGGGCTGTTTTCCATTCCTGAATAAAATTCAAAGCCGAATGAATATTGATTGGCTCAATTTTTTTGTTACAACTAACAGTCTTAATTATTTCCTAAGCACAATAACAATTAAAATTAGTGATAATCAATGAATCCAAAAAAAAAAAAATTAAACACATACCACCATAGTTAGTAATCTCTGGCAATGACTTTTCAATTTTTGTGTCATTGAACATAATATATAACTTTGAGTTAATAATTGAACATGTTGTGTTAACTGTTGTTTTAACAAAATAGTTTGTTTGGGCAACATGGTATTGTTTTGATCACAAATAGTATTTTGCGGACATGAATTTGTAGTTTCTGTTTTAATATTATTTGTATCTTGTATATTTGATGCAAGATTAAAAATTACATAATTGCTATTTTGTAGTTGTTCATTAATAATTGTATAATGTGTATTTGGCTGAGAGTCACTTATTTGTGGATTAGTATTTACAAATTCTTTTATTTGATCATTATTTTCTACAGGTTTGTCATTATTCAATAAACCATTATTACATGGTTTAGAATCAGAATAATTTGAAGTATAAAATGATAGACTAGAACTCTTAGATTTTTTCAAATTCTGTAAAAATAATATTATTATTAGTTATATTATAATAATAATATTATTATTATTATTACTATTATATTAATATATTTGAAATTTCAATTTCATCAAAACTAATAAAACTTAATGACATATTTTAACCCTACATTATGTGCATCAATGTTTTATAAATTGAAGAGCATAAAAAAATTCATGACTAAATTATTGATTAAAAATGAACAAAGTCAGCATTTTATGGTTTTTATTATTATTAATCAATATTTACATTTACACATAATTAATGTATTACTTTGAAAATTAGAGATTAAAATATAATATCTTTTTTAAAATTATTTTATTTTATTTATTTTTGAAGTTTCATATGTTTAAATTAAGAGGTACTAGAGATGACTAGTGTAGACTGAATAAAATAAATGTAATAATTAAATTTTAAAATAGAATGAGAGACAACTATCACTGTATGCACCTGACATAGGGTTAATTAAAAATCAATTGTTGAAAAAAAAAAATAATAATAATAATAATACTTTGTCGTTAGTAAAGCAAGCGTTATTTGGATTGTTATCAAAATTTAATGCATATACTGTGTTTAAATTTTCAAGATCAGAAGCATTCTGTAAATAATGTTACACTTTTAATTAATAAGTACATTAGTAGAAAATATATTTTAATTTAATCACTTTATAGTTTGTAAGATTAGTATTATTCGATTTACAATCTAAATAATTTGAATAATCCATGGTAGATGGACTCAAATTTCTAGATGTATCAATAGTCTGTAAATTAAAAAAAAAAAATGGAAATCATATTACATGGTTTCATTAATTATTAAATATTTGATTACTAGGAATACAATTTACTTCTTCTGTAATAGTTGTATCAGTTTCTTCACATTCTTCACCATTAAAATTAATATAACTATCAGTATATTCATTTAATTCACTCATTAATTCGTTATATTCTTTACGACTGATTTTAACTGATTTGTCTTTACGAAATTCTTCTTTATCAACTAATTCAATCACAAAGAATTTAAAATGTATATCAACATACTGATTACTATCTTAGTATCTATTAATATTTAATACCATTTGAAAATTCAGCATCACCAAGAACATTATATTCTGGGTCATCTTCAGTATCATCATTTTGAACAGATTCTGAAAAAAATCACTATTATGCATATTTGTATAAAAATTAATAATAATATATTTATATATCAGAAATAGAAATTATATAAAATATTAAGTAACATTTTTAAATTCTCTGATTTATAAATTAAATATTATAATAATTATTAATTGTATAGCAATATATTAGTCATTTAAAAAAATTAAATATATTGAATTTTATATTAAAATCAAGAACTAAAATATAATAAGATTTTTTTATATAAATCACATACCAAAAATATTAATACAATATTTATTTTATCCTTAATAGCACCTTTTTATCATACAGCACTCCTATTACTTCCTTTTACTTCTTCAGAACACAATTAATTTTATTAGGCACATTAACTATAATTCATTCATTCTCTTCTACTACTGAACCTAAATACTTAAAACTCAATTTATAATTTGATCTCAGAACCTTAATCTATAATGACCTCAAATTTTTCTTCCTTTCTTGCAAAAAAAATTCTTGTTCAAGAATAACTTGAACTCTAAAAATTCCATTTAAGTACTTATTATTTCCAATCCATTTTATTAAAAAAAATAAAAGTAAGTAATTTACCTAAAGGTTTTGTAAATTCACTAAGAAATTGTATCCATTCATCATTTTCACATGCTGAATCATACATATCTTCTGTTATATCTGGTGGAATAAAAGCTTGCTCAATTGTTTCGAGTGGAGTATCATTTAAAGGAAATTTTGACCTAGTTCGCATTCCAATTGTTTCCTTAAAAAAATGTTTGTATAAAATTTAAATTTAAACAATTTTAAATATGTAAAATATATTATACTTCATCATATTCCACAGATGTATTATGGTCTTCCTCATTAGAATTTACATTGTCCGCTTCAGATGACTCAATTGTAGTACACTTAAAAATTTCATCATCATCATCATAATCATCCTCTATTTGTGGTTCAGGCTTATATTCTTCATCTTCGGAATCATCAGGAAATTCATTATCAATCAAAGATCTACATTCAGAAATTATTGATTGTTGTTGATTTTGAGACCATTGGTCCACAGAAGAGGGATATGTTTTTAACATTTCTCTGAAATAATAAAACAATTTTAGTTAGAATCGTTTACATTTCCATTAAAATATATAAATATAATAATAAAATAAATAATCTTTAATATACCTTATTCTTGCTCTGGTTAACTTTGGTTCATACAAACAGTTACCGTCCATATTTTCATCTAATGTTTGTCTTAACATTGTAACAACATCATCATTCGTAAGTATATTCTAGATAAAAAAATACATGTAACAGGATATACATATATAAATATGTATATCTAATTTATTTTAGGTGTTACTGGCTACTTATGGCTACTTTCTTTTATTCCTTTCAAAATAAATTATCTTAACACAAGAAACCCAAAACTTTTCTACTAAACATTCTCTAGAAATAATAAATTTGATATTTAATACTTCTAGCTGTCTAAAATTTTGTTCAATTTTTATGAATATACTGTATTACTAATTTTATATGTTTGTAAATTCTTATAATGTAAATCATTTACCAATATTGTAGTAGGAAATTTATATTTTTATTTTGTTCAATATTTTATTTCCTGTTACATTGAGTGTGTCTATATATGCAAGTCTTGTTTCAATAAAATTATTTTCTGCATTTTACAACATATGATTATACAATAAATGTAGTTAACCACAAAAGCTATATTTATATGTTTATTGTACAATACATGCCCAAATCAATATTGAAAATACAGATAAAATAACATTTAAATAACAATAAAATAACATTTTAACATCAATTCAAAATTAAAAAAAAAAAAAAACATATTTATATTCAAATTAATAGTTTTATTTTAAAGTTATTATTTATTAATTAAAGTTAACCATTGATAATAGATTGGGATAGTCTATAAAAGACCATAAATAAGGTATTTAAGAAAGGTTAAATTTGTTAAAAGTCTTCTGTCCTAAAGTATTGAGGTCTAGTTTACTGGTGAGTGACTCACCCGAATGAGTGATCAATTTTTAATGCATATGCTGCAAAACATATATTAGTGACTAAATAATATTCAGAAATCCGCATTATCCCATTTTAGTTTTATAAATGATAATTTTGTTTACTCATTGTAAATTTCTAATCACCACTTACATAGATCATAAAGGTTTTGTAGGTAAATTTGACAAAAAATTTGTTACAGTGTAAAATTGAATTACAATAAAAATGTTGATTTGTCAAAGATTAATAGCTCTCAGCTTTATCTACTCACCTGGTCATAATAAGTAGATAAAAACACTTTCACTTTTAAACCGTTAAGGTATTCTTTCAACAGAAGAACTAGAGGAAATACATATAAAACTACCAACTACCATCTTAATGTATAAGACTCTCGGTATCAACAATTTATCTTTTGGCATTTTGATAACAATAAAGTAATAAAAAAGCGAATTACAACAGAAAGCACATACGAACACAGGTAAATATTTTAACGCAGTTGAAATAATGTCAATGGTCAATGGTCGTAATCCACATTTTCTTACCTTGGTATACGTATTTTATTTCACTAATTATTGATCTAGGGTCATAATTGGAAAAACCATTTATACCTACAAGTATACCTATTAATTAATTTTGATATTAATCGAAACTATAAAATTATATATTTTTCTTATATTACAATAGTATATATTTCAAAAACATCTGAAAAAACAAAAAAAAAAATCGAAATATGCACTAAAAGATGAAATATGTAATTAAAATTGTATAAAAAGCTCTTTAAATAGAAAAAAAATGTGTAAAAATATGGGCTGAAAAGTTTAATTTTTTTAACTATTGTCATGAAACACATTTAGTGCTCACTTAGCATATCATACGATCAACCAGAATAAATCTGCAAATACATACAAATCTGTGCTCTATTTAATACCTTTTAATAATACTATAATAATAATAATAGATAATACAAAATAATAATTATACCAATTACCTACCTAATTAAATATCATACACTCCAAAAAAGTAAAAGTAAAAGTTTTAATTAATTGTTTCATCAAATTAAATAGGTACCTATTAAAAAAAATGTACATAGGTGTGTGCAGAATTCATCCACAGGTTATGATATTAAAAAAATAAGGCACCAAAATATAATCAAAAATTATAATTGGGCCCCCTCACGAAAATATAATTAAAAATTACATAAAGTTTAATCATGGTGGATCATATAATGTAGGTATCCTATTATAAATTCAGTTCTAATGCTTATACTGATAACACGCATATTGTGATATTTATTTTAACGGTTTTTTATCTTACAATTAATTAAAATGCTGTGTGTAGTTTGTAATCGGCCGGTTTCTCCAACTAAAAATATTTCATGCTGTGAATGTGAATGTCATATTCACTCATTATGTACACAATTTGGTAATATATATAATTTTAATAAATTAGGCTCTAAAAAGGACAGTGGAAAAGTGATTTGTGTTCCAACTCACATAACTTCACTATATGTACAAAATCTAACTTTTCTAATGATAGTGATTACTCAAAAGACTTAAACGTAATAGATTTAAATAGTATTCATACTTCCATTAATTCCATATTATTTAAACTAAAGAAACTGGATTTATTATCAACTCATTCAATGAAATTCAAGAAGCCCTAAATTTTTATTAGAATAAAATAGATGATTTCTCAACAAAATTGGATGAATTACTGGACAAAGTTGATAATAATAGTAGAAAAATTCTTAAAATCGAAAATAAGTGTCTAAAGATGCAAAAAGAAATTGATTCCTTAAAGGGAAATCAAAACATAGATGACCAAACCAAATTAATAAATAACTTAAGATATATGTGGAATCCCGAATATAGTAATGAATTACTTATTGAAGCAGTATTTAATATAGCCAAATTAATCAATTTTAAATTAACCATATTAACAAGATACACCACATAAAAAATTTAAAAAACGAGTAATTAAAACATTTCAAACCCAATTTTTAAAATTCAACTTATAATGGCAACTGATTTATGTTCTAACTTTCCTGGAAACCCCATATATTTAACCGATCAACTTTCAATGAATAATAAAATGATATTATGGGCTTCAAAGAAAGTGGCATACAAATATCACTTCAAATTTGTCTAGGCGAATAGCAGCAGCATCTTTATGAAGACAAATAAGGGGATATGGGTTTCCGTGTAAGCACTTTATCTACTAATAGAAATTGATATTATAAAGTTATTGATTGTCGGTGGAAATAACAGTTGTCTCAATAATCTTTCTTTTTATCTTAAAGTCTCAGTTACTGCAACTATTTTACTTTATACTTTATCTTCAATCAAAACTTGTATTAAATATCTCATGACTAACACTAACCCTCAAATATTTACTTATATAAATTATGTAAATTATGTTGAATCTAAATATGTTGATAGTTTTGATAATCTTAATTTTAATTATAATCACTTTTCATTATTTTCAATGAATATTCGAAGCCTCAAATGTAATATAGATAAACTTCTAATATTATTGAATAAAACCAATCATAAATTTGAAGTTTTAAGTGAAACTTGGCTTGACACAGACATACAATTTTCAGTTAACATAAATACCTTAATCAATTCTATGCGCTACCAACAAAGCTGATGACATATCGGTTTTAGTTAAGAATAACTATAACATCATAAAGTGCAGTAAAAACATTACCTATTCTAGATCAAAGTGGTCCAACTTTTTGTAGGTGGCGGGCCAATTTACACTTTCATAAAAATACTGGGGGGCCACAAAAAAAAAAAAAAAGCTATATTATTATTTACATTTTATTTTATAAAATACACAAATTATTACATTACAGATTAATATTAACATATAATTAAATAGTATAAATAGTATAAACTATAAAATGTAAAATTTATATAATCATATTATGATTTTGTTTTAATATTATTGTAATTTAATTTTCAATTAATAAAAAAAAATTAATTTAATTGTGGGGGGCTAAAGAAAGGCTTTGAGGGCCGTAAGTTGGACCATCCTATTCTAAATTGTAACTCTTTAGAATTACTATTATTTAAAGATGAACGTCTATTTAATGTTAATGCAATATACAGATCACCTGCCGGTAAAATAAAGAATTTTTTGTTCTCATTAAATCAATATTTATTAGATTTGGATCATAATGGCCATTATATATTTAGTGGTGATATTAATAAATTAGACATTCTAAATAATAGCTTAGAATCCACAAAGTCTCTGAATATATTAGCAAATCATGGATTTTTCTCAACATGCAATCTCTATACAAGAATAAATTGGTCTAACTATTTCAATCAGGAATAGAGAAAAAATGTATAGTAAAACTATAAGGCAACCATTTAATATAGGTCTTAAAAACAAATAAATTAAGTATATGATATGTGTATGATATATAACTCAATAAATTACCTTGATTAGTAATTTGACATTCCGATAATTTAATTGATTTTTTTTGGCTTTTTCATTTAATAAGTCATCAATATCAATTCCCAGCTCCATTTTACTTGCATTTATTATAGTACTTTCACGACTGCAAATTAACCGTATGTAAAAATTAAGTATCATTATAATTATTTAAAAAAAATGTATAGGAAATAATCGACTCGGGATGACACATATTCATAATGTGTACCTAATAGGAATAACAATAAAATAATATAAACACATAAATTATGTTTATGCAATGAAAAAAAAATGTATGAACTCATAACATTATCTTTGTTAAAGACTAAAAATAAAATAAAAAATAATAAAATACTTACGTTGATTCCTCACTCAATTCTAAATCATCAGGCGATTTATTTGCCATTCTAAAATAATTACTTAATATATAATAGGATTTAATCTTTTGATATTACAATAGCCAAGAATTCCATCGACGAGGAATCTACGATCCTAAATATAATAGAATATTCTACGTCCTACGACGATAGGTACACAATGTTATGAATAATAGCAATTATTACTAAAAAATGAATTCAATTCAATTGAACTCAAATATACTATAAAATTATCATTGTTCTACTAGTCATACTGAAGTAATTGATCACAAATAATTCAATTAATTACATAATAAAAATTACAAATATTAAAGTCGTTAGGCGTCACTGATTGTTATCACTATGTTAACTCTATATTTTTCAATAATATTATTATCACTTTTCAAACAAACTCATTAAACTCATTTTGCACTCTAAGACCTGAGTAGTTCAACTACTTTTGTTCCGTTTACATTATTCAATAATGTCAAAATCAGCTGTTTATCGTTTATCACGATATTTCTCTCGTTATCACGCAAATATCACTTTATACTGAATAACAATAATGATTGCCTTACGAGTTTACGATAATATTATGATAATTAATTTTTTTAGTTTTTTAATAAAACCTTAAAACATTGTCTAATAATTATTGAAATTAAATGCAATATGATATTGAAATATTATTTGAACTAACGCTAATCGCAACAATACTTGTAACATTATCGTTAATCACCGTAATAAATTGCATACTTATTGTTTAAATACAATTATTATTAATTAAAATTGGAAAAAAATTCGAATTTATAATTTATCTGTAACGATAGCATATGCACGTGGAATGTTTGAAGTTTTGTTCATCGTTGTGAGTGTATAGTGTTTACCCGAAATCGAATAAACAGATTTGAAAAATAATCTTGTGGAAATACTATTGTCGACAAGGTTCAAAGTACCCGACTACACGCGTCATTATATTATTACGAAGTGTTTGTACTTACTGACAATGGGTTGTTTTATTCGTTGCTTGATTTGTTTATAGTAACATATGATGTAGGTATTACTCGCGTTCGTTTGTAAACATATTTGCTGATGGCAATAATATGATAAATTATATTTACTCTTGTAAAACTTTGAATTGCCAAGCACTTAGGTTGACCAAAATTGAAACACATAGAACTTAATATAACACCAACCTATCTATAATTAATTATTCACGTCCGCATTATGTTTTAGCGTAACGCGACACTTTCGTGAAACGAGAGTTTAATTCAGGCTGGTACCTATCCATACTCAATCCGAGCGGTTACCGCGATTTATATTATTAGTTAATACTGCATATTTACATTAATATAAACGTATTTATTATTATTCGCACAGAGTATTATGACGAATTATTTCAATCTGTTCAATTCGATCAACGACAATATTATTCGATTGGTAAGTATCGGCTATATGTCTGACTGAGGAGTAATTATGTTTTTTTCGGAAAAGGTGAACCTAATCACACATTATCACATTAAACGTTTCCTTTTAATTTTAAATTGAGTACATTTACATTTACACCATACATATAGGTTTACTCTACGACAACACACAACACCTAACCATTTACAAAGATGTTTATTTTTTTTTCTGTGGACAATTTTTCTACGAGCGATTTCGCTTCAATTAATAATGATAACAATTTTTCTAAAACGAAATTCGACTGGGGAAATACTTTGGAGAGATCATTTTTCGATTTTCTCAGGAGTTTTCTCAACAAATGTGACAAACGTAGGAAAATCGGTACAATAAACAAATATTATTAAAGAAAATATATAATGTCTATTTAATTATTTTACCATAATATGATATATATATATTGTTGACAAAGCATCACTATCGACTGAACTCCGCTCAGAATCGTTTTTTTCGTTAGCATCGGTTTATCGTTGTATACAGGTATATATTAAATTACTTATAACCAGGGCTGTGAATTTAATGCATTTGCATGTTTTTTTTGCTACATCATAAAAGAAAATGGATTCGGCCAAAATTTGAATTGTGTTACTAATAATTAAAATACGAAATCTTATAGTGCATATTTTTGCATATTTAACTAGTTAGGGCATATAAATGCATGTTTTTATACTTTTTTCGTATTAATGCTTTTTTCTTAATATTTATACTTTTTCGGTCAATTTGGTCTAAAATATAAAATACATAATATAAAATGTATTTATAATCTAACTATCTTTTATAGAAATTTTATTATTTTTGAACATTTTATTCTATTTTTAGTTGGGTTGACTACACGTAAATTCGGGTATAAATAGTTGTTTTCTTATTTTGCCGAATATTGTCCAAGATCAGTATTATTAATTAATAATTATTATTGTATTGTTGTGGTCTATAAATATAAATAAATGGAAAATAATATTTACCTATATTAACTTGCACTTGATGCCTGATGGACAACAATTGTAAAAATAATACCTATTTCTATTAGTTCGATGTGATCGCCGATCCGTGATGTGCGTGTGTTCGTAATTCGAGTGTTATAGTTTTGTTTTGTTTATTTTATTATTTTATTGCGCCTAATCAGTACCTACTAGCTCCTTATTTATATTTCTAGTTGTACTGTATATTTTAAAATGCCAAAAGAAAAAATATCGGTTGCAACCCGTCTAAGAAACTACGTTTCTGAATTTGGAAATATATTTACAACAGACAGTAAAATTTTATTTTGTACAGTATGCAATATTAAAATTGCGAGTGATAAACGTTTTTCTGTAACACAACACATAGCCACTGAAAAACACCAAAGAGGAGTTAATCGTACAGAAAACAAAAAAAAAACTCAGCAACTTATTATCTCAAAAGATTCGTCATCTAAATCGTCATTTAATAATGATTTATGTAAAGCCATGCTTAGTGCTAACATCCCGTTAAATAAATTAAGTAATACATATTTCAAACAATTTTTGATAAAATATACTGGACAAAATATTCCAGATCAAACAACATTACGCAAAGTTAATGTTGACCATTGTTACCAGGAAGTTTTAAACGAAATAAGACAAAAAGTAGCGGNTATTAAATATTAAATTTATATTTATATTTATATTTATTTTTTTTATATAGATGCCGTAAATGACGATGATGAAGATCGCAATTAATTTAAATTTATATAAACATGTAATACCCATAAATTTTTAACAATTATATTTAGTATTTAAAAAAATATTTTTTGTTGTTTTTTGTATATTTTTGAAAAATTAGTACATATTTTACGAAATTTTAATAGCATATTTTTATGCACGTTTTGATATTTTTAGTGCATATTTTGATATTTTTTAGTGCATATTTTCATGCATATTTTGACATTTTTTAGTGCATATTTAATAGTTTTTTGGTGCATTAAATTCACAGCCCTGCTTATAACAGTGGCTGCACCTGACCTTATTATCTAGGACGTCCTTTTTTTTTTAAGTACTTTTTTAGGGCTTTTTTTAACGTTTTTAAGCGCTTTTTTCATGAATTTTAAGTATAAGTTTTAGTTATCACTCGTTCTTTTTTTGTAGGTAAACATTAATTCGTTTAAACTCAAGTAAATAAACATTATCACGTGTATGTGTGCAAAGAAAATTGTTCAAAATCACTATACATAATATATTATGTTATATTAAAGAATAATATTGATTACTTTCGCAAGTCAAGTATAGCAATGTCGAATTTATTTTCTTACAGGTAATGACTAATTAGGTTCTTTAATAGTAATAAAAAAAAAGACGGACATACTTCGCACGATGGGCCACTGGGTATCCGGACAAAATCCCGCAAAAGAAAGTAATTTCAAATGCACACATAGGCACAACTTCGGATTTCGGATTTCCAAACACTATTATATACAATGTATAAATAACAAAATACGCTTTGCATACTCGTCGTGCCAAGGACGCCACTGCTGAGTTAGTTATTATTGTTATTAATAAAATTTGTAAATACGGAACTGAGCTATCGGTTAGCCATCCAGCACCTAAATTAAGTCATCGTTGTCATACATTATCTCCAAATTTCCTATATGAAATTCGTAGAAACGCATTTAGGCAAATAACTATAATAGAATAAGTATGAACCTGTGCGTGTTTTGCGTCATACGGTTTTTAACACGCAATTTATTAAAAGTGCCTGCAAAGGCAATAATTTATTAGTGTACCTATAAAGGTTTTTATACTCCGAAGAAAAACCATCAAAAAATGAAATAATAATGTGGAAATGTAATTCTCCCTTTAATCCATCTCCCTTTAGGGATTTAATTATACTCGAACAATTCTCACTCACGATAGACGAAAAGCCGATTTTTTTATATGATAGTGGTAGTAATTATATATTTAATTATATTAAAAAATGACAAAGACCATGGAAATGTTTATTTTATCTGTTTCTTATTTTTTTTGTGCGGGATTTTGTTCTAGATTCAGGCACTGTTGTAGGTGAAAAGTTGGGAAGGTAAGATAAAGCGGGGAATTTAATTTGTATTTGTATGCAGCGATAAATCATTACTAATGAAAAACGATCGGAGTGAAGTTTCTTTTAAACATGTACGTACATTTTCCCATTTTTCCCAATTATTTTGAAAATTACATGGAAAACCAAACAATTATCACTTTGAAATACCAAGTAAATAAAATTTCCTTTCAGAAAAAGTGCTACACTTGATACGTTGGATCAAGATTTCTGGTAGAAAAGTTGCTCACAGAATAAAAAAAAATAAATAAATATCATTGTAAAACCAGTGCTTTACTCACATAACTTGCTACACTCCGGATCTAAAATTCAGATTCGTTTTGTATATTGATGAATTTTGTATACACCTATGCTCGTGAAGTTTAAACTGCGTAGTTTTTACCCTTGACGATTCCCTTCACGTGTGTAGGGCTGGCTTCGAAATCTTTGAAACCGATTTTTCCTTTCTGAAATTTTAAAAGGAAAAACTACGCAGACCTGACTGAACATGTCAAATCCGATTGTGTAAAAGACTGTTTCAGTTAGTATAGAGGATTTACACGAATACACGATATTATTATCATATTATGAATATTGTTATCATTACTAAAAAAGTATTAAAAATATTTAGGTTTTCGTGATTAAAATATAATATCATTGTTTTGCAATCATACTGAGTGTCTAATTGAAATCCTCTAGGAAATTACATATGTATAGGTAAGGTCTAAGATTGAGGAAATTCAGCCTTGGTAATTTTTCCTTGAGAATTTCCCCTTATTGTGTACCTACCTAAACGAATTTAAATCAAACAGTTGTGTTGATAAAAAAAAAAAAAATATTTTAAATTCGGAAATGAACCTAATAAATATAAATAATATTGTATAGTTTTAAAATATTTTTCAAATTCTGCAAAACAAAACTCAAATGTTCATTGTTACAAAAAAAAAAATAAAAAATTAAACGCGTGTTATTATTACGGTTTATGTCA